CCAGCCCAGCCCAGCCCAGCCTTGACTCATGTCGATGAGTCCCTCCGTCCGAGCCCCCAATTTCCAAAACCCAGTCCCCCCAAAAAACCCAGCGGCAAAACCCACCCCATTACCAACCCTCCTCCCTCCACCTCCACATATTAATATCTACCTCCCGCTCCCACTCCCGTTCCCATTTCCTCTCCATCCTCTCCCTCTTCTCCCTCTCCCTCCTCCGGCGCTCCTCCTCCCGCTCCATCCTTAACTCCTCCAATAGCCCCCCTCGGCCAACCCACTTCTCATCCCGCTGCCGAGGCACCACCCCGTTGTTGTCTGTCCACTCCATCCATCCTGTCCAGACATATTTGCGTCGGGAGTCCCAGAGCCATTCGCCGCCTAGTGAGGGGAGGATGTGGGCTTCTTTGGTGGTGGTGGGCTCGCGGGATTTGGGCTCGCGGTGTTTGGACTCGCGGTGCTTGGTCTCACGGCTCTTGGATACATAGCGGGTGTGTGATTTCCGGTGAGAAGAAGACCGCGGGGCCGGGTCGGGCCGGTATTGGTATTGGTATTTTTCGGCCCTAGCAGTTGCCTCGGCGGCTGCGGCTGCTTCAGCCTCTGCAGCGGCCTGTTCGACTTCGCGTGCGCGACGGGCTGCGCGGCGGTGGGCTTGACGAGCGCTGTCCCGTTTGGTGCGAGACGAAAATGAGATTCGCTCTGGAGGGGTCAGGTCGGGGGTGCTGGGCCCGGCTGGATAGGCGTCGTACTCGTAGGTATGGGGATAGGTGTGGGCAGTGGCCCGGTGGCTAGGTCCAGGTGTGTCAGCGCCAAGATCAAAGTTAAAGTCATGGGGGTCATGGTCATGGTCATGGGGGGTGGTGAATACATCGTCTTCATCATCATGGTAGTGGTAGTAGTACCTTGAGTCGCTGCTGCTCAAGCCACTAGTGTGGCGGGTAGACGTGGAGCGGGAGTTCCGCGGGCTGGGACGGTGCCGGGATCGTTGGCGAGGCGGGGGCGCGGCGGTTGGGTCCAGCATGTAGGTGGGCAAAGGGAACGGCAGGTCGTCGATGTCCACGCGGGAGTGGTAGGTCTTGGGACGAGAGGACGAAGAAGACCGGGGCACGGCTGTTTCGTCGGCCATGCCGCGAGGGTCGTATCCCTCACGACCAGAATGGGGCCGGTGACGGGGTTCCGGGTTGTATGTGGACCAAGGAATCCCGGTCTCGTCGTCGGCGCCAAGCGGGTCGTAGCCCCGAGCCCGGGATGAGGACCGCGGCCGGGGCCGGGGCATCTGCTCGTCGTCCGCGTCATCACGCGGGTTGGACCGACGTCCTTGGCCTGAGAAGGAGTATGTTCTATGCCGCCGTGGAAGCTCTTCCTGGTCGTCGTGGCTAAAAAGGGGTGACGAGCGGTGAGCAGATCCACGGAGGTGCGAATCAAAGTTCACACTACCGCCATTGAACAGTGTGTCAAGGCGGGCACGGAAACCATCGTCTGAGTCAGGGTCCGGAAACGCGGTTGCAACAGGTGGCGCCATGGTGTTCTTGTCACAGTCTCCACACGGCGGCTTGTCACTGGGTTGGGCCACGAGCTTGTTTGTCAATGAGTGTGAGAATCGTTGATGACTATCTAGGTAGGTAGTGACCGGTGATTGTGTTTGTGTTTGAGTGTTTTGTTCTCAAGTGACAAGAGATGCTAAGTGAGATCTGCCCCTGGGGTAGATACCCCTTGTTGACGAAGTAGCCAAAACAAAATAATGAATGAACAGGAGAACGGGGGGAGGGTAAAAACAAAGCCGATAGTGACGGGGTTACCGCCGAGGGCGGTACTGGCCGTGGACACGTCCCCGGTGGGCGAGAGGATATCAGATTGTCCCAAAATGGGAGAAAGTGAGGCACGAAGGAGACGAGGAAGAAAACAGTTGACCAATTCTGCTCTCACAACTTCCCTCTCAACACTCGACACTCCAATCTTATACCCCGAGCGCCCACCAGGGCCCGGCCGCGGCCTTGATCACTTGGAAGGTTGTGGTCAACCTCGTGAGGTGTTGTGACTCGAAAAGAGGGCCGCGTTGTTGGGTTTGATGCTGCGAAGGTCGAGGTCGGGTTTGAGGCCGGACGGGAAAGCTCGAAGCGAGGCGAGCAGAAACTGCGAGCAAAAGGCACTCAAACAGGACGGATGACCTCGACACCGCCTGGAAGTTCAGGATAGAAACGAAGAGGCCTCACGGGGAACCGACAACATATTTATTCGGCGGCCTGCCATAGCCAGGCGACGGTAGTCATGTTACCACTTGAACGGCCAAAACCGCCGGCCGCCATGTTGTACGCGGCCGTCCGCAGTCAAGCGGGAGTTTACCATAATCGGGGGACTGCGCGTTTGGCGCATCTTGAGACGTAGCTTTTTGGCGCCTCATGCGACCACAGTATGGCCGGCACATGGCGAGCGCGCCTGTTTCGCCAGTCAGCCGACCCCCCGGCACTGTACCGAATGTAAGTTTCGCGCGCAGCCTCGCGGAACCGCCCAAGCAGCCCCAGTCGGGCCTCCGAAAACGGCCGAAGCGGTCAAGTAATTTTCGAAAAACAGGGCGACCGTGTAACTCGAAGGGTGCCCGATGAAAGCCCCACTACGACTTATTTTGCGCAGAGAGGTAACCCACGGCCGCTTTTCCCGGGCCTGCAAACGAAACCGGCAGAAGATCCAGACTCTTGGTGGTGAACTTGGTGGGGAGAAATTGGAGAATCGGTTGCGCTGCGCCGAAACATGCGAAGCAACCGCCGAGGCCGCCAATGGCAACGCATGACCCTTCTCGAGCCCCTCTTTTTCGTCCGAGCTCTGGTTGGTAGATGACGTGCATGGCCGCCAGGGCCGACCCACCTGATCACGAAACATGCGACGAAGACAACTCGGAAAGTCGCAGTGTGTCGTTCCTGACACACTGCACTTTGCGCAGTTCGAAGCTTGCTGCGCCGAGCTGTCCATTGTCCAACCAACAACCAGCCCAGGCCTTCCATCGTCTTCGTTCCTGAGCGAGGACCTTGCAGGCTGTGATGATTTTATGCACATTGAGGGGTCCACGACCCCTCTTTCAGTTTCCCATGCGGCTTGGTTACCGTTTGTGTGGATTTCGTGGTTTTAGACCCTAACACTGACTAACTATCAACGACACCATCCTCAACGACCAACTCTCCTGTCTCACCCAGGTACTCTTACGCTCCCATCTCAGGATCAACCGACCTCCCCCTTCCTTTCGCTAGTGGTATGTCCTCCCCTTAATCCCTATCCAGGCCCACCGGCGTAGCAAACCCGATGTCCCCTCCACCCCATTCCAAACCGTATAATACGACCTCAACCACGGCGTCCCAAAAATCCACGCCGGCCTCCCCCGCACCGGCTCCCTCGCCACCCTCCCAGGGTCCGTAAACACCCCCTGACAAACCCCCGGCTTCCCCGGGTACTCCCCCACATTCACATACTCCCTCCGCACGACCGCATCGACCTTGTGCGTGGCGTTGCCCGCGGTAAAAAGCACGTCGCGTGCGACACGCTCCAGTAAATCGCAGGGCGCGCCCCAGGAACCGAAGTTATCGAGCGGTTGGATGGTGGGGGACATGAGTGCGTAGATGGCGGCGGTGGTCTCGCGGTCCGGGGTGGTGATGGAGGCGCCGCCTGTGTCGACGAGGGTGACGGCGTCGAGGGAGCCGTTGAGCGGGGGGGACCAGCCCGGGGCGGACGCGTCGTCCGGTGGGGAGGTGGTTGGGGGGTTGGTGGTGCTGACGCGGGCGCCTAGGACGTCGACGACCCACCGCCAGCGGGAGGAGGAGAGTTCCCAGTTGAGGGGGATTTTGCGGAGGGTGTTGGGGAGGTAGAGGGTGCGGTCGGTGCCGCCGAGGGTGAGGACGCCGGCTTGGTATTGGGGTGGTTGGCGACCGTGATGATGAGAGTGGTCCCCGCTACAGGGCTTCTTGCTGGGCGTGAAAGAAAAGCTGAACTCTGGTCCTGGGATTTGGCCAGTCTTTACCAGCCCCCAGTAGATGGGAGTGAACTCGCCCTCGGTCTCGTTCCAGAAGGAAGTCGGCGTTGAGCTCAGCCCGAATAGCCCATCCAGCGGCTGGTCGCGCAGACCAGGCGAGTAGGTCGAGTATATCGCGAACTCGCTGGTGGGGTTGTCGCCTCCGGGCGCGAGGCCGGCCATTCGTATGGTGTCGGTCACGACGGTGCAGTTGGCGCCTTGCACCTCGGGAGACGAGACGGTTCCGGCGCCTTGGCCGAAGGTGATGAGCAGGGTGCGGTTGGGCTGCGGTGAGAAAGTGCTGGAGTTGGATGGGTCGAAGAGAGCGTGGTCGCCGCAGGTGGTGCAGTTCTTTTGTCCCACGAGCATGATGGAAGCGCCGGTGTCGAAGATGAGTTTACTGTTGTGTGTGTGTGCAAAGGCTGATTAGCTTCCACTTAGGCCGAGGTCCAAACTTGGTGATAAAGAAAACTCACAACTTCTGCGGAGGGGTACCAGCGGTGATTTCGCCGTACCACTGCAGATCTGCCGTGCCATTTCTCCACACGTCCAAGTCGATGTTGGCAGGCCTGGCTTTGACGCCGCGTGCCAAAGCTCCGTTGCCGAACTGGATGGGTGAGAGGTGTTCAGGTATCGGCTCGAGGTAACCGTCAGGTTCGGGAACCGCTGCCGAGCGGACCAGCCCGCCGAACCAGGCCAAGCACAGCAGTTTGCTCATCATCATGATGAAATTGAGTCTTCAATCTTGCTGATGCTGTTGCGTTGTGATGGTGTTTGAAATGAGAGGTGAACTGCAGAGATGGTGAAAGAGAAAAGGATGAGTTAGGAAGTTTGAGGATTTGTATAAACCAGTCGATCGAACATCCGTTTCCTCTCCCAACCGCTCATACCTTTTTGCAAGCAAGTACAATCCGTTGTCGTTTTGGTATTCCTTGCCTTGAACAATACTAACAAATTTCATACCCGCCGCGCGCTCAACTGGTCCGGGCAGAGATGAAGTGGGCGGAATCAAAACAATGGCAAGTTCGGGGGGGAGAACAATCCCAATGGTCAGAGTGTAATTTCCACCTGCTGTCCGCCAACACCAGCATCCGCCACAGTTTCTGTTGGCTCCATTCAGAATATTGCACGGTATGGCATGCATTGTTGGCGGCCAACAATTGCGTCTCGGCATTATCTCCGAGAATTGGCGGACCTGGAAAACGACGGGCCGGTGCGGGCCTGTCCCACGTGGTAGTCTTGTAAGTAATGGGAATACAGATTCTGTTCCTACCTTACCTACCTAAGGTAGGAAGTGTACCTTATGCATACATGTAAGTACCCCCGGTCAAGTCTGCTGTCCCTCTAAACAATGCCAAGTATTTAGTAACCCCCAACAAAGTCGGGCCGTAGATCTGGGCCGAGCAGGTCCTCAACGTCTCGGCCTGGACCCGCTGTGGCGCCTCACGATAGAGAATCGCCGGCACTAGCGCAAGCTTATTTTGATGTCAGAAAGCCCTCCAGGTAATTACACAGCCCTTTGTCAATTGTGAGAGGCCATGTAGAAAATTACAGTCGCCGAGCAGATAATTAATGATCATTGGGAGAAATAAACCACTGCAATAGCAATATTTCGTAAACTAGAGGCGCCTCTATATTGCGCCGACGGATGAAAATAGAACTCAGAAAACCGACTGAGTTCAGGGGACATAACGATGACCGAGAATTCGAAGTTAACCGACCGTGTCTATCTCGGCCACGGGCGGTTACCAGTGTCACAACCGGCGACTTGCTGATACGAGCCATGATGCCGTGCATGTAAGGAGGTCAAGAGCCATGCCGTCCCTTCCGTTTTTTTGGCCTAATTTTCACGCAATCTCGCGAAACATGCTTCGCTCCGCTGTACTACTTGTGGTTGCTTACACGTGTAAACCAGAGTGAGGGAGGACTCAGGAGCTCAGGCAAGAGAAACTGTGTATCGTTGAATAATTATATCAGACGTACTGTGTGGGTCCGTCCAAAGGGAACGCCCGGACCGTTGCGAGGTGGGGCCAGCCAAAAACTTCCGATTGATCCCGGTGGGCCTCTTAGGGTTACATCGAGACAGTTCGCGCCGGCGACAGACGGCAGTTACCTCATTGATGGGCTTGCACACCGCCTGAGCGTTGACTTCCCACGGTCATTTCGTCATTTCTCACGTCCCATAACTAGACTATTTCAATCCACAATAGGGCACACCATCATCACTTCGTCTTTATGCTTTTTGTGTCACAACAAACTCATCAAATATGAGCGCCGCCGAACAACAGGCCGTGCCAGCCACGGCAACGGCGGAAGACACCCCCACTTCAGACACCGCCGCCGCGAGCAGCACCACCAATGCTTCAGAGGCAACAGAAGCTCCGGCCACCACGGACACCCCGGCTCCAGCCCCGGCTGCGGCGGTGGCTCCGGTGTCTGACGAATCCACGGCTGCAGCTCCGGCATCTGACGAACCCCCGGCGGCTGCTGGGCCATCAGACCCGCCCACGTCCGAATCCGTTGCGGCTCCTGCAGCCACAGATTCAGAAACAGCAGCCAAAACGGAGTCCGACGCTCCAGCGGCCGCCGCTGCAGCCACTGAAATCAATGACGACGCCGCCCCTGTAGCCACCGAAACTAAGGACGCCGTCATCCCAGCCGGCGAACCAACCCCCATCGATAAGCTCTGGGCCGCCGCGAAAGCCGAAAAACACCCCGAGATCTGGGGTGTGACGCTCGCCGACCCGGAGACCCACATCCCCACGCGTATCATTCTTCAAAAGTACCTCAACGCCAATGATGGTGACCTAGCCAAGGCGAAGGACCAGCTGATCAAGACGCTGCACTGGCGCTCCCAGGCGAGACCCGTGGAACTGGTCAAGAAAGCGTACCTCAGGGCCAAGTTCGAGGGGTTGGGGTATGTGACGCAGTATCGGCAGGAAGGGTCGACGGAGCCTACTGGTAATGAAGTGTTTACATGGAACATTTATGGGAGCGTCAAGTCGATTGATGAGACGTTTGGGGATTTGCAGGAGTGAGTATTATTCCTTGTCCCCAGAAGTCACGTTTGACAGTATCTCCCACCCCAGCGAGCTAACCAACCCCTGTGTCCAGCTTCTTGAACTGGCGCGTTGCCCTGATGGAGCAAGCTCTGCAAGCACTGGACCTCAACTCAGCCACCCAGCCGATCACAGCCGAGGAAGACCCCTACAAGATCTTCCAGGTGCACGACTACAAGTCCATCAGCTTCCTGCGCCAGTCACCTCAAGTCAAGACGGCCAGCGCCGAGACCATCAAGGTGTTCGCCCAGAACTACCCGGAACTGCTCAAGGAGAAGTTCTTCGTCAACGTGCCTGCTATCATGGGGTTCGTGTACACGTTCATGAAGCTGTTTGTGGCGCCCAAGACGATCAAGAAGTTCCACCCCATGTCGAACGGTGGCAATCTCGCGGCTGAATTTGGGCAGAGCAAGGTGGTGACCCTGGGGGAGAAGTTGCCGGCCAACTATGGTGGGAAGGGGGCTGCGCTGGAGGAGCAGGGCACTGGGCCGCTGCTGGCTGACGAGGTTCATGAGACCAGTGAACTGGAAGAACGGGCGGCTGAAAGGGAATTGTAGAACATATTCTTTAACGAGTATGAATTTAATCTTGTTCGGTATGCTCGCCTGAGCAGAATTTCCACCCCCCTCTTGTTCAATTTCATTCCTCATCCTGTTCCTCCTCCGCCTCCTTCACCGCCGCCCACAACGCCTTCAACCCATCCACATACTCATGCTCCTCTCCTCCCCCAAACAACAGCCACATCCGCTCTGTCTCCTCTGCAAACGCTCGCCCACGCTTCGCATCCCCCACCATCAGATACGCCCTCGCAAACCGCTCATAATACTCCACGAGCTGAGGGTACAGATCCTCCTGCTCGATCAGCGAGAAAGCCTCTAAGACCAATTCACCAATCCGCTTTTCGCGTTTTTCCTGTGATTCGCCATCGCCTAGATCGGCGGCTTGGCCGAGCGTGTGGTGGATGTCGATGAGTCGGGAGCGGCGGGTATCTGAGAGAGAGCGGACTTCCTCTGGTGCGGTGCACAGGTCGCAGGTGCAGGTGAATCCCCAGGGCTGGAGGATGGTTTGGCGGTCGGCGTGGGGGTAGCCCAGCGGAGCGTCTTTGAATGTTGTGAGTAACATCCGGGGGTCTGGTGGGGAGATGGTGAGTGAGATGGCTTACAACTGTGGGTGATTTCTTCCCCGGGCTGGATTGGGCGGAGGGAAACGATTTCCATTGCCATCCTGTTACTATTGAACCGCCAGAAGGCACTGGGCCCATTATTAGCAACCATCAAAGCATACTTGTGAGGGTATCTCAACTTACTTTGGGTGGCAGTCATGGTTCACCCTCTGCCAAACACTGTTAATACTCAATCCGCCGAATAATAAAGAATTACCGCCCCCGAAGATAACTCACCGAACCATCGATAAACAACGCCAAATGCGGCACCCCCCCAACATCCACCCCAAACCCATTCGTCTGCAACACATCCAACACCACATTCTCATCCCCTGACATCTTCGCCAGACCCATCACAGCCGCCCACTGCTCCTCGCCTAACCGTCGCAACCCAACATCCATCATGCTACTCTTCTGTCCCTCGCTAAACACCTCCCCATTCACAAAATCCATCCGAATCACCAGCACCGGAAACCCCGTCATGATGATCTCATGCCCGTTCAACGCGCTCGCCGCAGTCATGCCTTTATCGCGGCCGGGTATATCCCGGATCTCATACGCTGGCGTCCATGCCAAATTACTATCACCCCTCGACGTATTATCAGTAGCGGCCGCACCGGGAGTTCGATACGCAGCAAGCTGCCCGCGCAACACCCCCGCCACATCCCCATCATCCAACGCGCCAGAGCCAGCCACACTCGCCGCTATCTCAGGCGTGGTAATCAAGCTAAACCCCTGACCGCCGCGGAAATGTCGCGCGGTGAACACGCAGTCGGTACTAGCGGGCCGGGCCCAGGTGCCGTCGGCATCTCCCACTGCGTCGTCGCCGACAGGTTCGGGACAAAGAGGGGGTAGAGACCAAGGAGAAGCGTCTGTCGGGAGGGGACAGGTTGGGTGGTGATGGTGGTGGTGGACGGTCCAGGAGCTGCGGGTCCAGTCTCGCGTGGGGAGGTCCCGGGGGTGTTGGGAGGCGTGGATTGTGGGGGAAGAGAATGCGAGGAGGAGGAGGAAGAGGGTTTGGCGAAGGTGAGACCATGGGTGGTGGTGTTTGGGATGTGGTGTGAACATCTTTTGCCGGGGGGATATCGTCGTGTGTAGTTCAATGGTTGATTAGTGGAATAAGACATGAAAACATGGGAGGTTTGAAATACTGCGTCAATGGTTACTTTTGTGATGGATCGCTGTTTAAAACTCAACTATTAGAAAGGCTAGATACAATAAGGACACATGGCATTCACTGGCACTCCATTATGATTGATTGATTAACCTTGGCTTGACCATCACTGCAACTCTTAAGCATGCCTTAAAGTGCAGCCGGTCGGGTAATTAAATTGCCAAACCGCCCAGAATAACTGGACAATAAATTGCGAGGGCACCCGGGCTATAACTCCCCAACATTTATCCGGGGTATAGTCCAAGCCGACACTTGGAGCCATACTCGGCACTAACACTAAAGTTTCAGGTGCTATTTTCTCCGTTCGCGCAACCAGCGCTATCACCAAGGCTATTCTGAAACAAGCCTTTTGTGCCCTGTTCGGCGAACCATTTCCGTGTTGGCATCGTGGAAGCGCAGAATCCGGTTACTTCTTTGAATGTATGCTTGCGGTCGATAAAGGCGGCATGCTAAATAAATCCTGTGCTTCAGCTCTCAGAAGCCAATCTTGCTCGAGATTCGAGAACACCCTGTAATTATGGTCGTAAACTAATGCTCCATTCCTGAGGTGAAAATTTGAGTTAAAATTGAATTCTCTCATTCTTACAGGCGAAACTTTGAAATGTTAGCTCAAGTCACGATCCGATTTCAAGTTTTCTGGGTCTTCCCCCCCTTTTTAACATCGTTTGGATCAAGCCGATTTCACTATTGATTATTGCCGCCAATTAGCACCACCATATCCTTTATTCAAAATCGATCATGTCTCGGACTCGTCAGTCATTTTTCTTTGTCCAGTCAATCCTTTGTCACAGAAATGGATGCAGTGGCAATGAATGGCCTCGCTCCCCAGCAAAGCCGCTGAAACACTCCATCATCCTACAGTCGTATTGGAGAAGAAGAGCAAAATATAAACCAAATAAAAAACGAAAAGGATGTGCCTTGGTGGACAGGGAGTGCCGATCTCGTCCAATCGCAATGTCAGACGAAGGAGGGTGGAGACAGATACCAGCCAATGGGAGCCCTTGAATCCGGAAAAAGAGAAAAAGAGAAAAAGGAAAAGGGAGTGAAGAAAGAAAAAAGAGGGAAGGACAAAGCCGGTCTCCATCTGCCCCTCCATGCTTTGGGAAGGCCGCTTTTTGGTATAGTCGTCTTCAGCCCTTCCCATCTCTTGGATTTTTCTTTTTCGCCCGTTTCTTTTTCACAGTTTCCCGTGAGCTGCCCATTCCCTGCCGTAACTTCCTCGTTTTCAATTTTCAACCCCCGTCTCCGTGTCGGTTTCCAGTTCTTCAATCCCAAGCTCAAAATCAAAAAGAACAAAGGGAACAGAAGATTGGCGGCCAACCACGCACAAATACCAACTTCTCGGCGGACGAGCAATTCCACCCCAAACAACATACATCCTCAAAGCTTCACACCCTCACACACCATCTCGTCGAATCTCAGCGAGCAACCCCCCAGATCGTATCCGCAAATATCCTCACACTCATCTTCAATCTAATTCGCCACGATATTCATGGCGCCGGCTCTAAAGCGCTCACAGCCGCAGGTGGTGGTAAGTTTCACCCGTTTTCTTTTTCTGTTCTCTTTTTTCCTGCCTGTGCCGTGCTTTGGGATCCTCTTTCTTCCTGCCTCACGAACCTGGTCATCGTCTCAAAATCTCGAAGTCGAGAATCAAACCCAGAACTCGCGCACAACACATACTAGGGCACAAGGCGAGCCGATAAAATGGTAAGGACTAGAGGACTGGAAACACAGAAATCGGACCACAGCACAAATCAGAAGAAGTCGTGAAGAGGAGGAAGCCCGTGGTTGTAAGATATTGGGAACGTGACTTTTCCACGGGCGTGAATTCGTGATAACCGGAAGAGGTCGGGAACAAGAAGAAAACATAAACGGGAAGAAGTCACGAACAAGAAGAAGTCACGAGCAGGAAGAAAGAAGAAATTGGAAAACCGCAACAACAAAAAGCAAGGCGAGGAGTGGAAGAAAGTGCAAACACACCACCCAGTTCAAACCCGTTCACCACCATGGCCAAACATATCAAATCCGGGTATGAGCACACCGACTAACAAACGGCACAGGAAACACCAACCGCGAAGTCTACCCCGAAGAACAGCATCATTGTCGCAGGAACGAACCCCGTTCCTGCTGGCAAGGTTCAGGACACGCCTTCCAGCGACACCGAGTCCGCCCACAGCAACCACAGCAATAGCCGCAGCGGCAGTCCGGCTGCTGAGGCTGATCTCCCCGACACAAAGCCACGCACCGGCAACGACAAAACCGAGATTCCGATCCGGGCCAGCCGTGAGGCCGACGACATGGACACTGACGTGCCCCACGTCTACAACAAACCCAACACCCCCGCAAACCACAAAACCCACAACGGCACCTTCCTGAAATCCATTACCATGCCTCCACCGCCTACCTCCTCGTCGGCCGGCCCTGTCGACCATCGCGACGGTATGACCTACCAGGATTATGAGTTCTCCGATATCGAAGAGATCACCGTTCGCCAGCTCAACGAGGACATCGTCGCTTACCGCTACGATTTGGATTACTGCGAGGCGCACCTGCGCGACGACCAATACCTCAATGAGCGAAACCGGGACGGCAACAGCGAAGATGACGACGGCGCGAAGGTGCCCGCGATCGATCCCGCGGCCGCGCTCACTCCCCAAGAGGCGCGCACTCTGCAATTGCGCTGCCTGGATTTGGGCCACCAGATCCGCTATTGCACCCACCGGATTGAAATGATCAAGGCGCGGACTCGTAGGTCGTTTGGCGGCGCTGGCGGGAGTGACGTTCGAAACGGCGGTCTCTCGTTTTCGTCCTCGGCTGTTCGGGGCGGCGACTACGGCCGCGGCGCGCCTGCGATGGAGTCGGTGTATTCGGCGAACGGCCTCAACGGGCCCGGCAGACAAAACGGCCGGGGCGGTGGATACGGCGGGTCGGCTCTTCCGACGCCCGGCCGACGTACTCCGTCGGGTGGCAGCAGCAGCGGCCTAGTCGCGGCCGGCAAGCGCACAGCCCTCGATGACGGCGACCATCTCTACCACGGCTACCACAACAATGCGTCCCACACTAACAACGGTGGCGCAAAGCGAGTCCGCATGTCGGCAGGTTCCCCGGAGATGGACATGCCCCATGCCAACCACGCCCAGCCTGTTCAGCACGCCGCTCACAACCCCGTCGGCGAAGAGGGGGTGAACACGGCCCTGCAGCGTCTCGGGTTCTGGAAGTGCCGGCTGTGCTCGGCGCCCAAGTACCTGCTCGCCGGCGCGGGCCGAACGCCTGCCGCGCCCTGCAAGTGGCCGCTCAAGGACATTTCCAAGATGATTACGCACTTTACCGAGATGCACGGGGAGCACACGCCGGCGGAGCGATGCGCTGAGTTGGGTGCTGCGTTGGCGCAGAATCGTACGTACATTCTTCTCCGTTTTCTTTTTTCTCTCTCATATTCCTTTTTATTTTTCCATCGTTCTTACTTACTAACGTGGACATCTGTCCGTTTTCTAGGCGGCCCCTTTGAGTACTGGCTTCGACGCACCCGGGCACAAAACATTAGCGATGGTGGCATCATTGACGACTGCTTCGACACACTGTTCAACGGCGAGATGCCAGAGCTCCTGAGACGCCATAGCCGTGCTGCCGCGGGCATGCCGGGGCCCTAGACCCTCGGAGATCGGGGATATATTACCGACTGGGCTTTGAATTGGGTTACAGAGGGCGGGCAGCTGCGTTGGGAAGATACACAGGTTCGAGGGCTATTACCGAAATGCTTCAACCAAGTCTTGAATTTGCTTGAATTTTATTCTCGTTGCATCGGGCCTTGTTCGCCATAATTATGCGGTCAGGCACTTCTTTTCTTTCTGCCGATTTTTACGTGGAGGATCTCAATTCTTAGCTCCATAAACTTCAACTGGGTTCTTAAGGACAGGGAAAGGGGAAGGAAATGGGGAGAGGGCAGCTGGAAGATGGGGTTAAGACATGGGTTTTGAACGCAGCTTCTGAAAGGGGGCCCCGGGATATGATGGCCAGGACCTATCTGGGCTAAAACAGCACCACCTACGTAACAAGTCGTGATTTTACGCCAGAATTAAAAAGCTGCAGTTAGCAATCAGTGAAGTGGTACAAGTGATAAGTGATCAGATGTCCCTTTCTTTTTTCCGTTTTTTTATTTCGTTTCAAGATGAAGATTAGTTACTAACCGTTTCCGAAGAATTTTTTTAAAAAAAGAAAGAATCACAAAAATATGCAAAAGAAGTCTTGTCCTCTCCATGAAGATATATTGACTCTGGTTATTAGCGTGACGTGATATCTTCCGGGCCTCGGCTCTTGGGGTTGTAGTGCTGTGGGGGAGACCTGGGGAAATGCCCCACAGTGGGGTCCCTTGAGCAGCTCGTCGTTCTCGCGTGCCCCTCGCCAGGCGAGCCTAAGCTCCCGTTTCCAAGCTTTTCTCAAGCTATCTCTGGACGAAAGCTCCGAGCTTCATCCCCCCACCTTCCCACCTTACCCTCACGATCGCGCGATCACGATGGGCCTCATCAAAAAAGTGACGCTCTCCACCGTCGGCCTCGGCAGCGCAGCGCTGGGCTACCTCGGCCTGGCGACCACCATCGTGAGCCCGCTGCCGGCCGACGACCCGCTGTGGCAGAGCAAGAGCTTCGCCAAGTACAACCGCCATCGGAATCCGTCGACGCAGGATATCTGTGTCAAGCGGATTCCGCTGGCGAAGATTAGGCCGGAGCTGCTGGAGAAGGAGGGGGATTTGGCGCTGGAGTTTTGTAGGGGGGTTTGGGGCGGCTGGGGTGAGTTTTTATGAGTTTGTTTTGTTCATGTCCTATCTAAGGAGTGAAGGAAAATGCCTGGGGTGGGTTTGCTGAGGGTGAGGGCATCACGCGACATGGGTCATCATCAACCCTGAACCTCATCCGGTTTTTTCTTTTGGTTTTTTTTTTTTTAACAAAAAGGAAAAAAAAGAATTAACCAAATATTAACCAACACCCAGGCTACCGCTTCCAACGCGCCTACCTCGCACGCAAATACCACTCCCCCGCAACAACACACCAACTCTGGACCGTCGAACAACTCGCCCACTCGGCCTACGCCCCCGGCACCGTCCTGACGGACCACTTCGAAGTGGTCGAGCGCACCGCCAACGAGATCACCATGCGCTGCGGCGACACGCCGCGCAACCCCAACCCGCGCGAGTCGGATGGGCTGTTTGTGCTGAGCGCGGCGGTGGACCGGGCCAGCGGCGAGGCGGTGTTGGGGCTCAAAAGCTGTTTTTTCACGAGTAAGGATAAGGTGGAGGGCATTCAGGGGCCGATGCCGGGGTGGATGGAGGAGTTGCATCGGTGGTATTCGCGGATTTGGATGGAGACGGGGTCGTGGAGGGTTACTCGTTAGTTAGGCCGAGTTATCGAGGCAAGGGATCTTATGACATGAGTGGTAATTGACATGTATGTACATGTGCTTGGTTGGCTCTCTTCCTTGAAGCACCACGTGCCCCAGCCACAACGGCTGGTTCTTCTCCATTTGCGGGCATTCTGCGTCCTTTTACGGTTCTTGCAATTTACTGCATGTGTACATGCGGAGAATGCGGGGCATTTGTCTCCAAATCCACAACACGCAGCGGGATGACAGCGATGGAACCATACAACGGCCGGCTCTGCGTTGGACAGCGGGTTCCTGTTTGATAAGACTCGGGTCCGGAAAGCGTCGTGAGTGGACTCATGCGAGTTGGTATCACTGCCAACGCTGTTCATGTGAGACATTGTATTTACAACGAGATCCTATTCGATACTCATCGGAGAATAATGTACCATGCATTCGGTATTTGATATGGCTTACGCCGAAAGCCCCTCCTCTTCCTTTCTTCATCTCATTGATTCCAGTTTCTCAATCTTGCACTATTTGCATCGAGACCACCGGTCCTCGCCTGTCGTTCTTCCAACCAACACATCATCATTAAATCCTGTATTTGAACGACCTTCACCATGTCTACCCCAAGAGATACCGCTACCAAGGTGAAACCCTCTCTCTCAATCCCAAATACTTGATCAAGTCAAACTACATCACCCCAAGCAACAGCAAACACAAATCAAGCAGTCACCCTGATTAACTTCCCATAGACCAACTCCCATCCCCTCGGCCCGTTATCCCCCTCTGAAATCACCCATACCGCCGCCCTAGTTCGGTCGTGTTGGCCTAACTCAATCGACTGCCACTTCAAAATCGTCACACTCCAAGAACCTTTGAAATCCGAGCTTGCGCCCTATCTTGTGGCCGAGCGAGCAGGTGGAAGTCGCAATGGACTCCCAAAGATTGATCGGAGGGCATTCGTGGTGTATTATCTCCGGGGGACGGTAGGTTGCTCCGTTTTCCAATCTTGAGAGAACGTCATCCAAATATTGACGCTTGAATCTGGTTTGGTCCGAAATAGCACAACCTCCACGAAGCCGTTGTGAACCTGACGCAAAGCAAAGTCGAAGCCAACGTCAAACTGGGCCCGTTCATGCACCCCAACGGTGATGGCGAGGAGATCATTGCGGTTGAGAAGGCGCTGCTGGCCCACCCAGATGTGCAGGCTGAACTTGCAAAGCTGAAGCTCCCGGAGGGCACTGTAGTGGTCGCTGACCCATGGCTATACGGTAATTCCGCCTTCCATTGCGAACACTTCTAACTAACCCCCCGGGGAACGACTTGGAGAGAAGTTGACTGACCATACCTAGGCACCGACGGCATCAACGACGAAAAGCGGGCAATGCAATGCTTCCTGTACATGCGTGACCCCGCCAACCCCTCCGAGCCCGACAGCTGCCACTACGCCTTCCCTTTGCCCATCTCGCCCGTCATGGACCCCATCACTCTCGAACTCATCCGCATCGACATCATGCCCACCGGCCTCGATGAGAAGACCAAGCCCGTCCAACCCTGGCACCCGGCCCCAGCGAGCGAGTACATCCCCGAGGCGCAGCCCCAGCTGCGTACCGACCTCAAGCCACTGCGTGTGAGCCAGCCGGAGGGGGCGTCGTTCACGGTGGAGGACTTTTCAGAGCTCGGGAAGCTGGTGCGATGGCAAAAGTGGGATTTCAAAGTCGGTTTCAACCAACGGGAAGGGATGGTGCTGTACGACGTGCATTACGACAACCGGCCACTGTTCTACCGGCTGAGTCTCTCCGACATGTCGATTCCGTACGCAGATCCGCGCGCACCGTTCCACCGCAAGGCCGCGTTCGACCTGGGCGATGTGGGCGCAGGTATCATGGCCAACAACCTGGAGCTCGGGTGTGACTGTCTGGGGAGTATCTACTACATCAGCGGCGTGTTGTCCGACAGCCACGGAGAGCCAGTGGTCATGCCGAACGTGTTGTGTCTGCACGAACAAGACAACGGCATCCTGTGGAAGCACACCAACTACCGCACCAACCGGGCCGTCGTGGTGCGCGACCGCGAGCTGGTGCTCCAGACCATCCTGACAGTCAGCAACTACGAGTACATCCTGGCCTTTATCTTCAACACAGCCGGGGACCTAGCCTACGAAGCGCGCGCCACGGGCGTGCTCTCCACCCAGCCGCTCGACGCGGACTTGACCACCGCCGCAAAACACCCATTCGGCACCGCCGTCCATCCGGGCGTCCTGGCCAGCTTCCATCAGCACTTCTTCAGCCTACGCATCGACCCCATGATCGGCGGGCACGGCAACAGCGTCGTGTACGACGACGCCGTCCCCATCCCGCGGGATCCCGCCCTCAACCCGCACGGCGTAGGGTACACCGTCCAGCGCACGCCGATTCCCGTGTCTGGCGGGTTCGACCTTGACGCTGCCCGAGGCCGCGTGTTCAAAATCATCAACCCGACCGTGCACAACCCGGTCAACGACGCAGCCGTGGGGTACAAGCTGATGATCCCGCCGGTGCAGACGATTCTAGCAGACGCGGAGAGTTTCCACCACCAGCGGGCCGAGTTTGCCGACCGCAGCGTGTATGTGACGCGGTATGCCGAGGGAGAGTTGTACGCGGGCGGGACGTACACGAACCAGAGCCGCGGCGGAGCGGGCGTGCGCGGGTGGGCGAACCGGAGAGATGACTTAACGGACAAGGGGGATCCAGTGGTGTGGGTGCAGTTTGGGATTAATCATATTCCGCGTGTTGAGGATTTCCCCGTTATGCCGGCCGAGACGCTGCGGGTGATGCTAAGGCCTGTCAACTTTTTTGAGAGAAATCCGGCGATTGATGTGCCGAGCAGTCGGCAGGAGATCAACTGTAGTGTTAGCTTGAATGGGTCAGGGGACAAGACAGTGGAAGGGAAACTTAAGGGGTTGACGCTTGGGGGTGAAGGTGGGAAACTGAAGGCTGCCTGTGCATCTCACGGTGGGATTTGATGACGAGGGTGTGAAAGCTGCATTCCGAGTTTGTTATGCGGCGTTTGAGCTGTCAGAATTTATGGAACCCACTGTGCTGTTCCACTCCATCCATACACTAAACATGAGTGTAGCGAGGGTATGAAACTCAACGAAAATAGAACAATGCAAAACCCCCGTAAACCAGGCCAAATTCAATGTGGCGCATGAAAACCCTAGAGGAAGAAGATCATATCCCAGTGTCCCTTCGTACCGAGTTGCGAGTGTGCAGTCGTCAGTCAGCCATGCTGAGCTGCAGCGGCGATCACTGGGCCCTGGCCCCTTTCCCCGGAAAGCTTAAAATACAGTGGGCCCCCACCGCGAACAACGCTCCAGACCAGCCGACGTCATCCCCCCACTTCGAGCTCCGGCTCTGAAATCGCGTTTTCAGCACTTGCACCACCCGACACGGTAGGCGTTTAAATTGGGACTCTTTTTCCCACTCCACCTTACCCCCACGACATCTTTGTTCAACGTCCTAGATCTCGCGCCTAGCATCCTTCGATATTCTCACATTGCAACACACCGTCAGAAAGAGTCGCACAAACCCGTGATTGGGTGTTTTTCTTGCTGTTCTACATTCACGCCAGCTGAATTCCACGCCGCACAACACAGCCGCGAGCAAAGCCAGCACCGTTACGAAATTCCGCCGCAACGAGAATCAAGCATCACAGCCATGTCGCAACATCAGTCACATCCATCGTACCCGTCGCATCCAACATTTATCAACCTCCCACAACCGCCGTCCAATCCGGAAACACCCCCCGAGATTCCGTAAGTCTTTCATGTCACGCCACGGATTGTCGAGCTGAGCCAGATCCCGCTAATACCTCATCACGGCAGAGGTACCCCCACGAGCACAACAACATCCCTCTCCGCCCTCTCGACAACCGCCATCAAAGATGGCCACCGCGGCGCTCTCCACCACCGCGGGCATCAACAGAACGCATCCGTCAACAGCCTCGAAGCCGAACGTGCCGACCGCATCAGCCGCCTAACAGGCCTATCCAATGTCTCAACCCTCCGCGGTCCGCCCGGGCCTTTTGCACAAAACAATTCAGGGTCGCCACAAACCACACCAACATCCACCGGTTTTCCCGCAAATCTCACAGGCCCTGGTGCAATGGCCGGCCTGACGCCAGCCTATTTCGATGCCGCTGGACAGCCCGTCGCAGACACCAAAGTAAGCACTGTCGGTTCGGCGAGCGCCACCGAGAGCGTTGGCGGGCGGACAAGCGGCACAACCGAAGTGGGCGGCGACGGGTCCACGCTAGGCGAGGACCGCGATGAGGACATGCTGACGGAGATGGACTCAGCCAGCGCGAATGGTTACATGGGTGGTGACGGGATGGATGAGGACCTAGACAACATGACGTCGCGCAGTGTGGGGGCCTTTGAGGACCGCATGTCCGACGACGGTAGCGCTAGCTTGGTTGGGTTTGGAGAGGGCGCAGGCAGTACGCTGTCAGGGCCCATCTACCACCGCCGGCCGCTGCCCACGCAAAGTAGCACCAGCGGCAGCGGGGCACTGGCGTGGGCGCTAGAGCGAAGCGGTTCAGGTCTCAGCGACGGCCCGGCCGCATCGCCTGGACCTCACCACCACCCCTATCCTCACACCTACCATGTCCAGCACCAGCGTGGCGGTAGCAGCAGCAGACAGCGGGACTATTCAACACGCTCCTCGGATCGGGATACGACTAGTTCTGATACCCCCGTGAGCCAGTCCGCCGTACGTGAGAGGCGAGAGGCTCGCATGGTGGACGGAGTGGCCATGGAAACCGGTGCACCGGTGTCTGGGGGGGCACCAATGGGACCGGGTTATGGCGATGAAGATGATGTTTTCGTCGACACCACCACCCGTAGTCCTGTTCCTGTCCAAACCCATACGAGTCCAGGCTCAAACCCCGGACAACAACAACCACAGCAACATTATCCACGGACACGCTCACGGCAGCAGCAGCAACAACATCTCCAGCATCATCAATATCCCCAGCAACATCCGTATTCGTTTGCCCACCACCACAACCAACAACATCAGTATCAACCAACACCACCGCTGTCACAGCAACAACATCAGCAGCAACACAATACCCAGCCATCCACCCGCGAGACTGCCGAGCGTATCGTTCGAGAGACCCTCGATGACGGCGAGGAAAGGGTAGGGAGTACCACGCTGGAGAGTCCGCGCGGTAATGGAAAACTGGGGCGGTTTTATTTTGAGGAGAGCTAAGCCCGCCGTCCATCTGAGCCCTCCAACTTGTCTTTTGCCTGTTTTATGAAGTGACAGTTTACCACGAGCAGAAAGAAACAAGATCGTCTTGTGTTCGGGATTGGGATTACATCTCCTTGCTATCTTGTCAAGTGAGATTGGGATTTTAACTAGCATGGGGACGGTTGATGTGTTCTGTCGTTTTGTTTGGTTCGGAGTTGGAGCTGGAGTTGGAGCTGGAGTTTGGGCTGGCTGGCCATGATTTGAAGACCTCGCGATGATGGTATGCAGGGGTTTTGTTATTATTCCTTTTTGTGGACTGAGACTTTAGGCGAGCCGATGCTCCATTTGTACTGCTATGTGTGTTGTTTTGCAATCTATCTTATTCCCTTCGTGCACGTTTTATTTTTATTTTTGTGGTTTGTCGGATCGCATTACTGCCTCGCTTGTGGTTTCAATCTCCGGTTTTGAGACTCTCCAACAACTTTATCTCAATCTTGTTATTTATTTATTTACTTGATATGTGAGGGTTGGACTTGACGATTACCGCTGTTTCTTCTTTTGGTGTACTATTATCATTACTATGAAGGAAGAAAACCAACGGGAACAAACGGTCTGGGGGGTACGGATTAGCATTACAGGATTGTCTTGCCGCAGGGCTAGCGTTTTGTTTTTATTCATCTTCAATCCTTTCGATTTTCCCACACCATGAATGCAAATCACCTGAGCTCGATCGAATGAGTTATACTCCCGTGACTGGCCCTTTGCCAGACGAAGTGGTTGTCTCCCAGGTTTCCGTGCAATCTCTCAGGGACAGGATCATGACCAAGGCTGAGATAACATTGGCAATACAACGAAAATTTTGCGGTATTTCATCAATTGCAAATTGCGAACCGTAAAGTTCGTCTGTTAGCTAGCAAAAGGGGATTCCTAACAACAGGCATTCCCATGTCCATTCATGGGGTTAGCAAACCCGGCGCCGAACACAGCGCTACCGACCCAGAAAATGGGAAGAAACATTTTCCATACACGTTTCAACACAGCGGAACCTCCGCAGTCCCGTCACATTTGCAGCTAGTAGCAAGCAGACAGCATCAGCATCATCTTCACGCCAAGCGCCCCAACGGTATCATCTTGAAAACAAACCGGCAGCAATAAACCGGCCCAGTCAACTCCACCTGTCCCTTGGCCCATTCTTCACCCAGTACCAAACGGTGCAGACCGTCCCAGACAAGGGGAAAGGACCCATTAAGAATAATAAAGCAAAAAAGAACCGTAAAAGCATCACCAACCCCCGCTACCTAACCTAATTTAACGGGACCGACCCATCCGCCTAGCCGACGAAGGCAACATAGCCGGGATATCCTCCATATCATCGTCCAAATCACTGCTCAAGGCACTCCACGAACCCGCAGGGCGATCATCCGCGCCATCATCACCAAAGCCACCACTGACTCGGCCGCCACCATTGCTACCACTCAGTCTCCCTCCTCCCTTTGCGGTCCTTTGTGTCGTGCGTAGCGAGGAACCGAGGGACTTGAAGGTCCGCTGCTTTTTGCGGGGGCTGCTGGTGGGCGGGGTGTCGAAGATGTCACGGCTGGCGTTGTCTGCGTTGTCATTACCGTTCCCGTTCGGCTGAGACGCGGGCCGTGGGCGTTTGGCGGATTTGGGGGTTTTGGTTTTGTTGGAGAGAGCGGCTGAGGTGGTTGTTGGGTTGGGTTGGGTTGCGGGCAGACGTGAGACAGGTACAGGCGACGATGAGGGCAGGATGACCATCCTTTGCTCTTGTTCTTGCTCCTCGTTGGGGGGCTCCTGCTTTTGCTGTTGGTCCTGCTCTGGCTCCTGCTCTGCAGTAGCAGCGGCCGCGGCACTGGCACGTCGTCCGCGCCGTCGGGTGCGGGTAGTCTCGGGTTCATCACTGGGGAAGACTTCACGTCGTCTGGCGTCATCGGCGTTGCCGTGCTCATGTTGCTCATCTTCGGGGTTGGCCTCGTCGCTGCGCTGCGCTTTCTTGTCCCGTCTTCGTCTGGACCTGGACTGTGACAAGTAGGTGAGGATAGGTGGTGAAGCTGTCGGAAGTTCCGGCTCAACCTCTTCCTCCGACTTTGGCTCGATGTATAAGCCACTATCTAGCTCAGGACTGGCTACTCGAGTGCTGGCTGCGGTTCGAGTGGCAGGGGTCCCGTTCTGTGAACCCCAGCGTCCGGGGAGTGAGACCTCGGGTGTGGCTCTGTTATCGTCGTCCTCTTCAGAGAGTAGCGCGGCGTCTTCAGCCTCGGCTCCTGCATCATCCTCTTCCGGGACCGGGCGGACTGGCTCCTTGCCTTTTTTCTTGCCCTTTTGAGACCTCTTGGAAGCGGGCCTAGCGTCTGCTGCAGCAGGACCACCCTCCTCCTGATCCTCATCACCCTCTTCCTGATCCGCACTACCGAACCGACCTTCCGACTCATACATTTCACAGAGGTACCTGGCACAGTCTCGTGTAGTCTTATACTCCCACCTCGGCACCGCCTTCCGCATACGCCCCCAGGTAACCACGAGAGCCTGTCGCTCATACCTCCCGCGAAACGTACCGGACACGATAGCCTTCCAATCAATCCTGGAGTCCGTGCCTGCTTGCGAATCGCGCACTGCGCAGAGAAGACGATACTTGACCTCGGGTGAGATCCTGCGCAGGTCGTCCCGGGCCTTCTTCAAGCGCCAGGAGTTGCCCGCGGGTAGGACGGTAGGCACTTTGTCGGCGACGGGCTCGGTCGCACGGATCCGCTTCCACTTTTCGATACACTGCAACCGGGATCGGGTGTGGCCCATAGCCTCGCTGATAGTAAGCCAGTTGATGAGTTCTTCGGCGGATTTTGTGCTGTTCTCGGGCATTTCTTTCTGGATGGCGTCCACGGCGCTCTCGACCAACGCCCGCAGCTGGTCTTCCTCAGCTTCGGTCCAATACTCCGTCTTGAGCATGCCGCGGCAGACCAAGTAATTCCTCCATCGGTCGCGCACGTCTTTCTGGTAGCGGTTGATCAAGCCGGCAATATAACTCCACTTCTTACCATGCTTCTCAACCAGCTCCACCAGCTCCTCGTCCTGCTCCGGCGTCCAGGTGCCGCGTCCCGCCCAGTTGTGGAAACGCTGTCGGGTCCAACTGATCAGCTTCCTTCGCGGCCGCGAGGGGCAGGCGTCTTGGATCGTAGACCAAAACCGGCGAACGATGGTGTCGCTGCTTGTTTGTGGGTTGAGGTGGATCATGCGGTTCAGCTCTTCCTGGGTCAATTCTTCGTTGTTCCGGAATCGATCGACAGCCCGGGTGATCTGGCCCTGCTCGATGTCAGACAGCGGGCCAGACCGGTACTGACCCCGTTCAGGAACCTCCTCGTCCGAGTCGTAGCCGATTGAATCTGGTGCTGGCTGCCTTTTGGGCTTCTTTGTCCTCCAAGGAATGGGAGAGGAGGAGGGGGGAGCATCGGCCCCATCTTCTACGATGGGGACCAAGACCTTCCTCTGGCGTGTCGATTGGCGAAGATTGGGGGTAGCCTCGGCTTGCGGAAGCTCGGCGAACGCCTGTGCGTTTTCCTCCTCTTCGGTGGAAACAAACGGTTGCTTGGCCTTCCTCTTCGCGCTCTTGGGCGCCACATTCGCTTGAGCTGATGATACCAGGACGTTAGAATCCAGTTCAGGGCTCGGCGGCTGAGGGGCGAGGTCTTCTGTGCCGCCGTGCACCTCGGCGAGGTCAATATCTCCATGCCCATACTCCGGCATCCCTTCGGGCGCGACCTGCGAGCGTTGCCCGTCGGATACCACTGATATATCGTCATTTTCGTCTGTGCCGCCCCCGCTCCCAACCGCAGAATACTGGTCGTCCGCCGTGTATTGGTCGCCCGCCGGAGTGTACTGGTCGACGTTCAGAACAAAATCTTCATCTTCACCCCCCGCAAAACCAACATTGTCACCCGCTGCGGGGTCGTGGCCGCCATCTGGCAAATATTGTTTACCGTTGTCGTAAGGCAACTCATAAGGCAACTCATCTAGATCCATTTCATCCACAGGCTTCGGCAACGCCGGACCCTGCCCGTCTGCTTCAGCGTACCCAGAATCCGAATTGGGTCGCTCCGCATCAGCCACCAATGCCCCCGACATTTCCAGCACAGGGTCCGCAGCGTTGACGGGCAAATGGTCACCCCGGAGTTCCCTTGAAGCTTCCAGCACTCCATCCACATATTCCCCGTCCGATACCTCCGAGGTCCTGCTCTTTTTGCGCGACTTTGCTCCGCTGCCCCGCCGCCCCCTTTTGTGAGATTGTGTACTCGCCAAGGTTTCGTTGTCGTTGGCGGGCAGGTCACTGGTAACAACTGGGAGCTCCTCCTCTTCATAATTCTGCTCTTCCTCCTGTTGTCGCTGTCGTTGTTGCCGTTGCCGTTCCTCCTCCTCCCGTCGTGCAGCCTCCCTTGCAGCCGCCTTTGCCTTTTTCCTCTGCCTCTTACTCAGCTTCGGTGGCGAGTCCGGTGCTGGCGTAACTTCTTCGGCATCCGTCGCATCCTCAGAGGCATCTCGGTGCCTGCCGTCAGCAGGTCGTCGTACAGCAGGCGGAGAAGGCGCCCGCTGCCGTTGTATGTTGCGCAAATACTCCCGGCGTATCGCAGTCGCCTCCTTCCCTTCCTTGTACATCTCATCAGCCGCCCGCTTCAATGCCGCTTGTCGCTTCTTCTCGCGTTTAATCTTGTGTTTTGAGAGCGATTTCTCGGGTTGTGTTGCAGAATACACCTGCCCGTCTGGTGACGTCGAGCGACCAACCGAGCCGACGGGCTGGCTAGCGTTTGAAGGCAGGCCGCCAGGAGGAAGTGATGGGTAACGATGGGATTCGGGAGAACGACTACGGGAACGTTTACGGCGCCTATGCCATGAGAGCGTGCCAGGGTCGCCCGGCGGGTAAGGGAGACCGAGGTCATCGTTGCGACGGATACGAGGGACGGGCATCGTAGAGGGTGGAACAGAGGCGCTAGCGTCGTCGTTTTCGTCGGTGCCGGCTTCGGGTAAAAGCTGATGAGCGCGTGGGAGTGGTGATAGAGAGCGAGATCTGTTGCCCGGGGGCGACTCGGGACGACTCGATTCATTGCCCATCATGAGTTTTGCCCGGCTCGCGGGGCTCATCGAATTAGGAAAGGCGAAACAATCAGCGGAAAATGCGATGGGTGCATTAGGGGAGTTCGGATCAATCGGCTAGCTGCAGAGGCAATGCCGATTGCAAACGGAACGGCGCCGTGATTAAGGAAATCGTTGAATTGTGGGGAAATTTCGATCCGAACTTCGCAAAAACGCGAAAGTTTTGGAGATTTTGAGTTTTGGCGTTTGGAATCGCGCGTTGCAGTTGGAAGGTGGGGAACCGAACCCCAGTTCTAGACTATTCCACTTTAGGTAAGGCGTCCCCTCCCATGCAGATCCAAGATACAAGAGCCGCTCAACTTCATTTCATCCATTTTCTGTTTGATATTTGCAACAAAATCTACATACACCCTCTAGAACTAGGTACGAGCTCGATTAATTACGTTTCCATATTTAGAGCAAAGAACTTGTTTGCAGCCCCATCGCCCTTCTCCGCGAGGACCAAGCAAGAACCATAGCCACCGATCAATGCCGAACGCCGAGCAAACCACACGTTTCTTCCCTTTCCTTGATTCACAGTGTGTCGTTTGCTGCTTGCTGCTTGTTGCCTGCAATCGGCGCCATGCGTAACCCACCGGTGTTCTTTCCAGCCCAGAAAAGACCGAGAGGGGGCAGGTAGCTGCATGTCCGCTGCAGCTCGCAGCCGAGATATATCCCCCTCTACCATATCCGAGAACGCCATCGCCAACGCTGATGCAATGCAAGCCGAAATATATCCCCCCTCTTTCATTACCAAGAACGCCAATGCCATGCAATGCCAACGCCGATGCAATGTCAACCTCTTGCCATGACTCTAACGAAACTCAACTAATTACCAGACTTCTTCGAGCCCGACGAGCCCGACGCCGATGACCTCTTCACTTCCGGCGAGTCCTTTCCGCTCCCCCCACTTCCCATACTACCACGAGCCTCCAAATCCGGCTTCTCCCTCGAAAAGAAGCTGGACTTGCGTTGCCGCAGTTTCGGAATGCTAAACACCCGCTTCAACTTCTTCAGCCGTGACTCGGTCGGCGGTGGTCGTTCGTCGCTGCTATCAGAACTCCAGCGTGATGTCAGGACTACCTCATCGTCATTAGCCTCCTCATCTTGATCGGGCGTTGCCGTTTGGGCGGCAGGAGGCTGGCTGCTCAGCGCTTCCTTAAGGGCAGCCTGTTGGTCTTTGCACTGGCTGTTCGATCGTCGGCGGAGCCTTTGGAAGCTGCGGGCTTTGAACAGGGTTTTAACCGACGATGAGGGCTTGTTGGTGAGTTTGGACGAGGTCTCGGATTTGATCAGCTTCGGACTGTGTCTTTCGCCCAAGTCGGGCTCGTCGTCGAGATACGAAGTATGCGGGGTCTGCTGCGAGAGTTCCGGCGGATGTTTCAAGAACTCAGGCGGGTTCAACAAGAAGTCCGGGAGCGGGCTAGGAAGAGGTGGCTTAGTGAGCTTTGGCGGTGCTTCAGCGGGAGGCATGATCTCTTTCAGCAGCTCATGGTAGCTTTTTCCTCCGCCATATCGGAGAATTGACTTTCCTGCGGTTTTAGCTTTGGGATTGACAGGGGCTGAAAAGTCACGGCGGAACCGTTCGTGCTTGGGTTCAGGTTGCTGGTGATCCAGCTCGGGCTGGTCAACCTTCGGGTGGTCAACCTTCGGGTGGTCAACCTTCGGGTGGTCAACCTTCGGCTGGTCAACCTTCGGCTGGTCATTTTTTCGCTCATCGAGCTTTGCCTGGTCGAGCTTGAGCTGGTCGAGCTTTGCCTGGTAAGTCTGCGGCCGGCCAAAGTTGGGTCGTTCAACCTGCACCCGGCTAACCTGTACCTGTTTAAGCTGTGCCTTCTCACTCTGGTGTTGTTCATCCTGCACAGGTCCTTTGTCCATTTCTTCGATCCGAGGAACCCGGGCTGGCGGCTGTTCATTCTCAGCCCGCTCGTGAGTGACAGGCCCCAGACTCAACGGCACTGGAGCGACGAACATATACCGCTGCGGCACGCGGGGGACAGGAGGAATATATTCCTCTTGCTTGGGCATAATACCAAGAGGTTCCGTCACACTCCTCGCACGTAGCCCAACAAGACCTTTCGAGCCGGGAACGTTCAGTGGCTTCGGGACGAGCTGCTCTCGCTGCTGTTGGGAACTCCTGAGTTTGATGAAGTTCTCCGAGTCCATCTTGTAGTCATCCCGGTCAGACTCATGCCGCTGGAAAATTTCCAGGTCCTCTGCCTGCTGTGTGCTTTGCTTGCCCTTTGGACTCTCTGTGCGTCCCGGGCTCTGTTTGTGTTGTGGGCTTCCTCCTACACTCCCCTCCCGTTCTCGGCGCTGGATACGGCTAGAACGCTTCAAACGGGTCGGCGTAAGCCCCAACCCTAGTGGCATGATCATTCGCGATCGCCTCCTTGGCTGGTACACCTTGAGTCTGTTCCTTGTGAGCCGCAACGGAAGCTCAGGCAAAGGTCCGCTCGGCGGGAGATGCATCGGAGGCGAGAAGTTCGGGTCGGACCAAACGATTCCCTCGATGTCCAATCGGGGTCGGATGTCTGTAGTCGGGCGGATCGTAGATGCACCCTCCGAATCATCGTCGTCGTCTTCGTCATCCTCACCATCGTCGCTAGCGTTCGTGCCTCGATACCAGTTGCGGCCGGCGTCATCAATCATCCGGAGAAGGTCCTGGGTATCGGAGCTCGACCCGGCACTACTGCTCCGCAACGTGGGGTGCCGTTCCTCTGCTCTCGTCGGGATAGTGGGGGGCTGAGCCGACGATGCCAGCATCAGCGGAGCAGTGGTCATGTACCCACTTGTCCCAAGACCACCATAGTCTACTCCTTGGGAAGTCGGCTGTGATTTTCTGCCCCAATAATTTGCGTACAACGCCCGGAAGTCCTCAGCTGAAGCGCCGTGCCGGAGCGCAGGGCCGGGCATGTCATGGTGGACGCCATAGAGGTGTGCGACTTGCCAAAGCTGTACTTCTACTCCGTCGAGTGATATCCGAGTGCATGGGTTGGCCAATTCCTCCGCCGACAGCCGGGGCAGCTCCATGTTAAGTCGGTTCATTTTCTTGAATTAGATTGAAACTGCGTAGTTCAGTTAGTTGCCGCGACGGGGTGAACGATGATTCTTTGGGATGCGATAATCACCGCCGACTTACCCCAATGTTCATTCTTCCGGTCCGATTTCAAAGTCTTGGAACGAGGTCGGGATACAGTCGAGGAATTTGAAGTTATAGATCGAATGACTGCATCCCACAACAGATGATGTCGATGGGATAGTCGGAGGACCAATATTGCAGCCGGTCGCTAATCCGTGAAGAAAGGGTTGTGGTTGGTATTGGAGCATTCAAATCAAATATTCCGTTCTTGACGAGGAATTCCTACTCATGGTCGCGTAAAAACACATGCCGCGAAATTCAAGGGCAGGAGCGAGAACGCGTCAAGTTCAGACGGAAGCCCAAGTCACCAAGGTGCAATCATTTTGCAAAAAGACCACCCAGCACAGTCCCAAGAACTGCAACTTTCCATTTGCCAGTCATCCTGTACCTTATTCTGGTTTCTACCTGTATTGTCTCGCCTCCCTGGCCTCTTGAATACCGTGAGGGAGGTTCCTCTGCAGTTGTAGTCTTTTCAAATGAGGCGATGACTCGAAATTAGAACACAGAAGTGCAGTTAGCATCAGGCTGCCTGGTCAAGTACATTAAGAGAAACGTTTAGATTTACAACCCAGGCATATTCACTCCATGTAGATGACAACAATCGGGGTATTTCAAGGCACTCTCAAAATATCAGAAACCAGTGAGTTATGAGGTCAACTAGTTTTATCGGGGGGTTGCCATGTCAGCTGTCTAAGTAGATAAAAATGCGAACCCAATAACAACTCGTCAGCAAACAGAACATATAGGAGGACGTTCGAAACAACATATTACCCAACCGAACTGGCTTCCTTTCCTTGACACAGGAACAAATAACACCATATATAGAACACACTCCCTCTCTTTAAGGCCCTAGCCTCCGGGGTTGTGCCGTTTGAACTTCCCCATGAACATTCTGTCAAAGCAGGCCCTCAATGCGTGACATAGATAACTACCTACACATCCGTAAACTGTGTTAATGATGTCTAGGAAAATGTACATTGCATGGAGAAATGCTCAATGATGCTGGCTAGCCACACATCATTCTAGATTCGAAGATAATAATTGATTAAACATGTTCCAAGTGTAGGTTGAGAACTTGAGGAATTAAGTAAAAAATGCGTAGTTAACGTAGTTAACGTTTTAAAGTTTAGAAATTAAACATAATTAGATGACAAGCTATTTCATTTTCTGGGACCCTCCTTACGTTCTATTGTTTCCTAGACTCATTTTGATTATTTTCTTTGTTTCCATTCTCTCGCCTTTATTTGTAGCTAGCATATTTTTTTGTGTTGTGACACTCCCCCTTTCAATGACATCTCCTCTTGCACACGAGTGTTGTTCAGGGGCTGACATAAACAAAGCTCCTCGCTGCCAAGACGCCCAATTGAGGCAGCCGGTACCTGCCAAGACTCGGTCTTGTCCGAGGCTTCAGCCGCCAAGAAAAGCGCAATTCAAGGAACTTCGCCTGGAACCAACGGTGCTTCCATAGAAACACCAACTTGACATTCCCTTTCTTCCACGCCGCGCACGAGACCAAGACCTGGCCGGCCCTTCGCTCACTTCAATTCCTTAATTCGTTTCCTTCTGATTTCGTTTCTGCAACACTCGCTTAAGTTACATTTTTCTAAATATTTCTTTTTTTTATTCCTAAGAGGAGCACTCATCTCCTATTCAATTCAATTGCAGCATGTTTTCCTCTCGGGTAGCGTACCGCTCATTGCTGGCGGCCACCAGGACGCCGCGGCATATCGCCTTCCCAAGAGAGATCCAAAACCCATGCTTACAGCCTAAGACTAAGAGACTTTATTCAAGTGAACCTAACCGTCCTTCTGGTACGTCTATTGCACCTTCGCTGGTCTTTCCTTTCTTACCTTTTTCTTGTGAGGGGGGTCTTGAGGCTGGTTTGGGAATACCGCTCCGTTCCTCAGTTTCACCTCACCATGAAACTTCGCTGGTCTTGTGTGACCTGGTGACGTAACGGTTATCGGCCCAGATCACCGTGTTGTCAACATTGACTGCTCTCGGGGATTCCAAATAAGTCACTTCTTTTCCACCGGCTTGTTTTTTTAAAGAGCCTTTCTTACATTGGGCATTCGATTAAACTGTTACTAACTCACCCAGCAGAATCGGGAGCTGGTCAACAATCACAATTCCCTCCTCCTCCTCCACCACCACCACCACCAGGGCAAGATGCTCAGCAACCCCTTATCTCCAAGATGGTGGAATCCGCCGCCACCTCGCTTGCTTCAATCTTGGTTCTTGGTGTCGGTTTCGGCTTAGCAGCGTACGCATATCATAAGTCGTACAAGTACATGGTGCTCCACAAGATGTCCAATGCCTTTGAGCCTGGTGACCCCGTCCTAGATCTCGCGGCCATCGGCAAAGATCTCCCTCTCCACCACACAGCCGCAGCCACTCACTGGGTCGAGCGGCCGGAGCAAGCCATTGTTGACGCTATCGTGTCCGGCCACAGTGGGGGGCACTACCACCTCTTTATCGGAGAGAAAGGCACCGGTAAGAGCAGCATGCTCCTCGAAGCAATGCGGAAAATCGACGGCGACGGCGTGGCCATGTTTGAAGCGCATGCCGATCTGGAAATCTTCCGGATCCGTCTCGGCAAAGCGCTGGATTACGAATTCCACGAGGATTATATCGGCGGGTATTTCAGCGAACGTGGGCCGCGCGACACCACCGCGCTCCTCGACATTGAGCGTGCGCTCAACAAGCTCGAGAAAGTCGCACTACAGCGGCGGAAGCACGTTGGGAAGCCGCTTATCCTCATCATCAACCAAATGCACCTAATCCGCGATGACGACGACGGCAAAGATCTCTTTGAGCTACTGCAGCAACGCGCTGAGCAGTGGGCCGCCGCCGATCTAGTCACCATGATCTTCAACAGCGATGACTACTGGGTCTACGAACGGCTGAAGCAGTTGGCTACCCGCATGGACGTTCTCACCATCCTCGATCTGCCCAAATCGCAAGCGACAGCAGCGCTGAAGAACTATCGCCAACGGTACTTCCACGAGCACCCATCATCGGAGATTCTGGAACAAGTTTACGACCGCGTGGGTGGGCGACTTAACTTTCTGAAACGCGTTGCCAAGAGCCATGACATGCTGGAGGCATGCGATCGCATCAAAGAGATGGAGAAGACGTGGTTCCTGAACCAATGTTGGATTCTAGGCCCAGAAATGGATGATGACGTGATGGATCAGCAGAAGTGGGCGGTAAGTTTTCTGATACCCCCTTCTGTGTTTTCTCCCCCCTTTTCTTTTCTCTTTTCGTCCTTCTACCAATATCCTTCCTAACCCACCTCCTCCAGGCCGCAGCCGTCGTCCTCGCCACAGCGCTCGTAGACAAAGAAAAAGAAATGGAAACCACCTACGACCCCGTCGTCGGCCACGTCCTGCCCTCCTTCCCCCTCTTCCAAGCCCAAGAGATCATGACCCGCGTCGACTTCGTCCGCGCCTTCGACCGGCTCAACCTCTTCAGCATCACCAGCGACGCACACGTCCGCGCCAGCTCGGTACCCATGCACTTGGCCTTCCAGGAGATTGTCGCGCAGCCGGGCTTCCGCGAACATCTGCAGGGCACGATTGACCGGATTGCGGCCATTGAGAGTCTCGGCCGAACGAGGGAACTGGTGGCGAAGGATTTGGTGCTGGGTGGGAAATACGAGATTCGGAAAGTACCTGGGGGTATCGACGTGACGTTGCAAGAGAAGGAAGAAGAAGGGGAGAAGGAGAATGGGCAGGGTGATGGGAAGAATTGAGGCTTGCGCAGAAGATATCCATCCGGCGAGTTGTGAGGGAAAGGGGTAGTGAGTACGATAAAAGTGAGAAACCTACGATTTATCTTTCTTTACGTTTCCTTTTTTCGGTTTATTGGGAGGGGTTGTTTTGAGGTTCTGTGTAACAAATCTCTGTACGCATATGTGTGTTTGATAGGGCCAGGTCGGCGGGGTATGAGGGAAAAGGGAGAGAGAGCCACAAAAGAGCTAGGTTTGGTTCAAGACTATGGGCGCAACATTGCGCGCTCTCACAAAACAGATTCAAGACACGTACTATTCAGTCACTGCGGTATTGGCCCAGGAGCTCCAGAGATCATGTCCGCGGGAGGGCCAAAAGAAAGGAAGCCCTTTTCATGCTCGAATATTCTGCCTGCAACGCCAGCTAGCCACTTAACCCGGGCCCTATGTTGTCGATCGTGCGAGATCATGTATCCATAAGAAATGCAACCAAAAGGAAAAAAATGTAGATTAACAAGCATCTCTCTCCCCTTTCTGCAGTGAACGCCATGTCTCATGTCCGATTCCCACCCCCGGTATGTGTTTCGCCAGATTCTCCCCCAAACACCGGTCTCAGTGCACCGTAAGCTCTGCGCTCCTATGCCCGTCCCACCCATACCGACATGCATACCTAAGTTCTCGAAAGAAAAGCTGTACCATGACTCCGAAAAAAAGAAACGAAGAACCAAGAGAAACAAAAAGAAAACCGCTGCTCGCCATCTGCAACTGTTCCTAGTTCACGTAGAACCGTCAGAATAAAAAGGAGAAAAGTTCACATACCCTTCCTTACGCCCGCCACATATCCCAAGAACCCAGTACCCAAGAAAGATAGTAAGAATATAAGAAGCAGCGACTGTCCTGATAACCAGTTGCGATGTCTGCGAGAGCATGCTGTCCCCAATGTTGGGATGTAGTAATAGCTGTAGTGAGGGCTAGCGGAAGACGCAAACGTAAAAAGAAAAAGGAAGAGAAAAAAGACGAAAGGAAGCATAGCTCCGGGGCCTCATTATGTAAGGTCATTTGGAACGCCGTGGTCGAGTAGGCAGTAGTCAGAGAATAGGAGTAGACTCCCATCACGCAGGGATGAAGTCAAGGTTGAGCCTCTCAGCAATGCCTGGCCAATCCCACGCGGCGATCCATTCACCGGCTTCCATGAGGCGCCAGACCTCGTCGAGAACCTCGCCGGCACGGTCTGCATTGCGAAGCCCGGTGTAGCCCCTAACTATCTTGAGCGCCGTCCGTGCCCGCTTTTGTTGTGAAGGGCTGAAGCATGCGGTCCCAATCAAGAAGCATGGGAGCAGGAGAAGCGTCTGGCACGGGTCGCTGGGCTTGAATGACTCAAGTAGAGCTAGTGACTCCTCGACCGCATGCGTCAAATCCGGGTCCAGATCAGGCGGCCGTCGGACGGGTGGCGGTGATTCGGCTCGGCTTCCTCCAGCAGCTGCAGTTTCACCGGATTGCGTAACATGGCTGTTGCTGGTGCTGGTTACCGGGTTGTGCTGAGGGCGAGAGAACGGGCCGAGGCGCGAGTTTGGGCGGCTGGATTTGGGAATCGGTCCCAAGGCAGAACTGGTAAGCTTTGGGGACGAGGCGCGACTCGTAGATGCCGACTTCGGTGGCGTGTTTACCGCCGAAGGGGGGGGCCGGCCGTGCGATGCGGAACTGTGGATAAAGGAAAGAGACGCGGCGGAGGACGCCATGGACGAGGGGGGCGACGATACGGGTAGGTAGATGGCCCGGTTGAGATAGATCCACAACATCTGCTTGTACAAAAGGCTGACTTGGTCCCGGTTGTCGCCCGGCGGCCATTGAGGGGTCCATTCCTGAATGGCGCAATCGAGGTCATAAGCTGGATACAAATCCTCGTAATCAACAGCGACATCCACTTGCGCCATCACCTTACTCCGGATCCGGTTGCGAATGGCCGTGATCTGCGGCAGGAAGCCCAGCAGGCCATCTGCAACGCCGATCAACCTAGGTTGATGGACGGTCGGAATGGACGGGAGCGGTGCGTCCAGTGTGTTTTTCTTGACGGCTGCGTGGATAAGTCCATCGGCGTAAATGTGGTACTGAAATATCTCGGCAATGAAGGACAGAAAGTCTGAGTCCTCGGGCGGGGAAGTGGAAACTAGGTTGCGATAACCAGAAAGGTGTAGCCTATGCTCACCACGTGGGCTACCCTCTACAAGGGCTTCCAGGAGAAAGCAAAGCATTTGACCGTACCGCGCAGCAACTAGCGTCTTGTCGTCGGTATTAGAAGTGACATTCGTCGACTCGATATCATGGTAGAACTTGAGTCTTGACTGGTGATGATGGTAGAGGGAACGCTCCTTTAGTGCATGGGCCGTCGTGCTGGGGTTGGTTTTCAAGATGTTGAGGCCGTATGGCGTTTCGAGATCGAGGTGTTTGCTGGCCAGTGACAGAATGGAGTGCATGAGGCCTTGGTGTTTCACCGCGATGGGAATCATCATATCCTTGAACGCGTTCTTATGCTCCCCTTCGACGGTGAGAACAGTGCTGAGATGCTCGTTGTAGTGTTTCCAAAAGATTCTGTCTTCGGCAGTCTCCAAACCGTGGAAAAGGGGTCGCATGGTGATAGACGGAAAGCCGCGACCCTTGAGGCGTTCTGCGATCCAAGTTAGACCAGGTCTTTTGAGGCGCAAAACACTGTTGGTTCTCTGTCCTACCCTCCTCAGCCTTTTCCTTGCCGCTTTTCCAGATCTGCTTCTCCGGATAGCCCTCGCAGACGACCGCGTTCTTCTCGCAGTTCATGCCTGCGAATGAAGTTAGGGTACTCATCGCCTAGTGCGATTCCTCGTTGCTCCACATCCTAATCACTTACATCGCGGCTTTGCCTCGTCACACTTCTTTTTTCGTTTCCTGCAGGTTAGGCATCCAGTTTTGGACCGACCCTTGGTGACTTTATTCGCGGTAAGGTGGGGAAGGAGCGGGTGCTTCCGGGGCCGCCCTCGCGGTCGTTTAAGCTTCGGTCCATCTAGGTCTCCTTGTAGATGACCCAGGAGAGTGGGAGTAGGCGGCGAGGGAGCCTCTTGGAGATCTTCCATGCAGAAATCATCGTCATCGAGAGGCTCCAGCTTAGGGACCGCCAACATGCCGTCCGAGCCGTCCTCCCAAGGGCCATGGTAGGGATGCGCCTCGTGGGTGTCCAGGCCGTGGTGGTGGGCCGAGATATGCTCCGGGACGGCATAGTTCAGGGGCCAAGACGGCGTCCGGGCTGACGACGATGACGATGAGTGCGGCCCGGTGGTAACGGGGGGTGATTGAGACGGAGACGCGAGGCTGCCGGCACTAGAGACGACCCTGCGCGGCTGGTCCACGGCGTTGCTGATGGGTGAGAGCTGCCCGGTATGGGCGAAGCCCGTGGTGGAAGACGAGACTGAGACCGAGGTGGAGCCGGTCGAAAAGGAGTCCAACCACGGCGTAGGCATGGTGACGGACCGGGCATCGTCCGAGTCCACGCTGTGGCTATCCGACCATCTCAACTCTCCGTCGTCTGGCACAACAGAAAGAGGGCAGTCCATGGTCTCGTCAGTTAACGAGACCATGCTAGCACATCGACTAGGATGGGACAACGGGGGACCGGCCGTTCTGGTTGGAAGAGGGTCCCCAGGTCTTAAGGCGAATGGCAGAAAGCGCGCAAGGTGGGGAGCTGGTGTGGGAGAGCCGCTTTGCGAGCGAAGGTTGGGGTGCCCAGCCTGGCTGGCTAGCCGATCAGATATCTCGGGGACCAGGGAGGGGCAAGAGGCTACAGATGGCGCATGCATGGGACAGAATCAGGGTCCGGGGAAGAGAAAACTCAGTCCAGGAAGAGAAAGCGAAAGAAGTAAGACATGGGGAGTACGTGTAAGGGAAACAGAGAACAACATCGACGATGAGAGGAGGTCATCACCAAAGCGACGACAAGACTTTTCGCCTTCCCAGTACTTATTTCCTACAAGCTCCAGACCGCGAGGTGCGGACTGGCCTTGAGAGTTGGGGTCACCAACAGAGGGGCATTGTCGACGATTGGAGAGCGCTCGCGAGAGTCAATCAGGACTCAGGAGAAACGAATTGGTGGGCGCTTCGCTGGGGGGGCTGGTTGAGTGGTGAAGCGACCACCGCCCGGGAGCCTCAGCGAAGCAACGAAGCCCCACGCCCTTGCCCATGTTCGGCAGCGGACAGGGGTGCTTCGTTGCATGGATGTGCACTGCGCTTGGCTTCTCCACAGTGCCATTTTCGTCCTGTCTCAGGGCACGGGGGGGCATCCTCAATGTGAAGAAACCCAGAGTCGCGTTCGAGATGGAAACCTTTACTAGGCAAATCTCCCACAGATGGAGCCTCTTGACGGATCCCCTCCGTAGTTGGTTCGAGGTTGGGTACCTTCTTCGACCAAATGATTAATTACGTAGCTAGGAGGGAGAAACGGGGGGAGGACATTGAGGGGAAAGTGCGGCCCAGCAGGCAAGAGGGGTACGGATTTGTTGAGGTACATACAGTACCGAACGAATGTTCTTGCCCTCCCCTCCATGCCCTCTAAGGTAGGACCCGTGTCTGGTCGTGCTTGCCCAAGGTCATTGGGCAAAGGCTGGAGGGTCTGTGAGAAAGGCTGTTGCCGCGGGATGGCGCGGGGACGGGGAAATTTGACGCCCTCCACCAGTCCTCACCTCACAGCGCTTCCAGCTCTGCCCGGCCTTCACTCACCATTCGTCGGCCCCGCCTTGGGGGTGGTTCCTGTTACTGTCAGGTAGTGACTGTCGATTCTCCGCCCCAGTCTTTGATCGGCCAGAATGCCCTGCAAGTGACCCGCACACTTGCGGCCGCTGGTGCAGCGGCAGCAAATACGACAAACAGAAACCAGCCAACCCTTTTGCCTCGCAGATTTACACAACGGGAGGCTGGGTTTACCCTCCTCATGTCTCGGCGTGACGAAGGTCTATCAACAGATGCGGCCGGGGAACTCCCGCAAACCCTGTCTCGCGTTTTGACGTTTCAGAGCTACAAACGAAAGATTTACAAAGCAGTAGGACACGAAACAGACGAAGGGGGGGCCGCTCGTGGCCTAATTTTCGAGACGCCGAAAGCATAACGTTAGTTACGCTGTGATGCGCTCTTGCACAATTCCTTCCATATGATACCATCATCGCGGGCAAGGCCAAACTCCATGCATATGTACCCTGCTCAAAATGGAGACAAGCCCGGGGCCCTCTCCGACTGTCAACCACCAAGAGAAACGCCCGCAGGAGGTCATCTTGCCGAGTATTTCCGCCCATTCGACCGACTCCCCGACCGGCCGCTGACTGACCACGCCAAACCCGACGGGCGCGCAATTTGTGAATTCACAATACTGTTCCACCCTGAAGGAACAGAACGACGGGGGACTTTCAGGGGTTGGCCGCCCATGAGGGACCTCCGAAAGTTGTGATGGTTACTATGGCTGCCGTGTCACCAATGTTGTGCGGTGCCGGCCATCTCCCGAGGGCCGGGAGTGGTGGTGGTTGTTGGGCAGACCCTCGCATGCAGGGTCGATTCCGTTGGACAGAGATGCAACCCGCCAGGTCCTGCTTTTTGCGGCCCGGTCGGTCATCTTGAGGCTGCACGTTCGGAACAACGCCATGCACGAATCAACCGCCGTTCAAAGTGTGGGGTGCATGTGTGCCCAACGCTCACTCTCAGCACCGCAAGGCCCTGACGGGGCGCACCTTGAAATCAGACTCGTTGAGAGAGCGCTGAGGGTTTGACGACCTTTTTCACAACGAAAATGGGATCCGCCCAGTCACCCGGCTGCTACGGCACAATGAGTGTGCCAGTGCTGGCCTGATCGGGATGCTTGACATACCACAAGGGTCTCGTCGACCAGGATATGCTGCATGTCGATCATCCCGCCCCGTACTGGCACGGAAGGGTCAGATCGAAGCTGCATTGCTCGAAACGCGGATGTCCTCTGTACATACACTACGGGTATGTGGAACTAACCAACCCGAAGTTCGGGACCAGCTCGCGAAGGGGCCGAAAATATCGCTCTTCGAGCGCCCGCCTGCCCACCTCCCCGCCGAGGTCGTCAACCCAGCGCTCTGACTACACTAGCTAATTCGCCCAGACAAGATGTCAGAAGCGTACTTCCACGCATGTACGGTCCTCTCTACACGTGCTTGTCTTAGATTTGGATCCTCTCGCTTGCCATCAAGGTGTCATCACGAATCCACAGAACCTGTGGCCCCCACGCTGCAGTCGTCGAGTTGATGCTAGGATTGAGAAAACGAGCCACCAACCCTGGGCATTTTATTTTCTAATCGGTCGCCGAAGGCGATACCACATATTGGTCGATAAGCCCTCCTCGCAAGTTGCACCCCGTGGTAGCGTCAACGTCACCCACCAATATCCTTGGACTTTCCAATCGCGTGGAGCAGGCTCACCGCGACCTTCCTCCTTGTTCAAAAAAGGTAACCTTTTCCACACAACGGTAACGCCCCACCGAAGCGGCAGCGAACACGGGGCGGACCGTTAGCTTCGCACTTCAACACAAGATCCGGCCTCATCTCCTTCCAATAAAAGCGAAGCAGGCGAGAAAAACTGGGGGCAGCGGGACTCAATGGTCTTTTTAAAAAAGAACAGGCGCACCGGATTCAGAAGTGAGGGGGAAAACCTTGCGCTTTAGGCTATGACGACATCGCTCAAGTGCAATTGTGCCCCGCAATGTGATCTTCTCCCAGTGGTAATTGAATCCCCGATGGTAGGTCATTCCGATACGTTATGTTCAGGTAATTGCGAGGCTGACATATCGTCTGTTTAATCAAAGGAAACAACCACTATTAGTGTACATCCGGCTAATCACTTTTGGTGTTTTCGACAAAACTGTCAAAGCAGGGCGAAGAATGATGAATGATGGAAGGTTGGCAGGGAAGGTGGGATGATGCGAGGGGTAAACCTGGAATACCCCGCAATCCCCACCACGCGAGCTCGCGAAGGCCTTCGGAACAACAGCGGCAGAGAGACAGCCCTGGGGCTTGGCCACTGCGGCGCCTAGTGTAGCCCTTCTGAAACACCACTTCGCCGACCATCTTTAGGTTGTCTCGAGTTGTCTCTCGATGGATCGGAAAGGCTAAACTGGAGGAGATTGTGACCAGTTGAGCCACCACCATCGTCAAGTCGAGTCCTGGTGCGGTCGGATTGAACCAGGCCGGTCGGGCGCACGACATTGCGACACCCCCACTCCCGATGACATTGTGATCGATGAAGTAACACAGCATACATCTTAGACCCTCATTATCCTACCGATTCCGTATCAGACACTGACTCCAAGCCTTGGTCTCGCGGAGTCTTAGATCGGCCTCTTTTTAGAGTGTTTGAAGATCGTGCCGGACTTGACTTGGCATTTCGAGCTCGGTAAGTCCGCTCACCGACACAAGTTCTCCACGGCTCTCCCGCATCATTCCATCGCACGTTGCGCGTCGTCTCCACGATCCGTCCATCGGCTAAGGGGCACGTTGCCGGGTGAGGGCCGGTGATGTCGGATAGGGACAATTGGCTGTCATGCCGTCCGGTCGTCCCTTAGCCGCTGCCCTTCACTACAAAAAGCTAGTTTACTCCCCCCGCGGACTTGATCCCAGGTTCAAGTGGCTGAGTGGAGCGGCTGGCCAGACGGATCAAGCTCGCGTGCTTACCGCCTCGTTGGGATCGCACCTTGGAAAGACGATCCGGCAGACCATTCCGTTTGCTCACCGTAGACTGACCGACTTCACACGCGGGGTGAGGCACGAGTCTGGTTTTTGGCAACGGCCCATAAGCAAGGGCCTCGGGGCTGCTTTTGATCAACGACATCCATTGCACACACGACGTGGCCAACCCCAATCACCCATTGAGCCACGCTCCACCTCCTTTTAATAAAAAGCACGATCGTTGGGGGTGCATGTACCCAGCTCAGATCCGTTATCCCGAATATTTTCCTTCCACCGCTCACCAAGATGAGGGGGGCGAATTGGCTGCTCACCGAAGCCCTGGACGAGACAGGGAATCGACCATTGGACCAGCTTGTTACCTCCGGAGAAAAAGCAAGGTCACACACATTGCCGGGCTCCACCGCGGTGGTCGCCAGACCTTTCGGTGACACGAACTGCTGTGGCTACCCTAGGCTTATGAGAACAGGGCTCATGCCGGATACCTACCTCCCTCGTTGTTTGTCCCACCAAACTTCGTGGAGGCGCAGACGAGAGACGGACTCGCTCCATTCCGTTGCCTCGGCCCAGTTAAGAGGGATATCCCACGAGACTGTTTGTTAAACTGAGGGTCACACAGGAAAGATCCGGGTGGCGTTTGACTTTCCCAGAATCGGAGTAAATCCGGACTTCCATACCTCAACTTTCTGCTTTCTCCTTGAGCCTCGTATCACCCACCTTACCAAACCGTAGGAAGAATATGCTATAGATATCTTCGGTCAGTCGGTGTACCTTCACCTTCAAGTTTCTGTGTTTCCCCCTGGATGGGACCACAACATGCGGCGCAACCACACCTTCCCATCGCACGGGTAAGGGCAGGAGAGGGGAAGTCGAAAAGGGGGGCAACCAAGACGACAAACGAGTTGAGACACAAGAGCACAACCATACTGTGGTACACTAGGCGCGGGCAATGTGGTTGCACCAAGTTACACGAACACAGCAGATGCGCGCGCCGACGTCTATTTCCCGGTTTGCTTTCCTCTGCCGGGGCCAGAATCCCGGCATGCCATGACATGTCATTGGTGAATTGGGTTTTATGGTTGTTCGAATTGAGATTTCCGAGACACGACGAATCGTAAGGCATAGCAAAAACCTGCATGACGCTTGTGTGATAGCACGCGCGCGTAGCGAGGGTTTTTTTTCTCTCACACTGTTGCTGCTGCTTCTTTAACTGCTACCAGCGGGGTCGCCAAGACGCCGTTGGTCTCAGAGCGACCTCACGAGCGTCCCCAACGAGTGGTTAACTGTACACCGAGTTATCCCATCCTATAATCGGCGAGAATCATCTGACCTTTCCTGATCTCCCTCATGTTCCACAAACAGACCGAGCTCCGGGTAACGTACCCCCCCGGGGCCGGCCCCGCCGCCCCTAAGAGGCCCGTTCTACTCAACAACAGCCAACTTCCCTCGGACAGGTACATTTGCGCGCCGTCCAATCTCCGGGAATTCGCCCAGTCGGACCCCCTCCTGGAACAGCAAACAAAACGACGAGCCGCCAAAGTGGAACATACCAATTTCATCGCCCTTGCGCACCCGCTGACCCTCACCCACGGTCACCTCACACGTGCTGACCTCGTCCATGCCGATGCCCACAAACGCCACCAGGCCCACCTTCGGGTCGTCCGCTTCGAAGATGATGATGGCGCGTGTGGCCAGGGCACTGAGGTACCCTTGCGCGACCTTGATGCCGCTGGTATCGATGTTGGTGCTCACACCGGCCGCTGTGGTAGATTCGAAGAGCGGTTCGCTAAAGTAGGTGCCGTCACGGACGAAAGCACGGCGCACGGTGCCCGACACGGGCGAGTGCCAGCGGTGGTAGGAGAGGGCCGAGAGAAACGCTTGGTAGACGGTGGCGTTTTCGAATTCGACCGCGAGAGGGTCGTTTGCGAGCATGTCGTAGACTGAGTAGGGCTGCCCTTTGACCCAGAACTTGTCCCGCAGCTTGGCATTGCGCACAATGTTGTAGACTTTGGATTCACAGGGGTTGGCAATGACTTTGTTGTTGTCTGGCGAGGCGACAGGGCGAGCGGACTCCTGGACTTGGCGAGTGAAGAAGTCTGTTCAGCAGACAACGTTCGTCTGTTAGCGAAGCGGTCGGGTAGAGTCAACCCCGTGTAGAAAGACAGACTAACCATCCCAGGACTTGAAGCCATGGTGTTTCTTGGAGGGGTCACACTTGTACATCTCCTTAAACTTGAACGTTGTCTCGTTCGGCGCATTGGCAACCTCCATGAGGTCCTTGTAGCCCACCTCTCCGAACCAGCCTGCTTGATGGTCGCCGAGCACCTCCGCAGACTCAGGAGACTATCGCCGTTAGATGATGCGGTCGAAAATGGGTTTTGGAAAAACAAGGGTTCGGCATCTACCTTCAAGTATGTTCCCCATTCGTTGAGTATTTTCTTCAGCATCTTGTTCACATCAGGGTCTAAGAAAGCGGCATGGCCGCTTGGTGTGCCCATGGCATAGTCAAAAATGGCGGCCATCGGCACACCCACCATACCTACACTTGCAGCCGCGTCCGTCCTGCAGAATACAAGTCAGTCCTCCAGATCGCAATGAGCAAAGAGCACAAAAGGTGAAGTAGAGAAAGTACACACCATTCAGGGGCAGTCCCGAACACGTGGTTCAAGACCTGTAGCATGTGTGGATAGTCCCGAATCTGGGACTTGCCCGTCGGGTCGTTCACATACGGGGGCTTGTTCGGAATCTCATCCCACATTTCTGTGAAGTACATGTAGATGCGGGGATTCTCCTCGATCAGCTGCTGGAACTCGCGTAGGACAGGGATGAGCTCCTTATCGCCATGGTCGTCGACGTGGCTGACTTTGCGCCGTAACCATTCACGATGGACCCGGTGGTCGGCGGGGAACCAGGCTCCAGGTCTGGGGGGGTAATGGTCAACACCCTTGAATTTTGAACGCAAGAGAAAGTTTCACGGAAGCATACTTGTCGACCCGGTGCTGGTCTGGAATTGTGGTGTGATCACCGTATTGGTGGACCATATTCGTTGTTTTATGAGATGAGTTAGGTTCGCTTGAGGAGACCAATGGATGGGTGGATAGCTAAGCAAAGTCAAGGCGAAAATCCACGCCGTAAGCTTCGCTGTCGACCGGATTCTATTTGAGTGACGGTATCCAGGTGAGTGGGTGGCCGCCCCAGGACTTTGTGTTGTCGTAAACCCGGTGTCATGATGTAATGATACGGCCAAGACCCACAATTGGCTGTGGGAGCTTATAAGTGTAGCACCGCACCCAAACCATGCGAGCCATCGTTTGCCCACCCAGCTGTTCATGTAATCCCTTCCTCGGTCTCTGCGAACCCGGAAGTTTGCGAGGGCGCGAGCAGTCCACAGCAAAGTGTTCCAAGCGAGCTGAGTCTCAATTGCGTCTTGATCACTGGGTCCGTCTTCGAATATTCCGGGAAAAGGCAGCGTGCCGTCGATTGTGTTCTTTCCTATCCTTTTCGTTCAGGGGATTGTAAAGGATATCGCAGACGCTGCAAATTGTGAAGCCAGGCTCCTTTTGCAGCGAGAGGCTCAGTGTCGTCTGTGTCAATTCCCGTGCCGACCGTTTGCCGAGCGATTTCTTGATTACTGTCGCTTCATCTTTTGGCGAGCTCTCAGTCGCGCTTGAGCGATCTAACGTATTTGGCGGCACCTCGCTCAAAGCCGATCCCAGCACATCGTACCCTTCTGCCTTCACCACGATCGTGTCTTCGTTGATCTGCAAATCGCCGTGTTGTTCGTCCAATGCGCTGTCCAGAGTGTAACAACCCCGATGCCCGCCCAAGTCACCAAGCATTGGCCGTGTGGTAAGTCTCCGCCGTTTCCGCGTGTGCGAAGGGGATGGAGGTGAAGATGAAGGCGTGGGTGATGACGCGCGATCGGAGAATGCGGCATCGGATATTGTTTTTTCGGGGCTCGAGGAAAGAGGCTTGAAGTATGCGAGAATCGAGCCCCGACTTTGCATGGCCAGGTGGTTTCTCGATCTTGGGTTCGTGGGCGTTGAAAATGTAGAGAACTGGGTCGGCGAATCCCCGCGGTCCAAATCGGGGGTACAGGACTGAGTGACCCTGTCTCGTTGCTTGGAGTCTTGATCTCGTTCCCTTGGGTTAATCGCCCGCCGGCCATAGGTGCGTATGGGCCGTTTGCGCTCTCGAAGTCGTGTCGCCACGGTCGCCTCAAGGGACTCGGCAGGGTCTGCTGTTTGTTGATCGTTTCGCATGTTGACGCTGTCGTCGAGCAGGGAGGAAGATACGGAAAACGCTTCGCAACAAGACAGGCCGCCCTGGGGGATGTAAGTAAAATACAATGAGGTGTCGGTTTATCCCACTCAAAATAGCCGTAAAACAATATTCCGAGCTCCGGCGCAAATCATCAATGGCCGAGGTGGTGGTTTGATCGCAAATGTTGGCCCCGCATTCCATGTAGGAATTTAATTCCAAGTCGCGCTCAACGCGTTCTCGTACAACGCGACCAGCGCGTCGGTCGCGAAAATGACGTGGGGCGGCTTGGCCCCACCCACTCAATCCCCCTGTCACTTCATTCCATCCCAAATTCCGAAGTGAGATCCGATTGAATCAACGATGGAACTCTCGACATATGGTACAAAATACTCGTCAGGTCTATCAAACGCAACGAACTCGCTGGTTTTCACATCAGTGTCTCGGGCAATTAGTTGTTGCTACTCACTTTCTGCTCTTTTGACGCCTTCCAACACCTGCATCCTGGTCTCCCGCTTTCTCAGGAAGCCTTACAGCTTCAACACCTTTGCCATCAGCACCCACAGTCCAAGTTTGAAGAACCTCTTTTACTTCCCGCAACGACTCGTCCCGTTTCTTGGCCTCCCCAAGGTGCCACACATATCCCGAATAGACGGCCACTTCGGCCACACCCACCAACAGGCTCCCACCCATGGTCAAAAACAACCTCGCAGGTGTGCTCCACCATCTGGCCACGATCCACAGCGTCGCGGCGACCCCGAGGATACTCGCGACGAAGTTGAGGATTAGCATCAGCTGCCGGTGTACGTCGGCGTACGTGACGTCGTCGTCTCCCATGTCGGCCTCGTGGGTAGGCCGATTGACGGCTGCGAAGGCCTGGGCCATGTTTGCGCCGTGGGGGTACCGCTGGGAGAAGGTCTCCATGGGTGGTAGCGGATTCGCCATGCGATCATACTCGCGCTGCTCTTCCTCTCGGCGAAGTCGGGCCATGAGCGCCTTGTATTGGCTCGACTTCGCAACACCGGGTCAGTATGATATGATCATATGATAATGACCGTCACAATTCAACGTACAGGTTCAGGTTTGGGGGCTGGAGGAGCCACGTAAACCTTGGCGCCTTTCAGGAGCATTTCCAGCGTGTATTCACCGGTGGTATCTCCCAACGCCTTCCACAAATCCACAATTTGGGGGTGTGAGATAGGATTGCCAACGGCCGGGTTTGTGAGTGAAGATTCATCATGGACCCGGCTGTGAGGTGATGAGATCTCTTCTGTTCCTTGTGCTGTTTTTGTTTCCGTCTCGCTGAGTGATTGCAGGCCCGCCACAACGCGTGGCGTCATCGTAAGAAGAACCATTTCTGGGAGGCGAGAGCGATAATACCAACGCCGGGAGGACAAGATGACGAGACGACAGAAAGTTGAAAGAAGACGTGGCCACGGACGATGTTTTTCTGGTGTTGGGAGTTGCTGACGAGGCGCATGCGCGGCGGGTGTGAGCCAGGGAGCTGCCGAGTCCATGCTCTGCAAGGTACATACCAGCCACACTCAGGTCCCCACTTTTAGTGAAGCACCGCAGAACGCCACACCCGTGAACCTAAGCGAAGGAAGTTTTCGGGACCCACGGCAACAGAGGAGCATTGGGTCATGTGTCGGCCGTAATCACCCACACTACACCATCAACGGCCCCCAATCCGACCGCCGATGCGCCAGACAGCTAACCTGTGACCCTTGGCAGGCAATTGGCCCTAATTGGAGAGGATCTGAGGAGGAACACGCGCGGAAATGCCGCTCGGGACGGGGCCTTCAACGGCCCGCGGGGCCAGGAGCGCCACAAGACTGGCCCGACTCGCGGGGCTACCGTCCCCGAGGACGATAACGACGACTACAAATACGACGGCTAGGACGGGGGCGGCGACTACGTGTATGGAATGCCGTAAAGCGGCGCTACCCAACACCCGGATACATTACCCTCGCCCACAGTCACAACCCCACGCTCTTTTCCACTCGGGACCACCCCGCTATTCAGCATGGGCTGCGGCGGTCCAGGTAGCCGGCAACATCGTGTCCAATGCCGTCACGCGAGCGACCAAAGGCACCAGCGATCTGCCGACCATCGACCCGCTGCAGATTGTGGCCAAAGAGATGAAGTTTCTGACAGGGAACATCCGCAAGCTCCTCGGCTCCGGCCACCCGTCGCTGGACCGCGCCGCCAAGTACTACACACAGGCCGAGGGCAAACACGTCCGCCCCCTCATAGTGCTACTCATGTCACGGGCGACGTCGCTGTGCCCAAAAGCGCCGCAACGTCATCAGTCGACATTACAAGCTTCCGCAGCGATCGACACCTCCATCTCTCCGCTCTCCATCCTATCCGACTTCAACCCATCCGCCAAGGCGGGCGCCGAGAATGAAGAGGGGACCACAACAACACTCGGAGATGACATCCTACCCTCACAGCGGCGGTTAGCCGAGATCACCGAGCTGATCCACACGGCCTCGCTGCTTCACGACGACGTCATCGACCACTCAGTGTCCCGGCGCGGGGCGCCATCTGCGAACCTCGAGTTCGGGAACAAGATGGCGGTGCTCGCGGGCGATTTTCTGCTCGGGCGCGCGTCGGTAGCGCTGGCGCGACTGCGGCATGCTGAGGTGATCGAGCTCCTAGCAACCGTTATCGCGAACCTGGTCGAGGGCGAGTTCATGCAGCTGAAAAACACGGCCCGCGACGAGACCAATCCGCGCTGGTCTGAGGAAACGCTCACGTATTACTTGCAGAAGACGTATCTCAAGACGGCGTCGCTCATCAGCAAGAGTTGTCGAGCTGCGGCTCTATTAGGCGGAGCGGACGCGCAGACGGTCGAGGCGGCGTACGGTTATGGCAGGAACCTCGGCCTCGCGTTTCAGCTGGTCGATGACATGCTAGACTACACGCGTAGTGCGAAGGAGCTCGGGAAGCCGACAGGCGCGGATCTCGAGCTTGGGTTAGCCACTGCGCCGTTGCTGTTCGCGTGGAAGACGATGCCGGAGCTGGGGTCACTGGTGGGGAGGAAGTTTGCCAACGATGGTGATATCGAGAGGGTGAGTTTCAATAACCGAAACCGGTACAAACAGAACAGAGTTGACAAAGTGACCGACAGGCACGAGACTTGGTCATGCAAAGTGACGGCATCCAACAAACGCGGGCACTAGCCGAGGACTACGCCTCAAAAGCAATCAGCTCACTTGACCAATTCCCTGACAGCGAAGCCAAGGAAGGCCTAATCGAGATGGCTGTCAAGACTCTTCAACGGAAGAAGTAAACACCGCGAAACCTCACATTCGCCGGGGGTTGGGATCAATTTGACACAACAAACAATTGTACATGTGCATTGTACTAATAACAGACAGAGATTATGGTAACCTCAAAACGGTAATCGATACACGGCGCGGCGTAGTGTGTGATATGTAAGGAGGTGGTACAGAGCGGGTGTGGTGCACGGCGTCTGGATGGCCAGAAAAGCAAAAGGGAAGCATGAAGATGTTTTAAAGATAGACGGGGCGGTCGGTCATATCTTGCCATTTGCATAGAGAGGCGGGCTGCGGTACCGTCCAATCTTTGCCTTCTTGGACAGGCCGGGCCACTACACTATATACGTTCATGTGTGATGGATTATGAGCGGTTCGACATGATGTGGGAGGGGCGGGCGTTTACACTCTCGACTTTCAAATCTGATCAACGCTGGTTGGGGGGCTTCAGGATAGAACTCTGTGATTTGAAATCCCACTCTTCACCATCTGCTCTTCACCAGCTCACACCGCTCTACTATGTACACTACTCAGCACTAGCATGAGCACTAGCATTTTAGGATTATCACGTACAGACTTCCGCTCCGACCAGCCCCAGGTTTGGTGAGACGTCACCGGCACGGAAAAGGCAATCCAAAAGAGAAGGCCAACCCGACCGATGTTGAATTACTAACCTTCCCGTGTGCACGGTACAGGATGAGAGGGGTAGAAAAAAACTTGACAGCGCCTCAAAGGGCCTCGAATATGGTGACTAATCATTCCAATCGGCCCTGGTCGGGCGCCGCTCCGGGCGAATCTTCCGGAAGCGGTGCGGCCCCCGTGTCCCGGTCCGGGGAATCGGACGAAATGGACAAACGGGATTGGTGACTCCCGAGGCACCTCGCTCTTGGAGGCTCGGGTTTCAGAGCAACCTCGGCTCGGTGCCCCTCCTGCACAACGGTCGCGATTCATCAATCGCCCCCTTTATCCCTCTCTGTCGATATCGCAACCCGCCCCTAAAGCGGAGTTTTTACTCGAAGTAGGGTTTGACGGACCGGAATTGGGAAACGAAACATCGAGACAATTGCAAAGTTCCTAGGGTCGTCGGTTTTAGTAAGACATGAACATTACTAATTTCCATTTTGTAGGTTGCGCGGCGTCGGTTGAGGTGATGAAAGCGCAACCGCAAGTTCGAATACAGGGTCGGGATTGGGAATGAGGGCACTGTCCAACCCGGAGATTTTCTGAACATGTCGTGGTCCAGAGTAACCTTCTAGAAACAAACACACATATATCTATTCAACGCCGCCCCTTTTCCTCTTGGGCCTCTCTCTCTTGTCCTCAACATTTCATTCTCGGCTTTTGAAACAAGTGCTCTGGTTTAGGAACCGCTCTTGGCTGACATACTAATCCACTTACATCCAATCGGCACTTCACCTACGTCACACCCCTAACTTTTCACGTCGACTGAAGTTGAACACACACCAAACAATCTTCGACAGAAAAAAAAAGAAGACAATAAAAACACCTTTCAAGTCCACCAAAATGGCCCGCCAGTCTCTTCAACTCGAGCTCGCCGAGCGGCCCACCGGCCCGATCATCCCCGGCAAAACTTTTCGCCAAACCCGCATCGATGCCCCCACCGAGGCCGACCTGAAAGACGGCCAGGTCTTGATTGAGTGTCTCTACGTCTCCCTCGATCCGGCCATGCGTGGCTGGCTGGACGACCGCCGCTCGTATCTGCCACCCGTTGCCATCGGGGAGGTCATGCGCGCGGCCGCCGTCGCCCGTGTTCTCGCGTCGCGCTCCAAGAAGGCCGCGCCGGGGGATATCGTCACCTCGTTGATGGGGATTCGCGAGGTTGCGATTGTAGGGGAGGACAAGATTGAGACGGCGGCGGAATTGGGCGTGAAGCTAGCGAAGGCAGGCGAGAACGGCCCGCGGGTCACGGATCTGCTGGGCGTGTTCGGGCTGACGGGCATGACGGCGTATTTCGGCATGATGAAAATCGGCGAGCCCAAGGCTGGCGACACCGTGGTGGTGTCCGCTGCGGCAGGCGCTACAGGCAGCGTGGCCGCGCAGATTGCCAAGATTGCCGGCGCTCGTGTTATCGGAACGGCGGGTAGCGACGAGAAGTGCCGCTGGCTGAAGGAGGAACTGGGTCTTGACGTCGCGCTCAACTACAAGGACCCAGAGTTCAAGGCTAAGTTCAAGGAGGCCACGCCCAAGTTTATCGATGTCTTCTTTGATAATGGTGAGAACAGTACCGGCCGTACAGCCGGCCCCCAGCACGCTCTCTGAGGCGAAATATGTGCTAATAGAGTGACATAGTGGGCGGTGAGCAACTCGACATGGCTCTGGGCCGCGCCAACACCTTCTCCCGCTTTGTAATGTGCGGCGGGATTTCGCAATACAATGCCACGACCAAGTCTGGCCCGACGGTGAGTTCTGCCACAGGAGGACTTCCTCCCTTTGTTGTTGAGGGGGGGAGAGCTCAGTGTAACTGACAAGCTACCGCAGGCGAACTTCATGAACGTCGTCACCCAACGCATCAAGTACGCATCTCCCTATCCATACCTTACCACTCAGGATTCCAAACTAATATCCCCGCCAGGATGCAAGGCTTCATCGTCTTCGACTTCGCCAAGCAATACCCGGTCGCGCGCGAGCAGATTGGCCGTTGGCTGGCTGAGGGCAAGCTCCAACGCAAGGAGACTATCATCAAGGGCGGTATTGCGGGGTCCGAGGATGCGCTCAACCATCTGTTCCAGGGCAAGAACATTGGTAAGTGGCCGACAAGTGACGCGCGCCATGATAGAGGGTTTTTTTACTAATGCTTTGATTAGGAAAACTCTTGGTGGAGGTCAAGAATCCCGAAGAGGCCCCGCGGTTGTAAGGGAAGGGGGAAGAAAAGCACATCAAGGTGCTCGCTCTGGTGGATTGAATCAGGCGGAGCCAGTTGGCTAGGGTTGACGGCCAAATTGTGCGTGAAGGACGCTAAGCAGTCCTTCACGCCCGCGACAGCACATAGGTCCACGAGTCGATAATGTGATACGATGTTGATGCCCGTCCTCAAAGTGATTTACCGAGCTCCCTGATCGTTTGGATTACTTGTAGTGTATCGGGTGGAAGCGAACGAAAGTGGAACCTTTTCCGATCGTGCGATCGAACATCACCGACAACCCTGTTAACCCCGACAACGCGGCCCAGGAGTTCGGAGTTGACCGAAAACTTTAACGGGGAGCTTGCGGAGGAGCGTTGGGCGGTGGGTAGCCTCACGTGGTGCAAAGAAGCGGATGTGTCGGTGGATGTTGCATCCCTGGTGTGAAGTTTGCCCCGTGAGCCCCAACGAAGCAAGGGCGTATGGGAAGCGTTTCTGTGACACATAGTTCAGGTGTTTGGGCAGCCCGGCCCTACGAACGCACAATCCGGCACCGTACCAAGCTAGCCACTTCATGTGGATGTACGGACCACGCTTGTCGTTGTAATGTAACGTATTGCCGGCCACTGCCTTCGCGAACCGAGGGACTTTGGGGGATGTTGGAGCCGCCTCCCACCTCCGGCAAATGGCCGGGCAGTCGCTGACCCGCTGCCCTCCGTCTTCGCAACAAAAAACCGCATCTGAAGAACCAGCCTGCTAGTGTCTAATCGGGTGCACAGGTAAGCTGACTTGTTACGAAGGAGATGGAAAGGTTCAACCAGCGGTAATCCGACGAGCCCGAGTCAGGAGGGGAAAAAAAAGACGAATATCTGGAGGGTGGAGTCTTCGATTCTGGGGGTTGTCGCAGGACTTGAGTCAAGCCAGAGGCGGGTAAAGAAATTTTCTTCAGCGTCGTTTCTCCGCCTGTTCCATCGGGCCTTGACACCGGCGGAATCCAACTCTGCCGCACGAACAATGCCGAACTCCATGGCCGTTTTTCGAGATTCCTCAGCTCTCTTTCAGCGCTGCTCAGCTTCGTTCGGATTGTGGGGTCGTCAGCGGCATCTCTGAATCAGCTCATCGGCCGCTAACAGTCGAAGTCCTGCTCTGGGTGTGTTTGAAAATGCTGTTTCTCCTCCTCGCCCCTCCGCGCTTCTTTTTCGGTCTGGGATCGGCAGGCCTGGAGATTTCCTCGGGTTCGGATCCAGAACAATAACGAACAACAACGCATCCGACGGACGAGACGGAAGGAGAAGAGGGGGGAAAGGCTGCCGAATGAAGTTGCATCCTACGCGTAATGAAAAAGGGAGCGGGGACGAGACCCTTCGAAAAGCGGCCAAAAGGCGCACAGTTATGTATTGAGGTAGCTGGGTTGAGTGGTCTCGGGTGGTCCAAAGGGCTCATCTTGCATTCCCGCCCAGGCACTTGCAGGAGCAGAGTGGCGAATCGGGACCGCAGGCATATGCAGCTTACTCGAGTGTTACTCGATGGAAACATGACAATCCGCCTTTTGCGATAGCGACGATAGCTTCGGATGGCCGCCAAAAGAGGAAACCGGGGGGCATGGAGGGGCGTGGAGAGTGCCGGTGGGCCCACAGTGGCTCAAGAAACGAGCTGGGGAATGCCAGGGAGCTTCCTTGTGACCTTACACGGTTCCTTATTGGTCACTCTGCTGCATTGCCGTTTGGGGCCAGACACCTGGCCGGAGAGCGGCTGTCTCCGATATTGAAATCGCAGCCAATTAGCATCGCCGGATAAGCTCGGAGCCACAGGGTCTCCTTCCTCGCCGACAACGGCACACTCCATGATACGCAGATACGATACGATACTGGGGCGGTACCTTCCATGCCGATGAAATCTCTCTCTTTTTTTTTCGTCCCCCTTGCTCTGACTCCACTGAACCACCCACCCGCTTGTATCGAGCACATGGCAATCTTGATCAGGGAAGGGTGGGAATTGCTTCGGGAGGGGGGCCTGGGTCTGGCTGTGTTGGGCGGTGGGCCAGCTCTAGTGTTGTTTCGACTCCTTCCGAAGCCCATTTCCGCTTTTTGGGAACGTTTCGCAGCCGTAAGGTTCCCTGGAGGATGGCTGTTCCATTGCTCGTCCCATCTTTGGGGCGTTGTTGCTTGCTTGCTTGCCCTCCCTCGCCTTTCCTTTATCTTTATCCCCTTACCCACCTCCCGCTCCGTTTCTCGATCGTTTCCCGTCAGCCAAACCGGGGTCTTATCTATTGCTTCAACGTCAGCGTGTTTTCCCGCCGCCCTTCTTGACCGCCCCTGCCTTCCTCGGCACTTGAACTCCCGCAGCTGTATCGAAGACATTGGGTGCGTGTGCGTGTTATCCAAACGGTCAGCTGCCTTATCGTCATCTGTGCTTTCCGACCGTCTCATCTCAACGCACCTAAGCTCTCGATAAAGGCCTCACGCCTCTGGTCAAGGAGGGAAACGGACCTTAGCCTTCAAGAGATACATCCAGCCAACCCCACGTCCTCTAAGGCTGACCTCACCCCCTCCTTCATCCCCCCTCGATCACCCACCCAACTGCACGGGATCTGTCGTCGGTAGGATGGCGGTATCCCAGATCTCTACCGATGAGTCCGTCGTCGTATTGGCGTCGACAAGGACGGTCATCACCCTTGCTGATGACACACTTCTATTAACCCCCGCGACTCTCACGATCTCTGCTACCTCGGGCAAGATTCTGTCTGTCGTCACCGAGGTGCTTCCCAAGGATGCATTCCCAGCGGCCATCGTGTACCACGACTACAGCCCGAAGCTTTTGCTCCCGGGTCTCGTTGATGCCCACGTGCACCTAAACGAACCGGGCCGCACAGAATGGGAAGGCTTCAACACCGGGACCAGGGCTGCTGCCTCGGGAGGTGTCACCACTGTGGTGGACATGCCTCTGAATGCCATCCCTCCCACAACCACCCTAGCAGGCTTCAAGGAGAAGCTCACTGCCAGCCAAGGGCAATGCTGGGTCGATGTCGGCTTTTACGGCGGCGTCGTTCCCGGCAACGCAGATGAGCTTCTGCCTCTAGTTGAGGCTGGTGTTCGGGGTTTCAAGGGTTTCCTCATCGACTCAGGTGTAAGTCTCTCCCTCTTGCCCCTAAGAGAGGCAATCAGAACCAATCGAACTCGGATGGGTGGATAGAGCACTAACTCTATCGAACAGGTGGAGGAATTTCCTGCCGTGTCAGCTAAAGACATTGCGCTTGCAATGACCACGCTCAAGAACTCGCCCACCACTCTCATGTTCCATGCCGAAATGGTTCCACCCATTGCAACATCGGTAGGCGACGCCGTTCAGCAGTCCGACCCGCCGCTCCAGCCGACCGGAGACCTAGAGAGTTACAGCACTTTCCTCGACTCGCGCCCGCCCGTATTCGAGACCTGTGCCGTCGAAGAGATCCTGTCCATGGCGCACCTTGCACCGCAGCTGCACCTCCACATCGTGCACCTATCCGCCACTGAGTGCGTGCCCATTCTGCGCAAGGCGCGCCAGAGCGGCATCAACATCACGGCCGAGACCTGCTTCCACTACCTCGGCCTCGCGTCCGACGACATCCCAGATGGCGACACCCGCCACAAGTGCTGCCCACCAATCCGGTCCCAAACCAACCAGGATAAGTTGTGGGACGAACTGGCTGACCCCGACAGCTGCATCAAGACCATTGTCTCCGATCACTCGCCGTGCACGCCCGAGCTCAAGCTGCTGCCGCCGCATCTCCAAACCGTTACGGCGGCAGCAACCGAATTCCCGTCTCGCCCGCCCTTCCCACACGTCGACTCGGGTATCGATATCACCCGGCCGACCCCGGCAGCGGTAACAAAGGAGGAGCAATTGCATCAGCTCCCCGGCCAGCAGCAGGACGAGGAAGATCCAGTCGACCTGATTCCACAATCCATGACCCCACCTCTTGTCAGCCAGGAAGTCCCACACTCACACCCGCACCACGGTGCAGTAACCCCCATGAAGAATCAAGGCGACTTCTTCGCCGCCTGGGGTGGCATCTCCTCCGTCGGCCTTGGACTTCCCATCCTGCACACTACCGCAGCCGCCCGTGCCGCTCGCGGCGACACTGCACCCACCATTGTCGACATGGTGCGCATGTGCAGTCAGGCCACCGCGGCCCAGGTCGGCCTCGGACACCGCAAGGGCGGACTGCGGGCCGGTATGGATGCCGACGTGTGCGTATTTGACGACACGGACGTCTGGACTCTTCGCGCAGCCGAAATGCGCTGGAAGAACCGGGTGTCGCCGTGGGATGGGCATACCTTCACGGGTCGCGTGCGGGAAACGTGGGTGAGAGGCCAGCGAGTATTTGCGCTGGGCGGAGAGAATGCTGGATTTGTTGGGGGTGAACCGGTCGGGGAGCCGATTGTAGAGAGGAGAGTCTGAGAGAACATTTCTTCCGTTTCGTCCGTGGTCTCTTTCCATGTTTCTTTTGTGGTTTGTCCGGGAGCAAGGATTCTGGCATTGTTGGCGTTTCCGGCGCTTCATCGTGAGGGGGGCATTACCCACAGGGAGAGCTGCGCGTGGTTCGCGTGGTACAAACGGTGCGATCGATGCAAAGCGCGATGGCTTTTTGAGCATTCTGCGAAATACCCCAGGAATGCATTTTTGCTAGAGCTGATGATTCATAACGGTCGGAGGTGTTTGGGGGACATAAATAGACTTGAGATACCTTATATTTGTTTGACATTGGCCATGTCTTTCATGTAACGAACGCCCGTTTCAATTTCCACGTATCATCTCGTCGGAACTGTCGAATCGGCCGAGGCGGCTGGCATCGTCATTCTCCGAACCGTCGGCACGAAGGCTTCGATTCAATGGAACCGGTCAATTAATCAATCCAAGGTTTGGGTTCTACCGTCCCTTTATCTGTCGGTCGCAAAGGTTTGTGACCCCCATCGTCTCCTCATCGGAATCCCTGTGGTTCGTCAATGGCGGGAGATGTGACGACACCTCAAGGAGCACATGACCTGAGAAGCGATCCATGGTTGCTGCTTTTCCACCGTTGCGGTCCGTGAGTAGGCATCGAGTGGGGGCGCGTATCCCACATCCCTTCATAGCTGCCAGGTTTTCGCTTGCCATCCATGGAAAGGTACCATTTGGCGTAATGTATGTTGAACCAGACGAATACTGCCGACGCTTATTACGAAGTACTTTGTACTATATACAATAGCTATTCGGTAAAGCGCTGGGGGTTTCACATCCATGGATGGTTGCAGGTGCTTGCAAGTTGCGACACTGATGATATTTCAGGTGCTCCACATTTCGCACGGCCCCAGGGAAGAAGGGGGATTCCAGGTCGGGCAGGCACGGCAGGATTGGTGTTCGGTGTTTAGTGCACAGTATCGAACAACCTGGAAGAGAAAATCGAAGATCCCACTCAGCATGAAACGTTCCCAGGCTCTCTGCCTACTACATGAGGAGGGAGATTTGTTCATCACTGCATTTTCGGGTTGCGAGGAGGATCATGACGTTCCGGACCGAGATACTCCGTACCGCTCGAACACAGAGCGCTGATTGAGATGAATGCAAAATGTAGGCTGGAAGAGGATGGAAAGGGGGGAAAGACGGATCCAGACATAGGTTATTCAAGAGTCCGGAAGCGGACAACCTCACACTACATATCAGAAGAAACAGCAGGAAAGGACCAAAACACAATCTTAAAAAGCATTTTTGATGCAAGCAATTTTGGTGCCTCTGCGGTTTTATTACTGCTTTTGGCTGCTTTGCTGGGATTCAAGAAGCCTGAAAGGCTCACAGCGGTCCAGCGCCTCGTAACCAGCGCCCTGAGCTGCCCTATTCCTTGTTGTCAGCGGAACGTCCATTGGGCCAGACGGCCCACGAGCAATTTCTCTTCGCGACGCCAAGTTCTGAACCCGAGCCCGGCTCAGTGTCCCGGCCACCACACAGCCACCGTCACCCGGTTACCATTCTTGCATTTCCTGCTCCTGTGCTGTCTCCCAGGTTCCACCATTCGACATCGACAATCCAACAGCGCGCAGGTGCATTTCAACGGGTCCAGTGCTGGCTGGGTCTTTGCATTTGTCTCTTACTGCCGCATTTCGAGGGGGACGCAATAACACAGCCGCAAGATAGGAGTGGATGTTCGAATCGACTGGGCGAATTGCCGACTGCGACTCAAGCAGTAGCTCCGCCCGTCTGCTTGGCTGCCTTGCTTTGCTCGACCTGTCGGCCCCTAAACATCCGCCCGCGCCCCTTCACCAGCACCAGCCAGGCCTAAACAACGCAGCCCGACAACGCACCACCACCAACCCCCGCCGACCGATTGCTTCGCCCCCCCTTTCTCCCGACTCGTAGGCCACACCCGACGACCAAACCACGAATCACCAATAACCCGCAATTGTTCCCTGGCGCGTCGGAGCATGTTTGAGGCGGTTGCCGGACGCGCCTGATCTCGGACGGCCCCCTCGCGGAGCTTTCGTCGCCGAGTCCATCTGACGCACCTTATCACTACCCCTTCCGCCGCCGGCCTCCCCGAAATGCCCTCATTCGTTCCGGGCGGGAACACGGCAGCCGACTCGCAATCTTCGGGCGTCGTACACCTCGACCGAGCCGCCGAGTACGGCTTATCCCCGACCAAGGTCAATGGACACGTTGTTCGCCAGCCACACTCGCACACGTCAAATGAGAGTTTTGATGGGAGCTCGGCCAATTCAAGCAGCGCGTCTACGATCTCCGAAACCTCCATCGAGCCCGACCAACGGGCGATGAAAAATAAAGATCTGCCACAGAGCATGACCTCACCGCAGAATGGAATAGCTGGCGGAGGAGTAGTCAATGGAGTGGGGGCGTTTGAGGCCGCAAGCCGGAAGTCGCTAGCATCTAGCCATTCGGCTTCGCTAGTGGACCGGACGGTTACGAACTCAGGTATGAAGGGACCTGGAGGCGAGCCAGCTGGTCGAAAACTGAGCGACGGGGCATCATATACTATCACCACTCCGACTTTCGAGGACGGACCATCACAGTCCGGCGGTGCCGGGATATATATGCATCCCGTGACCAAGGGGGATGTTCGGACCATCGAGAACGGATCGCCCACCGCGACGGCCCCCACCGCGAGCGCCCCTGCGCTTGGCTCTCACACTGCACCCAGTTCGACCTCCAGCTACAAGAACCAGCCTGGGCCCCAGCGATTCTCGTCTCCCCCTACCTACGACCAACCGAACACGTCCGGCTCGCTGCAAGCGCCCGTCCCCGGGATCAAGCATCGGCACACGCTAGAAGTACCTAAAGTTACCTCTGCGCGTGGCTCGCGCGATGGGGTTGACGCTGCTTATTCCAGCGGCAGGTTTTCACCAACCATGGCACCCGCTGGGGGTCGCAGGGCGTCACTAAGCTTAGCCAGGAGAAACACGCGGTCGCTGCATTCGGATGGGCCTCGCGATGAGGTTATCCCGGATGAGGACGCCATGCGGTGGGCGGAAGCATACCGGCAGAAGCGGGCGAGCAAGCGAAGGAGGAGGGAGATTGAGGACGACGACAGGGTGCTGGTGGGGACCAAGGTGGACGAGACTCATGCAAACTGGGTGACGGCGTATAACATGCTGACCGGCATCCGTGTCGCTGTCTCGCGAACCAACGCCAAATTGGACCGGGCCTTGACCGACGCCGACTTTGATGTCAAGCAAAAATCCACCTTTGACATCGCTGGCAACGAGCTGGTCCCCTCCGCTAAATACGACTTCAAGTTTAAGGACTACGCCCCCTGGGTCTTCCGCCATCTCCGCACTCTCTTCCGTCTCGACCCCGCCGACTACCTCATGTCATTGACAGGCAAATACATTCTGTCTGAGCTTGGATCGCCCGGCAAGAGCGGGAGCTTTTTTTACTTTTCCCGCGACTACAAGTACATTATCAAGACCATCCACCACGCCGAACACAAGTTTCTCCGCAAGATCCTGAAGGACTATTACCAGCACGTCAAGGACAACCCGAACACACTCCTGTCCCAATTCTACGGCCTGCACCGAGTCAAGATGCCGTACGGCAGAAAGATCCACTTTGTTGTCATGAACAACCTATTCCCGCCACACCGGGATATCCACCAGACATTCGATCTGAAGGGCTCGACGATTGGCCGAGACTACAGGGAGGAGGACTTGGAGAACAACCCAAGGGCCACTCTGAAGGACCTGAACTGGCTGCGGCGGAAGCGGGCTATCGAGCTCGGCTTGCAGAAGAAGCGTTTGTTCCTGGAGCAACTGTACAAGGATGTGCGGCTCCTGCAAAGACTGCAGATTATGGATTACTCTTTGCTCGTTGGCATCCACGATCTCCAGCGGGGCAACGAGGAGAACCTGAGGGACAAGACCCTGCGTGTTTTCAATCCAGGGGGGAACAACCCGGCCTCGGAGGAGCTCGATCCCCATTCTGTGCTCATGCGGACACCTTCCAAGCTCGAAAACCAACGAAAGGCGAGAGAGCTGCGCCAGATGATCCAGTCGGAAAAGCCGGTGCCGATGGGGGAGACGAGTAGCAGGATGCCGAATGAACTCGAAGAAGGGCAGAACCGGCCAGGGTTCATCTTCAACCAGGATGATGGCGGCTTCCGGGCAACACATGAAGACAACACGCCAGGAGAGGAAATCTATTACTTGGGCGTTATCGACTGCCTTACTCACGTATGTTGCACCCCTTTTTTTTCCCCGTTCCATGAAGTGTGGGATTTTTATTCTTTCAAAGACACCTCTGACGCGTGATTGATTTAGTATGGCATGATCAAGAAGATAGAACACTTCTGGAAAGGCCTTTCGAGTGATCGCAGTCAAATTTCCGCCCTTCCACCTCACGAATACGGGGAGCGGTTCATCAACTTCATCTCCAGCATGACCATGTCACAAGAAGAAGCGATTCGGGCTGCCCAGGAGAGGGACGCAGCACTAGCAGCAGAAGCAGCAGAGACATCCGAAGTTGCGCCACCGGTACCCAACTACCGACCCCCATTGCCACCAGGGCAGCACGAAGCGGCCGACGACGAGGCGGATGTACCGGAGCGGGTATTGAAGACGACTGTTACTGCACCTCCCTCCACCAATGCTGGAGTAGGGAAGGGGACCCACGGTTCAAGCGCGCCGCCAAACGATCGCCGAGAGACGACAGTTCTCCCAGTCGTGGAAGAGGCAGCGGAAGGTATATCTACCGGCGACCGCAGTCGGAACAGCCATATCAGCAGCCTAACCGCCGAGAGCGATCTCCGACCCCTCACACCAGCCAAGGAAGGCGAGGAACTGGCCGCCGGGTTCGGGAATCCACTCCTTGGGAGCCGTGACGGCAGCAGGGGCAGCAGTCTCAAGGCACGGCCGCCGCCGACACCTCCCAAAACTGGCCACGGATACTTCGAACAAGCCAAGTCGGAAAGCGCCGACAGCGGATACGGTGTCGGCACCAGCACCAGCAGTGCCAACGGCGCCCCTAACGGCAACGCCAATGGCGGACTGCGCAGCCGCGCCGGGTCTCAAAAGTCGCTGCGGGCGCCACCACAGCTCAGCCGCGATAGCCTGGACAAGGCTCTACCGCCGCTCCCGCGATCCGGATCAGCCCAGCCACAAAACGTGTTGTAGTGCGATAGCGTTGTGCCGGCGATCGGTAGCTCGGCTGAGAGTCCGGGGCGGAGCTCGACAAGCGGCCGTTTACGGCTACATCGAGAGGTGGAAAAGGGACAAGGGGAAGAGAAAGGAACGTGTTCTGGTGGCATGGCCGTGAATAACTACTCCGTCCAACAGAATCCAGTAGGGACGGGTGAGCCACCAAAACAGCAGAGCCGACACGTGGAGTTGGCTCGGCCACGTCGCTTCTGGCGGATGATGAAGCCGGGTCAGGTTCTGCGCCGGCTTCAAGGCGCCAATGCTGGTATCACGGAGCCCGGCCCCGACCGGTGCGGTATTGAAGCGGATTCGGCCACGGTGCCGGGGGCGACGACATTGACAACACCAGTGGTTGTAGTGACGCCAATAGAGATGGAAAATGAAACGGTGGGACGGACGGGGAACTGACTGACTGTACGAAAATTTCCGGTGTTCTCTTTATTCTCTCTCTCTCTCTCTTTTCCATCAACGCTTTGTTATCTTTCTATCTTGCTTTTGCGTCTCGCCGAAAGAGGGTAAACCACATGATACCACACAACCCATTGGGTCAAGCATAGCACGCCAAAACAAGTTCTTTTGTTGTCCCGCCCCCGTATGCCTTCCCCTCCCCCCTTTTCTATCCGTCTTCGATCACTTTTTCTATCCCTTCTCTCCTGTTTATTTTATGTTGTCATACCTTGTTGTTTTCCATCGTTGTTTTCTCTTATCATGTCGTTTGGATTCCATATTTTCCCTTTCTGCTTTTTGGACTCGTCATAATCACTCATAGCCGGCCGGGTTGTTGCTACAAGAGAAGGACGCGCGATACTAGCTCGTTTAGAATAGACGGATGTTATTAAACAACGGATTTTGCTTCAGCTGAGATTTTTGCGTGGGTGTTATGTCGTAGTAGTTTCAAATGGAAACGTCCCAACAAATTGTGCATGGACTAGTCGGTATTGAGTCAAACAGCTGAATGAGGGAGAATCAGGCAATTTATCAAAAGGTATTTTTATTGACAATAACCCCCACCAAAACCAACCCTCGTTCTAGGGGCTTCATTTCTACACCCTCATAATATATACATGATATTCGTACATTTTTTACCCTCCCTCATAGCATCATTACACTACCGGATTCCCACGGGGCTTCAACGATTGGTCCATGAAGGTGCAGTCATTTCCGCTCCGCGAAGTCCGTCTGGATATCCATCTTGTTTGCCCCCTGAGCCTCGAGCTCTTTCAAGCGTGCCTTCTTCTGGATGTCCTGCACCCGCCATTTTTTGAAGTATGTCACCTATGGTGGGATGTTAGCGGCCACTCGAGCTGTGTAGTAACATCTGCCCATGACTGTTGAAATCCGAAGACACGGTAGCCAGTTTCCCCTTTCATTTCTTTTAAAGTGCAGCTCCCATAGTTTTACCACCTTGTCTGTACCCAAGTTCCCCATAAACCCCCTCCATTCTACAGAACGTCGTACTCACCCATTGCGCCGCACAATCCCTCTCAAACTCTTCCCCCACACTCCCACACGCTTTCGCTGCCGCCTTCTCGTCTTTGAGTGCGTCGACGATCCCGTTGGCGTCCAGACAGGCAAAGTAGGCGTCGCGAGCGACCCAGCAGCGGTCTCGCTCGGCACGGGTCGGGGCGACGGCTCCAGTGCGTACCTCCGTCGCGCGCTTGTCGGCCGGGCTGGAAGAGGTGAAGTAATCGAACAGACCCATGGCGTCGGCTCTTTTTTTTCCTTCTCACTTCTTTTGTTCTTGTCCGTCTATGTGCGCTTTTGTTTCTTTCGAGAGGGTGGGGGTTTTCTGTCCGCTTGGCGTCGGGTTGGTTTTCGGATGGGTTCCGGCTCGGGAGGAAGATGAGGGCACCGGTCGGTGTGTTGAGTGGTGAAAAGAAGTACCTCGCTGAGGGTGTTGTCGTCGGTGTTGTCGGCGGTTGTCTTCTCCTCCAATGCAGTCGTCCTCTTCAAGCTTGGAGCTCTAGCATCGAATTCAATCAATCCCCTGCAAGCAAGCTGATGCCAAGCGGGTCGGTGGGGTGTTCAAATCCCGGCATGCCGGGTATTGGAGATTACGTAATTACAGAGAAGTGCGACATTGCATGGGCGAAGCGAGGCGAGGCAACGAAAGAGCATCCGCTCCCTGCATTTGCGCAATCCAGGGTCCATGGTTTTGGCGACAGACTCGCGACAACTCCTGTCGACTTTTTTTTCCTCGGCACGCTTTGAGATGGAAACGAGGCTATATACGAATAGCACGCTCCCAATACGTTCCACACCTAGGACCCGAAAAACCGCCCCCGGCCCTTCTCGAGACACGCTGTCCCATTACCGTCGCCAGAGGGTTACGCAACCAACGACTGAACAACGCTTGTCTTGACCTCAACTCAGAGTCCTAAGATCGCTTGCTTCATCCCCGACGCTTTTTAACAGCCCACTGCGAACTCCGCCGACCTGTACGAATACCTTATACCGGCTCCAATAACTACGACGACGGCCTGACCACGTGCTCTTGTTCTTGCCTCCCCCATACGCACTTTAGACCGGCCCCATGGCGCGCCGTCGCCGGCCGCCGCGTCCAGGCGCCCTCACCGAGCTCCCGCCGCTCAAGATCCTCAGCCAGATTGCCGCGCTGCAAGGGTTATACTATGCAGCGGCGCTGGTGCTGATGTTATTCACGGTGTTGGTAGCGGGCACCAAGTTCAGTTTCGATCTCGTTTTTGGGTGGGATGCGGTGCGTGGGGATACGACACAAGGGTGGTTGATGGGGTTTGTGTGGATTTTGGACGGGGGTTTGGTAATGTACGTTTTGTATCTTCTTTCATTTTGCCGCTCTGGTTTCGGTAGGCTGTTGCTGACTCACGGTGTTTTCACTATCTCCAGGGCCGTCGCGATAGTAGTGCTCGTGGGCCGCTCCAAACTCGTACTCGACTTTGCCCTTTCGCTCCACGGGATCCATCTAGTCATAGTAACCTTATACTCTGGCCAACTCCCGCGTCACACAGCTTGGTGGTTTTCAATGGCCGCCGCGAGTGGTGTCGCGGTTGCGTTGGCTACATGGGGCTGCCGCTACCGCCAATTACAACCAATATCCTTTGGTGGGAACGGCACTTCGTCCTTGGGAGCTGGCGGGAGCAGCGAAGAGAACGGCGTGGCCGAGGAGGGTGGTATGGGTGCGCGTGATGAGGAGGAAGGCGGCTTCACACGCGGAAGGGGGCGAGGGCGAGGGAGAGATGGTGCCGGCGAGTATGAGATGGTCAACTTGCCGAGGAAATCAGGGAGTTAGCGGTGGCATCATGCGGGAGTGGCAGTAAAGTAATGCGAGTGAGGCAAGGTGGCTTAAGCGGGCAGCATGGGACGGCGTTGGGGTGTCTGTCTGTACAACATGTATGAGTTGGCGTAAGGCCTTCGGATCCATTCGGTTGCGGGTTTATGACCTAGAATACCAAGACCTCTTTTTGGATTTACCGTCGCCTTTGGCTATCCAGCTCAAACTCTTGATATTTGTTGCCCTTTGTACAACGAGGCAGGAAGAGTTTGTTAACCCTAACCCTATCATTTCCACCTCAACATTGTGCCTCGGTCAATTGTTCCCGAAACCACAGCCGGTTACCTACGGGCTGTGGACCTTGTCTGCACGGCCAGGTATTGGAACCCGGCGAGTCTGGGAAACAATACCCCGATGACGGCGAGCTTTTAGGGAATCAGAGGCGGGGCCAGATATCATTCATTCTCCTGCCTTTTCATACCACCCCTTCATCTTCACCATTTCTAGTAGGAATACGGAAGAACGATAAGTTGTCTCGAATCCTTATCAACAACCATGTCTCGGCTTCTCCTAAGACGGCTCTCTACACGGCCCCTATTCCAGCGGCCCGCGCTGTCCGTCCGAGGTTATGCCTCGGCGTCGGAGCCCCAGTTCAACTGGGAGGATCCTCTCGTTTCTAGGAATTTGTTAACGGAAGAGGAACTTGCGATTTCAGAGACAGCGGAGAGGTATTGCCAGGAGCAACTGTTACCACGCGTACTGCGTTGAGTCTCCCTTCCTAGCCTGCTTTTATGCCCTCCTTTCCCCCCTTATTCCTCCTTAACACCGTAAACGGCGCCATAGAACGTTTAATTAACGCAAAACAGAGGCGTATCGGGATGAGCACTACGATCCCAAGATCCTGCAAGAGATGGGTGAGCTAGGCCTCCTCGGCGCTACGATCGAGGGGTACGGCTGCGCCGGCGCCTCTTCTGTTGCCGGGGGCCTGATCACCCGTGCAGTGGAACGTGTGGACAGCGGCTACCGGAGTAGCATGTCGGTGCAGTCATCACTAGTAATGGGCCCGATCAATGAGTTTGGCTCGGTCGAACAAAAAGAAAAGTACCTGCCTGACTTGGCCCGGGGCAAGACGATCGGTGCTTTTGGTTTGACTGAGCCCAACCACGGCAGCGACCCGGGCTCAATGGAGACGGTTGCACGCGAGCACCCGCAAAAGAAGGGATATTACCTCCTGAACGGGTCCAAGACGTGGATCACGAACTCACCCATCGCTGACCTCCTCGTTGTATGGGCCAAGCTGCAGGACACGGGCAAGATCCGTGGCTTCCTGGTCGACCGCAAACAGTGTCCCGCCGGCACCCTTGAAACACCCGCTATCAAGAACAAGACTGGCCTACGGGCCTCCATCACGGGCATGATCCACCTCGCCGACTGCCCCGTCCCCAAGGAGAATATGTTCCCCGAGATCGAAGGACTCAAAGGTCCCTTCGCCTGCCTCAACAGCGCGCGGTATGGCATCGCGCTGGGTGTGATGGGTGCGTTGGAGGACGCCCTCGCGCGGACGCGTGCATATGCCCTCGAGCGCAAACAGTTCAAGGGCAACCCGTTGGCCAAGTACCAGCTAATCCAGAAGAAGCTGGCAGACGCAGCGACGGATGTAGCCTACGGCACCCTGGCGGCCATCCAGGTTGGCCGGCTCAAAGATGAAGGCAAGGCCACGCCCGAGATGATCAGCATGATCAAGCGGCAGAACTGCGACCGCGCGCTGCACAATTCCCGTGTGCTACAAGAGGTGTTTGGTGGCAACGCCGTCAGTGACGAGTACATGGTCGGCCGCCATGTGGCAAACCTGTACGTCACGCAGACCTATGAGGGGCAGAGCGATATTCACAGTGAGTCCGATCCAACCGATTTACCCATGCTGTTGTTTGCAAACAGAAAGGCCGGGAGCAAAATCTGACACTGCCAAATAGGCCTCATCCTTGGCCGGGCTCTCACCGGAATTCAGGCGTTTGTGTAGGAAGTATCCCATGTTCGTGTGCGGGATATGGGCCTGGATCCCCTTGATATGAACGGTGTTTGCCGTTAGATACCTATCCAAAATAGATTCGACCCCTCGGGGAACCCTGCAGCTCATCGCAGGCACTCGCTTCCATGGCCCTAGCCATCGGCTTCCCTTCCGGCCTTTCCACTACATGTCCCGCATCCATAGTATGCAGCTACTTACATCTACGTTTGTCGGGCCCCGCTACAATTATGCCTCGGCGCCTCCGTGATCCATGATCTGAGGTGGTGTTCAGGTTACTATCTGTACCGTCGGGGATAGCGTTTGCTGCGGGTAGCTACGGACCATGTCCAATCCTCGCCCAAGTGAGTGGTGTTGGAGGACCACGAATACGAACTATACCTCTAGTCCCGAGAAACTGAGGAGTCCGGGAGTATGGGCTCGCAGTGGTTTAGACAGAGCGTCCTGTCCCAGGGTGTCAGGAAGAGGCACTGGGATTCTTCCCTCATAACCTGGTTGGTACCCGATCATCCGTTTGTTTAGCTGTGTACCAAAGATAAGAATTCTACGGGTGGGCCATGGGGCGCCGCTGTACGTTACTTGGATATGGATACATCAAAAATATTCGGTTGTGTGCAGAGTACAAGATGTGACTGTTATGACGAAAGCGGGACTGGTGTGTCTCCCACTCGCAAGTAAGCTTCGGCGATGGTAGGCCTGGAGGGATGCTTGTACTTTTTTTGGTATGTTGTTCCTCACGACATTAGACAAAACACGACGTCCATCGTCAACCTCTACCCATTCATGATGTACGGGAACGTGTCTGGTAAGAATCTACCTTGCCATCTCGAGGCTCAGGGCGGCCAGTATGGGGCTCAAAATGCCCCTTTCACTACTGATAAGTCAGGCCTGCCAGGAAGTTGAGGGTAGAAAATCATAAACCAAGCAAGGCTTTCACTCATACTGCTGAGGGACGAGCCTCGTTGACCCAGGAGAAGGAACTACCAATGGAAATACCGGGGTTCTTTCGCTCGGAGCGCCTGCTGCTCTGATTTCAGATGACTCTCTGGCCTGTTGTTTTGTTTGTGTCCCTTGTTGACAACCTGAACTAACGTTAACAACGCCCAATCCAAACCCGGGCGGCCCGCTCCCGGGTTAGGCTGTTCGGGTCCCAATGGGGCGGTGGGAGTTCAAAACAGGAGCAACACTAACAGACTTATGCGCACATTTTCCTACCGCGTTGTTAAGACTCCGGCGGTGCGGTCACCCATGGTGGCGTCGCGTGAGCAGCGAACGACGCCTGTTGTCAGAGTACTGATTGGCGATTGGGCGCCAAAAAAGCGCCTGCTGATCCAGTCACCGCCCGCAGTCCTTGCCTGAAAATCCTTGGCCCACCGGCACCCATTCCATCCATTTGCCTGGTCCAGCTTCTAGTAAAGTGGGGCTCCAAACCGCCTTTGTCGACCCGCCCACCATCTCCCCCTCACTTTCCCTCTTGCAACCTAACAATCCCCCTTCGTCGACTTCGAATTCCGTCACCCTGGTCTTCTACAACATCCTGCATCACCCGCTCTTTCGCCTTTGTTGCTAATTTTTTGGTAAGCATCGACTTTCTCTGCACAGGTCCCCGAGGTGTTCTTCCACTGCAAACGAGCCTTTATCGCCACGCATTTATTGCCCCGCGTCGAGGCGCCTCGTTCATTCGGATTCTGTGCCTTTCCACACCGTCTGCAGACGAGAAAGCTGACAGCCTTTAAATTCCAGCATCACCCCAGCCTTCCGACGTCGTTCTTTGCCAAATACCACACCACCACACCACCACACAACCACAGACATGGCGCTGAAGCGTATTAACAAGGAACTCACCGATCTCGGCCGGTATGTTTTTCTTTCTTCTTGCCGCGGAGAAACCCAACCGCTCTCGGCTTTTGTATCCCGGCTGCCAGGCGCTACCGCCTTACGGACGACGTCCGGCCGGCCGTCCTGCGAATGGATGCTTTCAGACCATGAGGGGCCAAGCCACAACTGCGAACAACACCTATGACGCATCGCAGGTCATCTTGGCGACGCAAATTTTTTGCTTCCAATAAGATGGGGACCGTGAAGGCTAACTAAATGTTTGACAGAGACCCGCCCTCCTCGTGCTCTGCTGGACCTTCCGGCGAAGATCTGGTATGTGTTCCCTCTACGGCCCCGACCGATCCACACAAGCGAGAAACAATCTGATTCTTAACCTTGCGCGTCCGCGGACTTGATGCTAACGTCGCTTTCTTTGTAGTTCCATTGGCAGGCGACGATTATGGGTCCTGTAGGTGTTTTCCTAATACCGATCGTTTCCATACTATAGAATGTCAAAAAGTGAGACAAGGCTAACCAATTTAACAGGCTGACTCGCCGTACGCGGGTGGTGTTTTCTTCCTTGACATTAATTTCCCTACGGATTACCCTTTCAAGCCGCCAAAGGTTCAATTCACCACCAGAATCTATCACCCCAACATCAACGCCAACGGCAGTATCTGCCTCGACATTCTGCGTGATCAGTGGAGTCCTGCTCTGACCATCTCGAAGGGTATGTCCAAATCCTAGACTTCCGCAGGTACCGTCCTTTATGGAAAGATCACCAGTGACTAACTGCCCTTTGTAGTCCTACTCTCCATCTGCTCGATGTTGACCGATCCCAACCCCGACGATCCGCTGGTTCCGGAAATTGCACATACATACAAGACCGACCGTGCGAAGTACGAGGCGACTGCCCGCGAGTGGACCCGGAAGTACGCCGTCTGATGAGCTCGTTGCCGGGGGGGACGGGAGTGCGTCGTTTTGATTACAGGTGGTCGATCGTCCTGGTTCTCGGGCACTTAGTACATGCGGGGCCGATTCCGGCTTCAAGGGTCCAGAATATAACTGCTCTCTAAGCTCTCGCAACATCCCGGGAAGGGTCAGTTTTCCACGGGTTTGGGGGAGGGGCGGACGGAGATCCCCGGGTCATCTTTCACTTGGGTGGATTGGAGTGGCGTGGGGTTTGGCAGAAGCGCTACGGATTGGCAGCATCGCCTTAATGATTCATACTGCATCACCTAGTCTGGAAACTCGGAAGATTCGGGTATAGCCAGCAAGCCCGTGTACCCCCTCTGATTAGGTGACCGTGTGTTTGTAACTAGATGTTGCCCGTCGCAACATGTTTGGTGTGGATAAGCAGCACATACGACTACCGTGCACGCTTGACGCGTGTGATACTGTGTCTCGCGTATATTTGGTCGTAGTTGGGCAGTGGTCTTGTCATCTTGCCACATGACAAACCACCACGACGTACCTCGGCAGGTTGAGAACAAGTCGTCGAAGACATAGTGCAAAGGTGACTGATGTGACTGCTACCAACCCATCGTGCTCCGAGATTATCACCAACAAATATAACGTCAGGGGGGCACAGATTACATTTCTACGACCTAATATTATCTTGTCGTCTGCTTTTTGGGGAGGCATCTGATCATACCCGTGACAAATCAACATATTTCACTTCCATGGCTTGATAAATTGAATTTGGGCATTTGAGGGTCATAATATGTAGTGGCCGTCTAAATCAATCGCGGGAGTACGGTCAGACCGCCCTTTGGGTTTTGCTCACCACCATGTTTCTCATGTTCTTCGTCGTGGTGCTGCACATCATTCGTCGTGGAGCCCAGGAGTCTGCTTCGACAAGATGCGCAACAAGTTTCATCAACCAACCCAGCCATCCAACTACCGAGCTTGCCAATCCAACTCAACACACCGGGTCAAGCCGGGCTAGCACTGGCTTCCAAGGTTCAACTCGCTAGTGGCGCTGCCAGGAGCGGTATGGTAGTATTGAGAATGCCTCGTAACAGAAAGACCCGGGACAGCCGAGGCGGAAGTCTTTTTAAGTTTGAGATGGTTTTTGGTCTCCGGGCTTTGGGTTAGTAGTTCGGGTGTGGATTTCCGAGTTGAGTACATTGTATGAATCCATAATCGTAATAAGGAGCCCGAGTTCTCGGTGTGATATTTGACAGCATAGTCTTTGTCAATTAGGTATCATGGGAATATAGTTGTGTGATGGAGTTCATTGCAGGTCGAGTCGATGGCCGCCCCTGTCACGGCCGAGTATAAAGACTTCGAACACTCATCGATTATTCTATACCCTTCGATTCGCGGGGCGATGGTTTAAGAGGCCTGGGCCGACCGACCAGGCTTTTAACCCGCTGGTGTATTTACCGGGAATATCCCAACCTTGGTTACATAGTACATGGCTGAGGCTGGGGAGAGGGGCCGCCGGTTACATAGATCAGTCCGTGGCTCGAAGATGGATGGGATACGGTGTGATTTCCATGGTGCTGTGGTATGATGGACCAAGTCGAGGGAAGTTCGAGAAAAGGTATGAGGTGATCCGGCGCTGAGATGCAACTATTTTCGAGGATGATAAATCAACAACATTAAGGACACCATCTCGCATACGAAGGTTTATACCCGACCGCTGGGTTATGATTGGGTGTGTGTCCTGCAATTCTCGCAGCTGAATTTCCGGCCCCTTAAAGAACGTCAACTTTTACTTGAACGTGGACAGTAAAAGCACACATACATGGATCATCATCTCCGTCTCGGTAGTTCGGCCGCGAAAATGGCAATCTCGTCGCCGAGTAGGGCAAGTTGAGGGTCGAAATGACAAAGCACTGGCTGAGCATTGAGGCATTGCAACCCCTAAGAATATGCGACCTGCGTTGGCGCCCAAGTGAATCGCCGCCTGTGTGTCAGGATCCTGGCCGAAACAAAAGTCGCAACGCCCGGCCGCCCATTGCCGCCGGCCCTTGACATTTTCAGCCAATCATATCGCTCATATGAGTGATGCGGGGCCGTAACACCTCGTCAACTCGGATCATGAGCGAGACTTGGGGGCCGATTGACACCCATGTGCGCTCGAGAGCCCAGAACGTCCAGTCGAATGCAAGCGTATTTGCTCGCCCACGAAACGCCCATGGCGGACGAGAAGAGTAGACGAAAGAGCCCTGGTGCAAGATTGGGCTTTTGTACGCTTCCCCTTCTTCGAAAATGGCGCCATTACCCACATCCCCCGTACTCTCCTTGTTCGAAGATCGTCGGAAACCTCATTCTCGACGCTGTGCACCTCGACTCTGTCTGAACAGCCGCCTTTTCCCAATAGTTAGACCTCGACGGTAAAGTCCCCGGTCGATTCCGAGTAAGAGAGTTCGACACCATGGCCTGGATTCGAACAAGTCCCGCCCCCACGAAGGGTCTTGGTAAATAACACAAATCCTGATCCGTACCTGGCGCCGACCCCGGTTGGAAGGGGGCCACACGGGACGAAGTATACGCTTCGGTTCTGAGTCTGTCATCATCCGCCCGGCTTCACGGCATGTCCTACCATGGACATATCAAGCAACCGCCCCGAGGCCGGCCCGGGAGGTCGGATTGTTGGGGGCGGGGCCTGCCCATGGCCGCGGACGAGAGCCCCCAAGCAGCCTGGGCGTCAGCCGTCAGCCACCCCAGCCTTTTGCTGCACAAGATGTCTCTTGGCTTGCACCTTGGCAAGGCACTGTTTCGACAACGTTGGATCTCGTTGGATCTCGTTCGATTCTCTCTAGATTTTGCCCACAAATGGGGATCCCTGCCTTGCTCTTGGCGTCTCGAGTTTCAACGATGCTTGCGCAATTCATTCTCCTTACTCCCCATCCCTTCTCCTCCACAATACCAAACACAGGACGCAACACAGGCCCCTGGAAGGGTTCCACGTCCCCGACTCGCCCCTCCTCATCGCTACACAGTAAGGTCCTCGCAGGGTTCTTCGGGGTTCGAAGGGCTTGTTTCTTGCCCAGCGCCTGTTTACTGTTGCCCCCGCCGAGTCATTTGCCAACGGTCCTTTTGCCTCTTCATCCAACCTCGTTCCCGCGAGGTCCCATGCGCTTGGGCTATTCTCTTCTTGTGGTGTCTGGTCCCAGCATAAGTGACTTCGCCAGCTTTTTCTTACTTTCATTTTTTACTGTTTTTCCCCTCTGCCCTTGGTTAGAGGAAAACAACGAGTCGCGGGAGGTTGACGAATCACACCCTCACCCCCGGCATTTGCGGACAGGTATGATCTACACGAATCAGCTCATGTGCCTGGCGCTTGATCGCTTGGCGACTCTGAACCCAAAACACTCTCTTCTCGTAGCCCGCGCCTTTGGCCGCCCTCCCTTTTCCTTCCCTGCGCTGTCTTTCTTTTCCGCCGGTGCTGCGCATCTTTCACCGGGCGCTTGGTTGCTGACTATCACGGTGGCAAACACAGGCTCCGTCATATCCGTTCTCTTAGGTCGTGCTCCTCGTAGTCGCCTCACTTATCTTCTCTTCTCCTTGTCGACGGTCGCCTAGATGGACATAGTCCACCGGTTCAGCAGGTTCTGATTCCGAAACGCATTTCGTTCCCAGCGCGGTTGTCTACCGGTCGACACTTTTAATCACCTTAATCGAGGGGGGCCTTTTCAGGGCCGCGATTGCCCGTTGGAGGAGTTCGAAGTTATTGACGAAGGATTGCCTGCTTGGTAAAGGAGGGGAAAAGAGACTAAAGCTTCTGGTACGAGGCTTTGGGTGGGACTTTGGGGAACAGGCGGGTTGGTTTGGCTTGGAGAAATATCACGACGACAGCACCAACCGACACCTAGCATGGCGAGCTACGGAGGATACAATGGTTACGGGGCGGGAAACCGGAGCAGCGGGGGGTCGTTAAAACAATCGGAGAGGTCAAGATGGACGCCCCTTACACGAATGCTGCTGTCGGGCGAGATGACCCAGGAGAAGCAAAAAGACTTGACGCCACGGGAAAAGTTCGACCGATGGATGGTGAATGAGGGATACCGGCGAATGTAAGTCTTGATGGATGCTGCCCGTATTCGTTGACGTTTCGCTGTGCTGACCGCGGCCGCAGTTTCGTTTTTGTCTTCATGCTTCTTCACGCGACCGTCTTTGCCTTTAGTTTTGTCCACTACACGCTCAAGGACAACCTACAGATTGCGCGGGACACGTTTGGGCCAACATTCATGATTGCGCGTGCGTCGGCACTCGTCCTGCACGTCGATGCGGCTCTCATTCTCTTCCCCGTCTGCCGGACGCTTGTCTCGCTGGCGAGGCAGACGCCACTAAACGGCATCATTCAGTTCGACAAGAACATCACCTTCCATATCACCACCGCCTGGTCCATCTTTTTCTTCTCGTGGGTACACACGATCGCCCACTGGAATAATTTTGCCCAAATCGCGGCCAAGAACAACTTGGGCTTCTACGGCTTCCTGCTGGCCAATCTAGCTTCCGGCCCGGGCTGGACGGGGTATGTGATGCTGATTTCCTTGACTGGTATGGTCATCACATCGGTGGAGAAAACGCGCCGCGCCAACTACGAGAGGTTCTGGTACACGCACCACATGTTCCTCATCTTCTTCTTCTTCTGGTCATTTCATGGCGCCTTCTGTATGATCCAGTCCGACTTCGCGCCTTTCTGCCAATCCATCGGGACCTCGGCTATCGGTGTCTTTTGGCAGTACTGGATGTACGGCGGGTTCGCCTACCTGGCTGAGCGCATCGCGCGCGAGGTCCGTGGCCGCCACAGGACGTACATCTCCAAGGTTATCCAGCACCCAAGCAACGTCTGCGAAATTCAAATCAAGAAGGAGCACACCAAAACCCGCGCCGGGCAGTACATCTTCTTTTGCTGTCCCGCCGTCTCGCTATGGCAATATCATCCATTCACTCTGACTAGCGCGCCTGAGGAGGATTACATTTCGATTCACATGCGCGTTGTGGGTGACTTCACGCGGTCGGTGGCCGAAACTCTAGGGTGCCAGTTCGACAAGAAGAAGACCGAGTCCTCCAAGGTCGTGGGTGTCAACCAGGACAACGACGAAGTCGATCCCGCGCTACGCCGGGTTCTCCCCCGCGTGTACATTGACGGCCCCTTTGGCTCGGCCTCCGAGGATGTGTTCAAATATGAGGTCTCGGTGCTTTGCGGTGCGGGTATCGGCGTGACACCCTTCGCGTCCATCCTCAAGTCCATCTGGTACCGGATGAACTACCCGCAAAAGAAGACGCGGTTGAGTAAAGTCTACTTCTTTTGGATCTGCCGTGACTTTGGGTCGTTCGAGTGGTTCCGTTCGCTGCTGCTCGCCATCGAGGCGCAGGACGTCGACAACCGCATCGAGATCCACACATACCTGACGGCCAAGATCAAGGTTGATGACGCCACAAATATCATGATTAACGATGCCAACGCCGACAAAGACACGATTACCGGCCTACGGTCGCCGACGAATTTTGGGCGGCCCAACTGGGACATGATTTTTAGGGGTATCCGCAAATTGCATGCCCCGTCCGAGGCGGGTGTGTTTTTCTGCGGGCCGAAGGGCTTGGGCAGCACATTACATATTTTCTGCAACAAGTACAGCGAACCTGGGTAAGTTCTAGTGGACATGCACTATTCCCCCTGTTTGTCGCATCCATGCTAACCGATGGTTAGGTTCAACTTTGTCTGGGGTAAGGAGAACTTCTAGAAAGTCCTTTGCTCACCAGTTCTAATACAAAGTGTGGGACACCTGGTTGACCGGGTCCACAGACGAGCCCGGCTGTGTTGGTCGAGTTCGTCATCCTAAAGCCCGATTCTGGTTGTCTCGCTGCAATTGGAGATCAAAGCTGGGTGACACGTTATGTTGATTGAAGAGCGACGAATGAGGCTCGTATGCGCGTCACTTGACGTTGGTACCAAGGCGAGCTGGTACCCGCATGATCAGGGCCCATCCAGGAACAGTGTTTTCCCATACATTTTCAGGTCTATATTTTTGATTCCCTTTATTTGCCTTTTCTTGTTGCATACAGATGTTGGGATTTTTCGGCGTAATAAATACTGGGCCGTCGCGCCCGACAGACAGCACGCATTTGTGATTTGAGTATATAGTTGATCTTGTTTTCAATACCTATGATGTGCTTATCTCCTGACTTGCTGACCGTCTTCATGAAAGTGATGTTCCGTTGCGAATATTTCGGAGCTTTGTCCTGGCCAGCATTTCCAGTCTACTATGTAATACCTCCCCGTAAGGGCATGGGTTTTAATGGACCCACTTTAATTCGCGGAAAGGCGCGTCGTCTCCAAGCCCACCGCGTCAAGTTCCCTTCTCCGTGACATCACGAAAAAGAGCTCCATCGCTCCCGAAAAGCTTCGCACCAACCCACCGCCCAAACTTTCCACAACACATTTCTCAAGAAAAATCACAACCAATTCTCTTGAGGGATTGGTAAACCTCGCCGCAAATATGGGTATCAAGAACCTCTTCTCCATCATCAAAGATGAGGCACCAGATGCCATCAAGGAGGGCGAGATCAAGAACCAATTCGGACGGAAGATTGCGATTGTAAGGGTCGAATGGTCAACGATTCTATTTCTGGTTTGCTAACTGAACTTTAGGATGCGTACGGAATTACCGACAAGACCGGATGTGCTTAACATGATGCTAACCACTTAACAGCTCCATGAGCATCTACAGCTTCCTCATCGCGGTACGATCGGATGGCAACCAACTCATGAGCGAAGACGGAAGCACGACCTCCCATCTAATGGGCCTCTTTTACCGCACGCTACGAATGGTCGATAACGGGATCAAGCCGCTCTACGTCTTCGACGGCGCCCCACCGAAACTCAAATCCGGCGAACTTGCGAAACGGTTCCAGCGTAAACAGGAGGCGACTGAAGACCTCGAAGAGGCAAAGGAGACGGGTACGGCTGAGGATGTCGAGAAGTTCTCGCGTCGGACGGTGCGCGTAACCCGGGAGCATAACGCGGAATGCCAGCAGCTGCTTAAGCTGATGGGTATTCCGTACATTGTCGCGCCTACTGAGGCTGAGGCCCAGTGCGCGGCTCTGGCGCGTGCCGGCAAGGTGTATGCGGCGGCGAGCGAGGATATGGATACACTGTGCTTTGACACTCCCATCTTGATCCGGCATCTTACCTTCAGCGAGCAGCGCAAGCTGCCGATTCAGGAGGTGCATCTGGACAAGGTGATGGAGGGTTTGGGGATGGAGAAGAAACAGGTGAGCCCACCAGATAGGACATCACTGGCGACCCGCCTCCCTCTCGCTTCCCCAAAGAAATCACTACGCCTTACTTGTGTTTGCTAACCCTTTTTTGCCCTTTTTTTCAGTTTGTCGACCTCTGCATTCTTCTCGGATGCGATTACCTCGACCAGATCCCCAAAGTCGGCCCATCCACGGCCCTCAAGCTGATCCGTGAGCACGGCACGCTCGAAAAAGTTGTCGAATTCATGAAGAACGACCCCAAAGAGCGATACGTGGTCCCCGACGATTGGCCATTTGAAGATGCGCGCGATCTCTTTTTCTCGCCGGATGTACGGCCGGCCACTGATCCGCTGTGCGAGTTTAAGTGGGACAAGCCCGATATTGAGGGACTAGTTAAATTTTTGGTTCACGACAAAGGCTTCTCAGAAGACCGAGTGCGATCTGCTGGGGCGCGGCTGGAAAAGAACCTCAAGGGCTCACAGCAGTCGCGGATTGAGGGATTCTTCAAGGTCGTCCCGAAGACAGAGCAAGAGAAGGTGGCACATAAGCGCAAATTGGAGGAACAAAATGAGGCCAAGAAGAAGAAGCTGAAGGAGGAGAAAAAAGAGAAGGCGAAGGCGAAGGCGAAGCCACGGGGTGCCGCATAATGCTGTTGGCACTGGCCTTGCTGGGGAAGGAAAGGCGAGGGGTATTCCCCCTCCATGTGGCTTGCTTTGACGATGCATATCATCCTGTTGCAATTTTGGGTTTTTTTCTGACAGGCAGGTGAATGGCGAACGGAGGACCCGGCGTTGGTGGAGTTCTGTTCAGCTGATGGGGGATGGGTCTCGGACGGGCAATATCGCTGGAAGGCAAAACAATGTCCATTGCTATTACTGTCGACGGGTTTTGCTTTCTACAGTTGTATGTCGCAAATGATTTACAAGCAAAACATCTGCGGAGACTCGTCAAGATCTTGAGTTTCTCCAGTGATTGCACCAACCCATCGGGTCGAATTCATCTGCACAATATCAGGTCGTCTATGAAGTGCCGACACAGGCTTTAGAGGGCCGACAAGACCTTGAGTTGTGAACACCGTCTGTGAGCAAAGTTAATTTTGTTTTTACTTTTGACCCAGTTAATCCGAAATAAACTTTATCCCAAACCCCGCGTACTGGTAGGACGATCCCAAGCAAGCAAAAGAAGATGTCACGAACATCGTCACGGCTCGTTTCTCATGGAACGTCTCGAGTGAATACTAAGGAGAGCTCTTGCGCTTGATGTGGTGTCTCTGTAGCATAACATAGACTCCACGATAACCATGACATTCTTTTAAAAGCCCAACGGCTTGACTTGATAGATGCCCCAGCCGAAATAAGGTTTGGGTCCCGCGCGTAAGTAGGGCGGAACATTACCCCGAGCGGGAAGCTCTGTAGCTCGGATTACCCGCATTCCCAGCAAACCAGAGTCGAGCTGTGATCAATCACCTGGCTTGGGGGAACCATCCCGTCGCCCAGGGCGTCAGCAACCGCAAATACGAGTTTCTCATGCTCGTGGTAGGCGAGATTCGTCCATCGTTATTCCAAGGGGGTTACGTCGCTCGTGGGCGTCGCATAAGTAATATATAGTCAAGAACAAGACACTGCATCAAGCAGTCAACCCTTGAAAAGTATCAACCAAACTCAGCGGACACCTAAATATTAGTTTCAATCAAGAGCTTAACACCTAGAAAATGCAGCTCAAAGTCTTCCTCACTCTCTTCGCGGCCGCGGCCTCGGCTGCTCTCCTCGACGATGTCCCGGAAGCCCCGCGCAAGTTAACACTGATGGCGCTGCGTTCCGGCGCTGTATTCCACCCGGGCATCATCAGCGCCTCGCAGAACAAGCTGTGGCTCTCGCTTCCCGCCGACAAGCTTGACGCCGAGTGCCAGGACGGCCAGCAGCACACCGCGGCCACCGTTTACATCCAGGATGGCAAGCTCGTGTTGTATGGTACTGGGAAGGCAGACGAGGGGAAGGAGGTGCCCGTGCAGCAGTTTGTGGTTGATCGCTCGGGGAACGGTAACTCGGCCTTTTCTGCTTCTTCTTTCCCGTGGTTCCTCTGTCTCTATCCGTCAAATTGTGAGGCCATGGCCTTTGCTGATTAGTAATTCAATTGTGACCATAGGCCAAGGCGAACTAAATTACTACACCCAACCCGCCGACGCTCCTCCTCCCACCGGTGACCTTGAGGTGGTCGGTTGGGAAATCGACACGAGCGAGAACCTCACCTTCAAGGGTTATAACCTGATTGCGTGCCCTGCCGCCGACGGATCGTGGGCTGTCTGGGTCAATGTCGACGTGCAGAATCCGGGTGGCAACGAGGGGTGCTTGGGCTTTGTCACCCGCGTCGAAGGGAACTACGTGCCCGTTGGATGCGAGTATAGCGGTCACCCGTAGGTAACTAATTAGTTAGCGGGTTATCGTGTTGGTGTTGGCGTCGGTAGGGCAGTATGGCGGATTTAATGAGGGGGATTGTCGAAGGATGTAAGGAGCGAGAGACGGAGAGAAGGGATAGTGTGAATGTCCAGCGTTTCCCGTGTCGTGTATCTGTAGGTAGTTGCGAAAATCTTGGGTGGTTGATAAAAGTCTCCGAATCCTCCATCCCAGCGCGCGAGTCGCGTGCCTTGACTGCCGACCGCGGGTTGGTGGGCTCTTAAGTGGATGCTACAGGGGGTGGTTGGTGTTGCCTCGGCTCGTTCAGGCTTGTGGACGCCAGCGACTTGGTAATCCGGCCTGTCGCCATTGGCCTGACACGAGGTGCATTTCCATGACATCAGCCGAGGGCTCGCGGTCGCGGGCCGGTAATGGCCACACAGGGGTCCACCTCAGCGTCGAAGGCTATCACATGCCTCCGCATCCAAGGCTCGACGAGACTGGCAAGCCCGGAATACCTGGCGATGCGACTTTTTCGGAGTTTCTACTCTGTAAGGTCGATGGAGCAGAGAAAGAGTTAGTTAACGCGGCGCAGAAGGACTTGCCTCGTCGAAAAGAAAGCCATGAAATGCTAAGGACAGAGCGAGAAAACGGGAGACAGCCCGAGGCGCATCGTCGTCTCCACCCTGTCATTCTTTCGAATGAAAGAATGTGTCTCGAAGATGGTGTTGTTTCCACATGCAGGCCACACAGAAACCCGGGGATTTGTTGTCGCATCTACACTACACAAGGACTCTCAATTGTGGTCGTAGCAGGATGATGAACGGGGCACAAAATGGAAGTGCATGTGCCACTTCCCCCGGACTCCAGATTCGAGCATTCGGGGGCGGGCCGGGTTCACATGTGATCGCACTGAGATCCGGTTGCCGTCGACCTCACCCCACGGGGCAGGGGGCTCCAGGATTCCAGATGCCGAGTTCCATTTGCCGCCCTTTATTATCGCCGGAGGATGCCCCCTCGTTCCTTCTTTTCTTCCTTCCTTCCTTTTCATTGTCCATGCTTGCCTGCCTACTCCAATTTTTAAAGCCTTGCATTCGTCGACCTTGACTTCCTTTTTGTCTGAAGTCAGTAGGGCCACATTTTTTTACCTTACCATACTGTTCACCCCTCTGTATTTTGCACCTCTTATCCACAACCATGTCTAAGACATTTACGCAAGGCGACGTTGCCGCCCACAACAAGACGGAGTCCCTCTGGATCGTAGTTGACGACGATGTTTACGATCTCACCAAGTTCCAGGATGACCACCCGGGTAAGTTTCCTTTCATCCAGCGCGCAATTCCTCATTCGGACCGTTTTTTGTTAACGTGATGTGCATTGCAGGCGGCAAGAAGATTTTGCAAAGGGTGGCCGGCAAGGATGCGTCAAAACAGTTCTGGAAGTACCACAACGAGGGCATCTTGAAGAAGTTCCAGAAGCAGCTGCAGATTGGCTCTCTAGATACGAAGCCCAAGGCGGCCGCTCCCCCACCAGCGCCCGCGCCGGCCCCGAAGGAGGCTCCGAAGCGCGCCGCCAAGCCGGCTTCGTCCGAGGAGGAGGAGGAGGCCGAGGCCCTCGAGCCCTTCGGCGCCCAGATTCCCTTTGCCGACCCTAGCTGGTACCAGGGCGTAAGTTTCACCTCCGTGTTACGTGCACATAGAAATCCTCCGTCACTAACATCTTTATCCTCTCCTAGTACCACTCCCCGTACTACAATGAGACCCACGCTGCGCTCCGGGCCGAGATTCGGGAGTGGATCGACAACGAAATCGAGCCCAACGTCACTGAGTGGGACGAAAAGAAGCAGGTGCCCGCCGAGGTGTACAAGGAGATGGGCCGTCGCGGTTACCTGGCCGGCTTGCTTGGCACCAGCTACAAGAAGGAATACGTCGACAACCCGATCAAGTCGGTGGCTCCCGAGGACTGGGATCTCTTCCACGAGATGCTGCTTACCGATGAGCTCAGCCGCACTGGTTCGGGCGGTTTCGTCTGGAACGTTATTGGCGGTTTCGGTATCGGCTGCCCCCCGCTGGTCAAGTTCGGCAAGAAGTCGCTGGTCGACCGCATCCTGCCCGGCATCCTGAACGGCGACAAGCGCATCTGCCTGGCCATCACGGAGCCCGATGCTGGCAGTGATGTTGCCAACCTGACCTGCGAGGCCAAGCTCAGCGAGGACGGCAAGCACTACATCGTTAACGGCGAGAAGAAGTGGATCACCAACGGTGTGTGGTCTGACTACTTCACCACCGCAGTCCGTACCGGTGGCCCGGGCATGAACGGCGTGTCGCTGCTCCTCATCGAGCGTGACTTTGGCGGCGTTTCCACTCGTCGCATGGACTGCCAGGGTGTGTGGTCGAGCGGCACGACCTACATTACCTTTGAGGATGTCAAGGTCCCCGTTGAGAACTTGATCGGCAAGGAGAACCAGGGCTTCCGCGTCATCATGACCAACTTCAACCACGAGCGCATCGGCATTATCATCCAATGTCTGCGCTTTGCCCGCGTGTGCTTCGAGGAGTCGGTCAAGTTTGCCAACAAGCGCAAGACTTTCGGCAAGAAGCTCATCGAGCACCCCGTCATCCGTCTCAAGCTCGCCCACATGGCCCGCCAGATCGAGGCCTCGTACAGCTGGCTGGAGAGCATCATTTACCAATGCCAGAAGACCAACGAGACCGAAGCCATGCTGCGTCTTGGTGGGCCCATTGCTTCGCTCAAGGCCCAGTCCACCGTCACCTTCGAGTTCTGTGCTCGCGAGGCCTCGCAAATCTTTGGCGGTTTGTCGTACTCGCGTGGCGGCCAGGGCGGCAAGGTTGAGCGCCTGTACCGTGATGTGCGTGCCTATGCTATCCCCGGTGGTAGCGAGGAGATCATGCTTGACTTGAGCATCCGCCAGAGCATGAAGGTGGCCAAGATGTTTGGCGGGATGAAGTTGTGAGAGCTGAGAAACGACGAGAGGAAAATATTACCATTTTTAGAGAGGTGATTTGGATTGATAGGTTTGGTATCTGTCAACAATAGTAGGAATAGGCGGCGGTGTATTATTTTTTTTTTTTGTTTTCTCAACTCCTGTATCGTTAATTCCGGAATCTTTCATGGCGGTCCGGCAATCTTGCCCAAACCCCAATCTTTCATATTTTTATACTGTTTATAAAATTTTACTTTATTCTTGGATAACAACAAGGCATTGGCAGGAGATTGGGAGACTGGTTGGCGCAGCGGTGACATTTTGAATACAATACATTACCTCTAACTACTTGTTTGCATGCACTTTTCCTAACTTCAAGTTGCGGTGTAGGCGAATCCGATGCTTTCCTGTTTGGTGGTGTGTTGTCTCAGACATTCTTGCAGCGGACGTGGTGTCACGACCGTGACTGTGCTGGGGAAAGAGGAGCCCAATAGCTAAATGGTGTTACAAGTATATTAAGATAGTTACACAAGCGACGACCCCGTCAACACGGGACTTCGACATACCTCACCCGATATATGCCCGTGTGTTTTTCCGAGCGCGGCCGAATCACCATCGATAATTGTAAACGCACAAGGTGCGTAACAAGTACAAGCGATGTTCGCCTCGTGGTTCTTCGCCTGCCTCGCCGTTACAAGCCTCGTGGCTGCCGACTGCGCCGAGTGCAGCAACGTAAGGACAAGACAGTCACTACTCGCAGTGGAGACAACCAACGGTCCCATAATAGGGCATATTGCTCCCGGAGCACCATCGCAACGCGTGATCGAATATCTGGGGATTCCCTACGCGAAGCCTCCCGTGGGCGACCTACGATTCGCCGCTCCCCAGCCGTTGGATATCCAAGACCCTTACATAGCCGCCAACTTTGGCGCAGACTGTCCGTTAACGCCCCCCAAGCCTGTTGACTATCCTGAGTTTACCCCTCAGGCGCAGCGCATCATCAACTATTTCACCTCTGGCACAGGGACACCACAAAGCGAAGACTGCCTGACGCTCAACATCTGGTCTAAGGCCACGCCTGCGGCTGACACGGCCAACAAGCCCGTTGTCGTGTATTTCTACGGGGGCAGTAAGTCATAGGGGGCGGCGGGCACTGTTGGACAAATTTCACTAGCCGTTAGTTCCTTAGTAACACTCGCACAGGGTTCACCGCTGGCAACACCAACAGCCCCTTTTACAACGGCCAGCATTTGGCCGACGCCCAGGATATCGTTGTCGTGACAGTAAACTACCGCACCAACATCTTCGGGTTTCCCGGCGCCCCGGGCGAGATGCAGAACTTGGGCCTGCGCGACCAGCGTGCCGCTGTTGAGTGGGTGCGCGACAACATCGCGAGCTTCGGCGGCCATGCGAGCCGGATCGTGCTCGCCGGCCAGTCGTCGGGCGGTGTTGCAGTGGACTACTGGGCTTACGCGCACGAGGCCGACCCAATTGCGGCCGGCCTAATCCTCAGTTCAGGCACTGCGTTCAGCTTCCCCCTGAATGCCCCCGGCGTGCTAGACCGCAATTGGAACACGGTTGTAAACGCTGTGGGCTGCAACACCACCACCACGAGCACCGACACCGGCACCGGCACGACGCCTGAAGACGACCCCGCTGCCATGATGGCCTGCATGCGCGCCGTGGACTGGACCGCCCTCAAAGCCGCAGCGGCAGCCATCAAACCGAGTCCCAGCACAAGCGTCCTCCGCGGTATCCCCGCGTTCTACCCCCAAGTCGACAACCTTCTCGTCTTCCCAGACTACCCAGCGCGCACGGCAGCGGGCCGCTTCGCCCCATTGCCCATCTTCGCAGGCCACAACGATAACGAGGCGGGCTACTACCGCATCCCCGTCTATGGCAACAGCAACGGCACCGTCGTGCCCACTGACGACCAAGTCACCGCCTTCCACCTCGAGTCCTTCACCTGCCCCGTTGCCCACCAAGCCGCTGCTCGCCGTGCCCGCGCGATTCCAACTTGGGTGTACCGGTACTTTGCGGATTGGGAGAACACGCGCCTGTACCCGGACTCGGGCGCGTATCACGGGGTTGACTTGCACATGGTGTTTGGGGCGTCGGAGACGGTCAGCGGGGGGTTAGCACCGTCGGCAGAGCAGCGGGCGCTGACGGAGGTGGTGCAGCGTGCGTGGTACGCATTTGCGCGAGATCCTTGGGCCGGGCTGGCACGGGATATGGGCTGGCCGCAGTGGGCGCCTGGGCATGAGAGCTTGGTAGAGCTGGGTGTGAACAACACGGCCATGCCCCGGTTTGTGGATCCGGCGGTGTATGATGCGCCGTGTGTGAATGTTGCACCCGGTGCGTTAGGGGTGCCAGGAACAGCTTGAGTCGGTTAGGTTCATCATAATACGAGTACGCCTACTCAACTTTGCTACAATGGATATGACCTTGCGGGTTTGAAGTGAGTAGCAGCAGCAATAGACACAGAAGAGTTTTAGCTAGGAGGTTGTCTCCTTTCTCAGCTGTTGTGAGCGTAATGTAGCTGGGGCAACCAGAGACGGTACGAATGATGAAGGAGCAGGGAAGAAACGCGGCGTGAGTAATAAAATGGAACATCCGAGCGAGATAGACGAGAAATAGCCACAAAAGCCTGAGACGGAAGGTTAGTCGTTGTTTAGCCAAGGGTTTAACCACTTTGGCAGGGGAGAAACAGGAAGCAGGACGGGAAAGGTGCCTATTTGGGAGTGAGCCGGATCAGAAATAGAACAATGTAGGTGATTGGGTTATAATCATTACAGCTGTTCATAAACAGCCTCTCGTAAGAGATCATCATATCCGGCAGGGGCATCTGAATTTTGAGGAAGGGAGATAGATTGGAAGAGATTGTGGAAGGACAAGAGAGCAACTTACGACTCGAACTGTTGAGCGTCCGTTTTATGAAATCGTAATGAGCGTGAGGCATTAATCGTGAAGTCCTGGCCCAAGAGACGCATGTTAGCGACTTGATAAACAGTGTAACGCAATCAAAGGAGCGGCAAAGAATAAATCAGAAATAGAACAATGTAGGTGGTTGAGTGTAATCATAACAGCTGTTCAGAAACAGCCTCTTGCGAGGATCATCATGGTAGAAATGCGGGCATATGGGGAGAGCAATAGCATACATTTGTTATAATCCCATGTTTCGCAGGGAGGAAGAACGCAGCGAATGAGAAGCCGGAAAGGGTGAGGTGATGTTAATCATGGCCGGGCTGCATCAAATCACACTAAGAACAACACACCGAGATCCATTAGCAAGGTCGAAGTAGATCAATGGTAGGCGAGGGGGAGGAACAGAGGGTAAACTTAAGAGATAAAAGAACAATACAAGTGGTTGGAGAAAGGATTCATAGCTGATTATAAACGGCCCTTTTTAAAGGTTTCGCACCGGGGAGAAAGCAAAGGAGAAAAGACGAAAGGAGAAAAGACGAAAGGAGAAAAATTGCATACCTTGAAACGAGATAATACGGGCTGCACGCACATTAACGAGTTCTGGAATACCCTGATAGTGTAGCCGTTCGTTCCATTGCACCAGATGCCTCGCCGGTATGGTCCCTGTAATATGTACACAGCCCAGAGCGGGCCACACCCCCATGCCCCTGCTAATTGTCGTTGGGGTCTGCGCTATAAGTCTGGACCTCGATCCCATACTTTTCCTTGAGTCTCGCTCGCCGCCGTTCCTCGTATCCCGGAGCTTTGATACCTAAAGGCGAGTTAGGGACGAAGAAAACCGCCAAGCAGCAAACAATGGTTGGTTCTTACCTCGGCCCTCCCCAATCTCGGCAATCGTCTCCTCAATCGGCCTCCTGTATCTCTTGCGTAGCGCCTCCTTCCGCTCATACTCATCCACTTCAGGCCGATTCCAATAACCCCTCAAGCTGTTACCTGTATATTGATACACCGCCAGCGTAGCCGAGACGAGCGCGGATGTACCAACGACGCGAGAGATACGGCCGACTGCAAAAAAGGGAGTGTCGGAATGTGGTCAGCATTCATAGTTGAATTGTCGGCGTGACGGGAAGGGGCGTGTTTCCTTACACCTCAAGCCCATTACGGCGCCCGCAAGGGCACCGCCAACCGCATCGTTCCAGTGGTCTTCTTTCTCTCGCAGGTTTGCGCTCGCATCGCGGCCGAAATTGAACGAGGCACCGGTAGCGGCTGCGCGGAAGAAACGAGCAAACGGGTAAGCATATATGTCAAGAGCGGGAAAGAAGGGTGCGAAGAACGAAATGAGGGTAGTAAGCCGTACCAAATATGACAATGGTGCCGCCGTGTTTGGTGAAGGTGGCCCACGGCCCGACGTTTTTCTTCGCGAGCGAGCTCATCACAGCAGCGAAGAGCGTACCGACGCCGCCGAAGACCGCGCCCTCCCGGAGAGTGCCATGGACGGTATCCTTCGGTTGGTAGTGCTGATCGTCCTCGTTCGTTGGCGACATGGTGCCGGCTTCGTATGGCGGTCGTCAAGGCAGAGGGGAGAGGGGCGCGCAGGCACACGCAGAGAGTGGGTGTGGGATGCGAAAGCAGATGGACAAAGTGACATTCGAAAGGTCACTGACGGCTCGAAATGGGGTCTGCGGCTCCTCCCCACTACAATTGGGCTTTTCCTATTGGCTACATGATGCTTGGAAATCTGCCCCACTCGGCATCTTTGTGAGAGCTTCAGCGTCCCCCACGGGAGCTCAGGAGGAAGGTCTTCTCGCCCTGACTCCTAAAGCTAGAAGATGAAGCTGTAAGACGCTAATGACGCTGCGTATATGGGCAGCTTTCCCGAGCGTTATCTTACACTCCTTGTGATGCTTCAACGTATCCTCAACCCAAATTTCTTCTTTCGGCTACATTGAATGCCAACACAAAATTAAAAATAAAGTAATAAGATACAGACGTAACAAACCTCACTGAAGATCGTAAATGCCATCAACATAACGTATGAGGGGGATGATACCGCCTTAGTGACAGGTTGGCAGCATAAATTCAAGCGCCAGTTGTATCTCAGCGTAGTCCGTACTTAGTGGGTTACGCTGGGCACTGCGTCCTTCAACATGTGCGGCTAAAGAAGGCTGGGGCCATGTCGCATGCTGTATTCTTACGCAGCGCAGCGGTAAGGGGATACGTCAGCGGGTCTGAGACCCCTGAGGAGGCATCTGTCTTCTTCATTGTGTGTGTGAATAAGGCTCCGCCCCGGCTGCGCGCACCCTTCCTTTTGCTTCCGGAAGCTTAAACACAATATCACTTGCGGGTACTTAGCTCTCGTGAACCCCTCTATCCGTAGAAGGAAAAAAGCGGGAAAGAAGGTTTGCTCGGCGTTGTGTGTTTTGAATTACTCCCAATAGCTCACTGATGCCGCATCTTTTCACTTGCATTTCACTCCCACATTGTCGATCTTGACAGGAACAACGGAATTACAGTTGGTTGCATTCATTGCCTGCATCATCCCGGAGCTGTTGTTCCAGCAGCCCACCTTAACGGCTCAACACCATTTTCCTAACCTCTCCTTATTTCGTTCCTTTGCCGTGTCGCTCGCCGTCGACTCGGTAAATCTCCCGAGACCTCGCCCAGGGCATCACAGCTCCAGTGGGCACCGCCGAATATCACCCCGCATCCCGCGCCGGGCCAACCGCTTGAGACGACCCAACCCACCAACCATCCCACCGACGACTCATTCGCCCCTGATTGTGCGAGGCCACACAAGTCACCCGGCGCATACGCGTTCGTCAGGACCCTCTTGGACCTTTCGAGGATAGGAAGAGTGGAAGACAGAAGGGACGGGCTCCGCGAGTCCCATATCCCACGGCATCCAAAAGTAACCAACCGCTTGTTCTCCCTTTCTGCCGCTCATCGATTGCGCCTCTTCCAGCATCGGGCCGACAACGCACTTTTCTTTCTAATCCGTCATGACTGTCGACCGCGTTACGGCGCAGATCCAAAGGTTGGCGCTGGCCAAATCAACGGCTTTTACTAATTCGGCCTTGTCAGTGGTACAAGTCGCAGAAACAAACCCGACGGGGCAAGGTAAATAACAATCCTAGCTCATCCCGAGCCAACCCCCGGTATTTGTGATTTTGTTTCTTATCACAGAAACACTTTGAACTGACCGGGATTTCTCAGGCGGTCGGCTGGCTTCTCGACTTGTCCGCGACTGGTTTGCTGGTCATCCTAGGCGGCAAAGGCAGGAGAAGCCAAACTCGGATCCCCGACTCACGGAGCAGAATCAGGGGCCGTCGGTCGAGTGCCCACCCCTGCGCATCTTTCCTCCTCGCTCGGATGGAAGCCCAGACCATGACCTGATCGTTCAGCCGGGGCAAAGCTATGGAGCAGCACATGATCCCGAAGGCCGGGGCAGGACGCTCATATCCTGCATGTGCCGGTGCTGCCGTTACCACTTCGTTTTCAAGATTAACCCATCTCCTCACAAAGATGGCGCTGGGCACCTGCAACACCATTTCCGGGTCGTGGAGGCCTCCTGGAACGGCCTTTCCGAGGCTGCGGCGTTCCACCACTCGAAGCCTAGTCCCCACCTGTGTCGGTTTCAGTACGCCTGCACGCTCTGTGCCGTCTCCGTCGACCTAGAGATATCGCTCCCACGACTGAAACCAACGTGGCTGAAGATGATAATGGATGAGAAGAGGATTAAAGAGTCGCTCAAGGTCGCGAAGAAACAAGACCCAACCCGCTATGCGGATGTCACTGCGGAGAAAGAGACTCACTACGTTACGACCGTGCTTTACACCTTGAGCCAGTACCTCAAGAACGTTCTCGACGACGACGGGAAGGGGTCGCGAAAGAAGATATCGTGCCGGAACAAAACCTTTATGGTGCAGTTCGGCCGGGATTGCGACCAGGTCTTTCGATACCTGGGCTTCGAGGAGGAAGAAGATCAGGCCGCCAACGAGTCTTACTGGCTGCCACCACAGCTACCGCCTCAAGAGGGCAAGACACCCATTGGGTCTCCGAGAGCCTTCTATGATGATGTTAGGTCGGAAGTGCAGAGCATACTAGACTACAAACCTCCCGTGCAGGGGGAACCCGTTGTCCGGCCCGTCTCGGCATCCGCCCGAGACGAACTCGAGAAGGCTCTGGAGTGTGACAGGAGCCACCGCAGCTTCAGCACATTGTCCGTCAACAAGAACGAGGAGGAACACTTTGCTGCTCTGGGGGCGCCCGTTGATGCGGATGATGCCTTGATCAAGTTTGCCTTCAATAGACAGGTGGAACTCGACCCCGAAAATACGCCAATTTATCTCGAAGCGCTCGGTACGCTAGCTGCTCGCCGCTCGGAGGAGCTCCAGATGTTTGTGTTTACTCACCAAGAACTGCTCGCGAAGCAAAAAGAGACTGCGACTAGTACTGTGGAAAGCACACCAGTTGAAAAGGCCTACGCCCATTTTGGGCTTTCAAAGGCGTGCCCCGAGGACGCAAAGTATTTTATTGGTGTCTACAGGACTTACAGGGAGCAGTCCCCCGCACAAAAGTCAGACCACCGGCTTGCTCTGCTCCGCATTGGGAAGGACCGACACAGCGAGGAAATCTTGAAAGAGGTGTTCGAGACGCAGATGGACCTTCCTGAAGCCTGCCAGTTCTTGCGTGTAGAGGGCGAGTGGCCAATGGACAGTATTGCCGTATCCGCACAGAGTGTGGCTTCGGTATGTGTAACCATCTGATTCCGTTTGCTTCCCGTTTGCTTTCTACCACTCCTATAGATAACCCCCCGACGAGCGCATACTAACAAACCGATACCAGGAACTGGACTCAGACCAACTAGACCTTCAACTCCTCGCACTGGACACCATTGCCCTCAAGCGGCCGATGAACGACCCCAACCGCCCAGCCTTTGACGGCATCGTGGCCGAACTACGATCCCGCCTGACCCAGTTTATCTCCAACAACCCAGCGGAAGAGGCCCGGGGTCCTCAGCACGCTGTCGATGTGGACTTACCGGTTGGTCTTGCGAACCTGCGGAATACGTGCTACCTCAACAGCATCCTGCAGTACTTCTACTCGGTCAAAGCCGTCAGGAACCTCGCCGTTACGTCCGAGTTGAACCCCTTGGAGCCCACTGAAGCCAATCTTAGCAGTATTCTACGCATTGGCAGTAATGGCGGCAGCGATGGACCAGATCAAAGCCCGTCCGAGTTGGAGACTGGCCGGGCTTTCGTGGGTCATGAGTGTGAGTTACCTTCGCTTGCTTACCCTGCGTATGTGATGCGTGGTGTTTTTATTATCTGTGTTAACTTCTTGCGCGTGTAGTTACTCGTGAACTAAGCACTCTGTTCCGCGACCTGGATGCCACTGGGGAGGTATCGATCCCGCCCCGCCAGCGTCTTGCCAACGCTGCCTTGCTGCGGCCTGAAAAATTGCGCCCACACTCGGCCGACGTCCCTGCCGTTGCCGCCTCGGGTGACGGCGATGCACCACCACCACCTCTCCCACCTCGTGCCGGCGAAAGTCCCCCTACCAATGTTGCCGACGCACCCATGGGAGAGCCCGAACAAGTCGAAGTGGAAAGCACCCGAAGTTCCCAAACATTGGTCGAACATCCCCGAGAGGACAACGGCCCTTTGGTTTCCACACTTGACGATCGCTCATCTGACAAGGCTACGGCAGCAACAGCGCCTAGCCCCGCGCACGACATGCAAACTTCCGACACTGCCACCAGTCGCCCAAACGAAGGTGACGTAAAAATATCTAAGCTTACCGTGGAAGAGCTTGCCGTCGAGCTGGACAAGCCGAACGTCGGATCCGATCAGATGGACGTCGACGAGGTCATGGGCAATGCCATTGATCATTTGCGCGCCGCCTTCAAAATTTCCAGCATTGGCGCCCCCAAGAGCACAACCGACCCGATTGAACAAGCCTTCTTCTCGACCTTTATCGACAGCCGCAAAAAGCGGGGAGAAAAGGAATGGAACCGAACCAGCCGATCCGACCGTTGGGTGACGGCATACCCATCCCAGACGGGTACGAGGGGTCTTTATGATGCTTTGGCGATCTCATTCGATTTGGAGCTGCTGCCGGACAATCTTCTGTCCTTTACGAGCATTGAAAAGCCCGCCCCGCACTTCCATATCTGTATTCAGCGATCCGACGGCGTCAGGAAGAACGGCAACCCGATCACCATTCCTGAGACACTGTACCTCGACCGCTTCATGCATACTGCGGACATTCACTCGCCGCTCTTCAAGGCGAGGAAGCGCGGTTGGGACATTAAGACTAGGTTGAACGAAATGGAACCTGCTACAGGGGAGGAGAAGTCGAAACTTTTTGCGGACGATCCAAACTGGACCCCGGCCATGCGGAAACGGCTCGAGGAGGTACCTGACGAGGAAGTCGACGCGTTCCTGGTCTCAGACGAATACAAAACCCCGTTCCCCGTGGAGCTGTATACCATTGACCCGGCTCTGAAGCAGTTGATGGACAAATACGGTGTTGCAGCGCCCAAACCTATCCAGCCCCCCCATCCCACTGAGCCGGTTGACATGTTCGCCACGGATGATTTCTGGAAGAAGTTCGAGATCCGTCAGAAGGAACAGAAAGAGCAGTTGACGGCCGAGCGGGATGGGCTCTTTCGCGACGCCCATGATGTCGCCTACCGTCTCCACGCTGTCGTCTGTCACGCGGGGACAAGCGCTTCAGCCGGCCACTACTGGGTCTGGATTCACGACTTTGAGGACGATGTTTGGCGCAAGTACAACGACACGGTCGTTTCGGTGCACCCAGCTGAGTTCGTGTTCAACGAACTGAACACCAAGGGCGAGCCCTACTACCTCGCCTACGTCAAGGCCGACGAAGTCCAGAATCTGGTCAGCGTCCCACGTCGCCAGCCGATGGTGGCTCCGCCCGTGCCTCCGCGTCCAAACTCGGCTCACAATGATGTGGTAATGACTGATGACGCGGATTCCGTGCTTCCTAGCATCGAGCAATGGTACACCGGCCGTAGCCTTTCCATGGCTCAACCCCAACTACCAATTCAGGAGACAAATAACTAATCAGGCTCTAGGGAAGACGTAGAAGTCGCCGAGGCTGCGAACGTGGACACGCCCCGCACGGCGAACAATAACGACAATTTTGTTCACTCACCGGACCAAAACAGAACCTAGCAGGATCACCTGGGCGTCGGGCATCGCTACGTAGCTTTGAGGGCTATAACATCACCCTCAAGGCGCCGGGGCCTCCGACGCCGCGGGATTTTGAACGGTCAGGTGGTTTGGATGTAGAAGTGGATTGAGGAGTTGAGGAAAGGGGTGTGTGAATTGAGATGAAGTATCCGACTGCCGGTCGTTCCTTCGCCCGTTCGTTTTAAGCTCGGGCTTGGGGGGGATGGTTGTTGGATATGTGTAAAGTCTAGATTCAGGGGATCTTGTACCCCGTGTTGTAAAGGGCGGTTGCTCAGGGTGATGGAGAGCTAGAAGCCACCCATGTAGACTAGAAAAACGCGCAAGTTTGTGGATCAGGAGCCTAGTGCAAGGTGTGTGAGGTGAACGTTTGATGGGCCCTTCATAACTGGCCCTTCAGTGTTCCGATCCCGTTCCTGGTACAACTCCTCATCTACGGGTGTGAGTTCTCGCACGTGTACTCGGTCGACCGTTCTGATGTTGGAATGCCGTATTTTACAGGTGTTCTTTTTCCTTTCTCCCTTTTCCTTTCTTCTTCCTCTTTTTTGGGGGGGAGAGGGGGGGGAAGGGGGTTCCCTTCCTTCATATTTAAATTTCATATATGCTCTCTTATCCCATTCATACTATTGATTTTGGATCGTTGCTTTCTTCCTTTTTTGTCCGCAACCTTGCATCTATCCACCTGCGCAGTACTCGGATTGACCACAACAAGCGGCAGCGTTGGCATATTCGAGCAGCTGTATTTAGTCAAACCATAAAGTAGCATGTCGCACGTTTACATATATTTATTACTAAACATCAACCGTTTACCTTGCACCCCTAAACCCATTCCATTCCTTCACAGTACCGCAATATAGAGCACCCAAAGACCACTTATCTCTAGCTATCCGTGAACCAAGCACAAAGTGTCATACGGTCAATGGAATTAGCAACCATTTGCATAGACTTGACCCTGAGATGAAAACACGCAAATCCTTGCACCTACAACGCCTTCACGCTTTGGAAAAAGGGATTCGCCAACAACTTGGCGTCATTTCCCACCAACTCTTTCAACCGCGCGACCATTTCCTCCTTGGAGATGGTTCCGGCACGTACTTCGTCCTTCCAACGCACAAGCACGTCCTTGAGCAATGCGCTGCCCTCTTCCACGTCTCGCTTGGTGTATGCGGCCTCGGGCGGCGCGGGAATGGCAGCGGCACCGCTGCCGTCTTTCGCCGACGTGAAATCCTCGAGCTCGTCAGCCTTGCGCTTGGCCATGCGCACGACCTTGTCCGGGAAACGGACTAGTTCGGCGACGTGGATGCCAAAGCTTTGGTCGCAGACGCCAGGCTCGACCTTGTAAAGGAGGGTGACCTCGCGTTTTTCGTCTTGCTTGGTTTTTGTGGTCTTGGCGGATGCGTCGGTTGTCCCGCTGATGTGCGCTGTGACGTGTAGGTTGCGGACCTGCGGGGCTTGGTCGGCGAGCGCGGTCAGTTCGTGAAAATGCGTGGCGAAGAGGGCAAAACAGCCGATTTCCTTGACGATGTGCTCCGAGATGGCCCAGGCGAGGCCGAAGCCGTCGTAGGTCGACGTGCCGCGGCCGAGCTCATCGATGATGATGAGGCTCTCGGCTGTTGCTGACTTGAGGATGTTGGCTGTTTCAAGCATCTCGGCCATGAATGTGGACACGCCCTTGAGCTGACTATCGCTGGCGCCCACACGTGCCAGAATGCTGTCGAAGATGGTCAGTTCAGCGCTGCTGCATGGTACGAAGCAGCCGATTTGTGCCATGAGCGCGATCACGCCGATCTGGCGGATATAAGTCGACTTGCCACCCATGTTGGGGCCTGTGATGATGAGGAAGGAGGACTTGTCCCGCGTTAGCTCGACGTCGTTGGTGATGAACTGAACGTCGTCTTGCATTTCGAGACAAGGGTGGCGGGCTTCCATCAGAATCGTTTGGCCCTCTCCGCGAGGGTGTATTTTTGGGCGGACATAGGAGACGGGGGCGTGGACGGAGCAGTGCGCAAGGGACACAATCACATCTAAGTGGGCAAGCACACCCGCAAGTCTCTCAAGAACTGGACTGTAGGAAGCGGCAACACCGACGACCTCATTCACCAGACCGCTCTGGGTCCTGTTGTAGTTTTGAGACAGCTGGTCGAACTCGCGGCGATGCCCCTGTAGCGTCTTGGTCGTGAAGTAAACGCCGTTCTTTTGTGTTGAGCACTCGAGGTACCTCGACTTGTTCCGGATACAACCGGCTTCCGTGCGGGTCAACCGCATACACCAGCCGTGAACCTTGTGGTTTTCGAGGAATATCTTTTTGTCCCGCTCCTGACCTAGGTCACTGGCGGCCTCGGCGTACTCCCGGTCCATTTCAGTGCGTATCCTATCGAGCCTTTTCCGGATGATGCGCAGGCTGTCGTCAAACTCCGGCTTGATGATGAACTCATGGTTGTCGAGTGCGTCGAGGTCAACCGTGGTTTCCACCATCTCCTGCAGCTTGACCAAGCTGTCGGATAACTCGCGGAGCTTGTTGGTGTAGGCCGCATCCAAGGGATCCCGGTATGTTTCGTCCATGATGCCTTCAAACGTGCCCAAGAATCCAGGAAGGCGAATGACTGCTTGGTAGGCTCTGACCACGTCCTCCAGATTCGCCTTGTTTCGCTGGAACCGCTTTGCAAGACGGTACAGATCGGGAATCGACCTCAAATGCTCTTCTTGCATGGTCTGACGCAGTTCTGTGTCGTTGGCAAACGCCTCGACAAGTTGTTGACGCTTTTCAATCTCGTCCTTATCCATCAGGGGCTGCTTGAGCCACTGCGCTAGCAACCTGCTCCCGACCGGGGTTTTGCAATGATTCAGCAAACCGAACAAGCTCATGGTCTTCGCGCCATCTCTTGCCCCGGGCATTAGGTTGAGAGCCTTAAGTGCGGCCGCGTCTAGCTTCATGAACTGAGCAAGATCGTGTTGATACAGCTGATATTGGCCGAAGTTGGAGGTGTCGTGAAGAACACCGAGGTATTTGATCAGGGCCGCTGCTGAGCCCATAGCAAGTTTCAGGTCCGTTTGGGGGAGTAATGTGGCGGACCTTTCATCCTTCAACAGCCTTGCCAGATCTTGTTCGATATCCTTGACTCCAAAATCGGCCATTGGGCGCTCAGAAATGGCAACGCCGCAGCTGTCAATGATTTGCTTCAGCTTGGTGAGTTCTGGATCCCTTTCTTTGTCCGCCTTTTCCATCGTTATGAGGCACTCTTTTACGCCGAGTTGAATGAGAAGTGCTTCAAAATTGGAATAGAGATCGTTGTCTAGGAATTCGCTGACCCCGAGTTCCCGAACGCTGGCATCCGCGAAGCATACTCCCACAGCCCGTGCCTCTGACGCCTTTGCCGAGATTTTGACGGCCAGAATGACGGGTGCTGCCTCGGCGAGGCTTCCTAGGTCCTCTTCAACATCTTGAAGGTTGCCAGGGGAAGCATGTTTAGTGGCCTTCCAGTTCATCCGCCCGTTGGGGCTCGCCCAAATCTCGATCCGTTTCCCCAGTTTATACAGGGCTTCGCGAAGAAACTGTCGGAAAACGGTGGCGGTCATGGTAACCGAAGGAAGTCCGGTGTGGTCATTGCGTCCAAGCTGTCGTACAACTGAGGTAGTCTTGTAGACCTGTCGTTTCAAAGATAAATTAGTTAGTAGAGAGGAGAGATGGGAAGGCCGGGGAGGAACTCACGGTTCGTGCAATGAAGTTGGCGTTTTCGCCGTGTGCGGTGTACCAATCTCCCCGATCAAAAATACGAATCAAGTCCTCATCGTTGGCTGGGAGAGATTTGAAGAAGCGGATGAATCCATGCTCGTCGTCGACCTAACATTTCGGGGGGTTCTTGTTAGCATTGGATTAGATAGAAACTGAATAAATCAGGGGGACAAGATGGGCGTGCAGACCTTGAGCTCAGGTCGTGCAGACATGATGGTTGGTTATGAATTCTACAACGTTCAACAAGAAAAGGGGTTCGATGACATTCTCCGAAAAGCGGTTCTGGTGGTGGATGTCAAAAGTGTTTCGTTGTGGGACATCCCCGACAGTCTGGGAGACGCGTCTCAATTAAAGTCGGCACGAGAGACGCGTTGCAACGTGACAGGGGGGCCTCTTTTCACCGCCCGGCGTTAGTGTAGTGGGGGAATTCTGCCATCATAGTGGGTCAAAAATTTACAGTTCAGTCCAACCTTGAAGCTACATCTGCTTCCATTTTCGATTTTCCTCCGTAGTAATGTGCCGCCCACCAAGAAGATGGCCACCAACGAAGCGCAAAACGCGTCGGCAGACGTCGTCTCAGCGGATGCCCACATTTCTACGGGGAACAGTGACTTTCCAACCGCCAATGGCAAGCGCAAAGCCGATTCTGAGCTCGACCGAGCCGCCAAAAGGATTTCGCCAGCGACCGAGATTCCAGAACCGACGACAGATGTGGCCAACTCTGGGGACGGAGGGGGCAATTCTGAAATAGCAACTGGAGAAAACCCACCACTTTCTAAAAACCAACTCAAAAAGCTACGAAAGCAACAGCAATGGGAAGACTTCAAACAAGATCGGCGGGCCAAGCGCAAGGACAAACGGCACGAGAAACAAGCCCGCAAGCGCGCCGAGAAAGAAGCCATAATTGCCGAAGCCGAGGCTGCCGGGCTTGACCCGGCGAAGGTGCTTCAACAGCAGCAAAAACAGCCTTGGAAGTTCCGTCCCGTACCGGTGTCGTTCATCATCGACTGCGATTTCGAGGCGTACATGCGCGAGCCAGAGTTGGTGTCGTTGTCAAGCCAGCTAGTGCGGTCGTACGCGATGAACCGGAAGTCAAAATACCAGGCTGCGTTGCACTTTAGCTCGTGGGGAGGTAAGCTCAGGGAACGGTTCGAAACGGCGTTGAAGAACACACACCATAACTGGAAGAATGTGGGGTTTCACGAGGCCGATTTTAAGGCTGCCGCAACGAGTGCGCGCGAGCAGATGATGGGGCCAGATGGCGGGGAAGTCATTGATCTAATCAAGCCCTCAACTTCCGAAGGCGAAGCCGTGGGTGAGACCGAAGGCCAGGATGAAGAAGATGTAGACCGTACAGTGGTTTACCTGACCTCGGAATCACCACATACCCTTGACCGGCTAGAAGCCAACACCAGCTATGTTATTGGCGGGATAGTCGACAGAAACAGAGAAAAGGGGTTATGCTACAACCGAGCCAAGGGGTTCAAGGTTCGGACGGCCAAGCTACCGATCGGCGAGTACATGGCCATGCAAAGTCGGTATGTCCTGACAACCAACCAGGTGGTGGAAATCATGGCGAAATGGTTGGAGTGTGGCGATTGGGGGCAGGCATTTATGGATGTGATCCCGAGGCGTAAAGGAGGGACACTTAAGGACGATGCGACAGGGATCCCGGAGAAAGAGGGTGCAGACGATGACGATGAGCATGATGGCCTGGGGGAAGCTGTGGATCAGGTAGTTGGGGAAGATGTAGAGGCTGGGGCTGAAGAGGCTCCCTAAACCAAATATCCACCCACCCGTGTTTGAACGAGTTTTAACCATCGACGTGACGGGCCGTGGAGGTTTAAGATGTTTGGAGACATGGCAAGGTACCTAGGGGGATCAACTGAATGGGACACATCTAGGAAGGAAAATCCACTACACGCTCAAGCTTATACAACCGTCTGTGTCGTCGTAGGTCGATGTATCTAGTCATTCCAACATTCGATCAAAAGTCCAGCGACTCCGTTTTGATCTGGACGTCCCCATCCTCATCTCGCTCCCTCTTAACCGCAGTCTCCCTCTCATCTCGCATTAGCGTAGCGACGAACGAACGGAAGTGTTCAATGTACGGCTTCAGGCTCGTCTTCTCCCAATCCGGCACTGGCTTCACGTCCTGGCTACTGCTCCCACCTACCGCTGCCCCGTCCGACACTTCTACCGCGGCCATCGCCCTAGACGCTCCCTCCGTTTCCGCCCATTCATCGATCTCGCGCACCAGACGCGGAAGGGTGGGCACGTCAAGCGGGTCAAATGCGTCAAGATTGTTGCGGTCGATGGGTACGCACACTCGGCCAGTTCCCGGGTGGATAACAAAGGGGCTCTTGAGCAAATGGTTGAGGCGCTGGGAGACGGCAATATCGAGGCGGGGGTAGGTGTACTCGAGCAGGATGTCTTGCTTGGCGTCAAGGAGGCTGTGGGCATCCAGTCCACCGCTGGCGTCGGTTCGGGCCAGAGCATCAATGTCGGCCCACTTAGATGTGGACGCCCGGCCTGGGGAGGAATCCCACTTCTTGCGGAGGGCGTCGCGGAGTTGGAGGTCCGGAATTTGCTGGAGGAGATATTCTGCTTTCTCACTAGACTGCCAAGGGTCTTGAATCTCGAGGACGTCTTCTTGGAAGTGGTCTTTGAGGATTTCGATGCTCCGTCTGGATTGTTTTTGACTTAGTATCGGAAAATGACTCAAGAGCGCATAAGCAGCGGTGGAGGGAGAAGTAACTTACGACAGGTGGGGGTGCAACGGCCGCCGAACGTTAACCCTCTTGCCGCCTTGCTTGCCTGCAATAACCTCAAAGTACGCAGTGATGGCCTTCCTGTGCTGGTCGGCCAACGTTCTCGCCTTCCTGTCGCACACCCAGGCGTGCACACCACGACGACCAGAGTAGACCCAAAGGATATGGTTAAATCCAAAATCCTCCCGTAGCGCGGTGTCGAGCACCTTGATGGCCATGGTAGTGAACTTCCAGCACTTGTTGCAAATGTTTGCCTTGTCACAACACGTCCGGATGTCATCGTAATCTGTTAAATCGATATCGAAGCACAGCTCCTTGGCGATAGGTTGGAAGGCAGCTGAATTGCGGAACGTTTTACGATCCCTTGGGTCCGCCGTGTACACAGGCCCAATTTCAATACGCCTCGGCATCAATCGAAGCACATCTTTGCGGAATCTAGACGGGTGTCAGCGCGCGCACACGCTCACAAACACGGCATATGGGGTACTAACAAATCCGACGTAGGAAAGGATTGATACCGCATTACTGCGTCGTTGTGCAACCACAAACTGAACTCGCGGTGTTTGAAGTCATTTGTGGGAACAGGGCTATGGTTAAGCCATTGAAACATGTATCGCCATGGGAAGAAACGTTGATAATATGCGCGGAGAAGTTCGATAGATGCGCCCGGGGTATCGGCCAACCTAGTTTGGTGTGAATATCGGCATGTCTTTTAATCAACAATTCGAGGAGCGGCACTTACTCAGGCTGTTGCGGTTCTTGACCATCTTCAGGAAGAGAGAGGTCGTCGTCCGAATCGATGCCGTCGAAGAGGTCCTCTAGCTTTACCTCTTGTTTCTCCTCCTGCTTGATCTCCGCAGCTTTTGTGCCATTGCTCTCTTTTGCAGGTTGGGAGCTCTCATCTGCCGGTTTGACGTCCTCTGTGGCGGCTTGAGCATCAGCGGCGTCGGCCATAGCGGTATCGTCAACTGCCGCCGGGCTGTCCACAACCGCGGCTGGGGCGTCCTCCATCGGGACTTCTTCAGCGGGTGGGTCGGAGTGCGGCATTCTGGTAAAACCGAGAATATTCTGAGATTTAAAAACGGTGCGGCTTCTTGGTAATGGTCTACGAAATCGTGATAAATTTTGAGGCGATTTGGGCGCGGTGCGACTTTTGGTCTCGGCTTGTTGGTTGTTGTGTGCTTCTGGTTCTTCCATCCAGAACGCGTCGCAATGTCCAAAGCGCGTCACGCGTAAAGTGGTTGCTGTGTCAATCAATTAGGCTCCACCCTGCGCAGCACTCAGACTTAACGTTAACCCTAACCCTTGGTCCGGGTGTCTCGCTGTGGCTAAAAAAAGCGGCAGACTAAAACCGATACCTCAAGTCCAATCCATTAACATTCGATCAAATTCTAACAGATTCTGAGTGATTTTCTCTTTTGCGTTTTCTTTGACTTCTTTGATTTATTCTTTTTAGTCTTTTTTTTTCACTTTTGTAGAAAAGTAAGTTCTCAAGGACTTCCATCGTCTGCCGCTTTTTTTGGCCACAGCGAGGGAGTTGGCACGCGAGGTGCTGCGGACCCCCTGTCGCCCCAACGTCATTGGGATGTGACCGCCCACAAGCCTCGCGCCCCAGGGCAACGGATCCCCTGAACAACCTCCAGCTCATCATCCGACAGCCCATCCCCGTTCCACACCAGCCCTCACGACTGTACGTGCTTTGGACAAGTCTGTGGGACACAGATCATGTCCAGCAACCTCCGCCTCCTCATTGAAGATGGAAAGTTTCGCGATGACCACGGCAGACAGGTGATTCTCCGCGGGATCAATGTCGCTGGTGAGGCCAAGTATCCCAGTCAGCCCAACCAACCCTCACATGTGGCTGGCGATTTTTTCGATGGCGACAATGTCAGCTTCGTCGGCCGGCCATTTCCTAAAGACGATGCACAACTCCATTTTTCGCGGCTAAAGCGATGCGGATACAACACAATTCGCTATGTCTTCACCTGGGAAGCCATTGAGGCTGCTGGGCCAAGCATCTACGACGAACGTTGGATTGATGAAACGATTGAGGTGTTGAAGGCAGCCAAAAGCTACGGGTTCTACGTATTTATGGATCCCCACCAGGATGTGGTGCGTATGAATGGGACGGATACCGGTGTTCATTGAAGGGGGACCGGTCCGGCGAGAACAAGAGTCGACTGACGGTTGTTTCGTAGTGGTCCAGATTCTCGGGAGGCTCCGGCGCTCCGATGTGGACGCTGTATGCGGCCGGCCTCAACCCCCAGAGCTTCGCGGCGACCGAAGCTGCGATTGTCCACAATACCTACCCCGAACCCGACAAGTTTCCAAAGATGATTTGGTCGACCAACTACTACCGCCTCGCGGCCGCGACCATGTTCACCATGTTTTTCGCCGGCAAGGACTTTGCCCCAAAATGCATCATTGACGGGGAGAACATCCAGGACTACTTGCAGGGGCATTTCCTTCGCGCGTGCGGTCATCTTGCCAAGCGTATCCATGAGGCTGGCGGAATCGAAAACGACGTGGTATTTGGGTGGGAAAGCTTGAACGAACCGAACAAGGGCATGGTTGGCTATGAGGACATCAGTGTCATACCGAAAGAGCAGGCTCTGAAGAAAGGAACCTGCCCTACTATATGGCAAACCATCCTAACCGGATCCGGGCGGGCGGTAGAGGTTGAGACCTGGGATATGGGCGGGTTGGGCCCCTACAAGGTAGGACGGACGTTAGTCGACCCCCACGGTGAGGTGGCGTGGCTGCCGGAAGGATATGATGAGTCGCGATACGGCTACAAAAGAGACCCTGGGTGGAAGCTTGGAGAGTGCATTTGGGCGCAACACGGTGTGTGGGATCCCTCCACCGATACACTGTTGAAGAAGGACTACTTCTCCAAGCACCCAACAACCGGGGCCACCGTTGACTACCCCTATTTTACGAACAAGTACTTCATGGAGCACTCCCGCAAGTACCGCGACACGGTCCGTTCGTATCACCCCGATGCCATTCTCTTGCTTCAAGGGCCCACAATGGAGCTCCCACCACTCATCAAGGGTACTCCCGACGGCGACGATCCCCGGCTCGTGTATTCACCACACTGGTACGACGGCATCACACTCATGACCAAAAAATGGAACCGAAACTGGAACGTCGACGTGATCGGTGTGCTTCGCGGGCGGTACTGGCACCCAGCATTGGCTATCAAGCTGGGCGAATCAGCCATCCGGAACTGCTTCCGGGACCAACACGCGGCTATGCGTCAAGAAGGGCTGGACCGTATCGGGAACCACCCGTGCGTGATGACGGAATTCGGGATACCTTACGATATGGATGACAAACATGCCTACAAGACCGGCGACTACTCGAGTCAATCGGCTGCTATGGACGCCAATCACTTTGGAGTAGAAGCCGGTGGCTTGGAGGGTTATACGTTGTGGCTGTATATGGCCTCGAACGACCACGAAAAGGGGGATCAATGGAACGGCGAGGACCTTTCAATCGTCTCGATTGACGACAAGCTGTTACCACCGTCTGCCCTTCCCAAGACGCCAGACCTAGAGGATTCCACGGCCAACCCGCGTAGTGCGAGCTCGCGAAAAGAACTAGACGACGACGAGAGCGTCACGCCCGCTAACCTAAAACGCACTCTCACCAACCCATCCATCTCTTCCCAAGCCACGTCACACCAGCCCGAGCTCACCGCATCCCCGGGGTACCGTGCGGCCGAAGCCTACGTCCGGCCAGCCCCGATCACCACTGCCGGCGTGATCACGAACTATGGGTTCGATCTTCGACAATGTCTTTTTACTCTGGCCATAAACGCTTCGACCTCGGCGGATACTGACTCGGATACACCGACCGTAGTATTCTTACCCGAGTACCACTTCCCAAAAGATGCCTGCTCAGTGGAGGTCAGCTCGGGGAAGTGGGAAATCAGCAGCGATGAGGAGGAGTCGGTGCTCCTGCAGCGATTGCGGTGGTGGCATGGGCCTGGCGAGCAGACGTTGAGGGTGTCAGGGGTGGTCAAGAAGCATAATATTGCTCTTGGGACCGGGGAAGGCGGGGATGAGAGCGGTTACTATGAGCAGTGCAATCAGGGGGCGTGGGGTAACTGTGCAGTCATGTAAGGGGCTGAAAGGAGCGGGACGGGGATGGCCAGTTTGGGCATGTTGAATTGAATGGTTTGCTTTTGTTTTGTTTATGTTTTGTTTACCCAACGCACTGGTTAGTAGCGGGAGTCTAGGAGCTGTGCTTTCCTTTGGTTGTTTTTGTTTGTTTTTTTCCTTTCCGCTTCCTCGGGCCCCGGACGGCCTGGATGAGCGATGGATTCGGCGGATTGAAGGATTTGGTACAGCAAGAGAATGGATAAATACACGTAATCATGATAACGATCCCTAATGTAGGCAAACACTGCGTGTCTTTCGGTTCCGAAGCGGGCCCTGCTCCCAGTTCCTAGTCTCCTATCATGACAAAAGCTGGGAAAATGCCCTCATGTTCAGAACATTATTTCGTCGACTAGATAATGTCTGCTGCCTCGCGATACTAGCACACGGGCAGCCTCGATCCCCAGCAGCCTTGGGGTTCCTAGGGAGGCATGCGGCTGTGCCACCCACCGCGCTGCGGACAAGGCCAAGTTGGATAAGGGAGCTGCAGGAACAACTGCTTGGAGGAAGTTGTGCTGCCTGGGAAAGTTAGGTAGCGAATAAATACTTGAGTTGAAAATCATGGGCCATATGGAAAGAAAGTAGCTGAATCATACGCGAGGGCTTTCAAGGTGTTTAGAGCACACATTATGAAATCACTTACTCTGGTAGCAGTTTTCCTTCACCACTTATCGCCTGCCCATCATCCGCATTTACATGATGCTGGAGAACGGAGCGCTGAGGGTTCCATTGTTCCCGTCGGCAGTGAACCCGGCGCTAAAACATATTCATCCAATACCAAATCTGAGCTGCTCGTGTTTGGCCTTGTCCAGGCCGTCTTTGCACCCTCGATTCATGCCCCACCTCGGGCCCGGTTGGGTGAAAGCTTGGGCCACCGAGAGCTCCGTCGCCCTGCCATTGGTTCAGCTCATGGAGGATTTGGGAAAGCTGCTGCAGGCAGCACGCACCTCACCAAAATCCGAAGCGCGCTGCCGCCGAGGACCCCTGGTTTTCCTGTCGACGACAAAGCCCATCACCCCACTCAGCGGGAGCGCCCAGAACGCTCAGGAGGACGCTGCGGGAAACCGAGGGGAAAGGTCGGTACGCTTTCCATTGGTGCCTCGCATTCCACTTTCCCCTCCTGGAAAAGAAGGGAGAGAGACCCGGCATGCTTGAAAAGGCGAAATCGTATTGTCGATTCCGCTCAGCGACCCGTCTATCCGTTCCCTTTCCCTTGCTCGCCATTTTTGCGAGCGGCTTCAGGCGGAGGTGTATTGATTGAAACGCCTTGTCCATTTCTCGGTCGAATTACGGAGTAGTGTACGGATACAACTTGTAATTCCCTCCCCCGACTGCCGGCCCGGGATTGACAACGGAGGAACTCGTTAGCGTCGAAGTCGCAGCGGCTGTGCCGTCCGAAAAGTGGAGGGGACCAGCAACCCCCCAGAACCAAAACTCAAACAGATTAACTACCCACATACAACCTCAAACAAGCGCGCCGGTATCAGCCGCCGTCGACACATCCTCGCCCGAAGTCCACCTTCGCCGCGTTGTGGACGGACGGGGTGGGAAATCCACAAGCCCGCCCTCTTGTCAAATATCGTGACAATTCGCTGTACGGGTCCAGTCTCCATCTTGGTGTCTCTCGCAAACTATCGATCGTCGGGTCCAGACTCCTCTGTGCCCTCCCCGCGCTAGTCCTCGACGTCTTACAATCCCCCCCACTACTTATCACAGGAGCGCTACCATCAACTGACACCACCGACGGCGATCCCTAGACCACCACCGATCCAGCAATCCGCGGGCTTTTATTGATCGAACGAACGTAAAGATAGCCACAACTCCATAGCACAGTGACGAACACAATTGGAACCAACCTCTTCCCGTCCCCCCCGACGCCGAATCGGCCGCGCTCTAAGCGCAACGGCCAGCCATGTATCAAAATGGCCAGCGCGATACGACCCGGCCCTTTCAGGTGCCTCCACCTCCTCCCCCCATGTCGCCGCCCCCTTCGGTCGGTCTCGGGAACATGATGGCCATCCCTCCACCTCCACCTCGATACCCAAACACCGCTGCGGCCGGGGGCAGTATGCTGCTTCCTCCACCTCCTGGCCCTCCGCCGAACCCCGGGTTCCCGTCGAGTGCCGTCCCACCACCGAGTGCGCTGGGGAGCGCCCCATGGCACGGAACATGGGGCCGTGCCTACGACGGCCGTACCGCGTTCAATATACCGCCTCCCCCGCCAGGAGGTGCCGGCGGGAATGTCCCTGCGGCCTATAACCCCAAGGCGCATGCGCAGGCCATCGCTGCGGCAAACGCTGCCGCGGGGTTTGGAGGCCAAACCAGCCTAGCAGTGCCCCCACCACCGCCCCCGAGCGAGCAGATGAGCGCAACGTACATCCCTTCTGGGGGCGAGACGTATGGCGAAGGCGTGGGTATCCCCGGGCTCATGTCATCGGGAATGGACTCTGCTGCGGCTACGCCACTAGACGAGACCTCGGGCCGTGACAGACTGTACGCAGCCGCTATGAACCAGCGCGTGCTGTCGAACGTCTCGACCGCAAGCACGGCATCTTCGTCTGTCCCGCCCGAGGTTGCAGCCCAGTGGCCGCTGGATCGGGTACTGACGTGGCTCAAGGTCAACAATTTCTCCAAGGACTGGCAGGAGACCTTCGAGCTGCTCAACATTTACGGTGTGCAGTTTCTCGAGCTGGGGAGCAGTCACGGTGGGCGTGGTAATTTTGGTATGATGCACCAGCAGGTGTACCCGCTGCTGGCCAGGGTATGCAAGAAGAATGGTGGCGAGTGGCAGCAACCCCGGGAACGAGAAGAGGGCAAGCGGATGCGGCGTTTGATCCGGAGCATCGTGACGGGTCGCCCTGTCGATACAGTCAAGACCTCCTCGACTGGCCATTCCCGCAAAGAGTCTGCTAGTGCAGGTTCATCCGCACCCATCGCCGTGACCGAAGCAACGGCCGAGTCTCCCAACACCCCAATCAAAGCCCCGGGGCCCGGCTTTGGCGGGAGGCGGTTTTCGCAGTCTTCCCGGTCAACGACCATGCCGACACTCAGCAACAACACCGGAGCCCCCGAATCCAACCACAGGAGTCTCATGAAGAACATTGACACCGACGTTGCGCGCCGCCACAGCCCGAACTTGAGCGAGTCCGGTGACGCCGGGTCGCTCCGAGTGTCGACGCCGCTCGGTAGAGATAGCCCAACGGGAAGCCCGGTCCCCCAGTCGGGCTTGCTACCGCCGTCTTCCACTGCAGGCAACGTCTCTGCCTCACCCCATACCAGCGTGTTCAGCCACCGCTCACGGAACAGCACGGACTCGGCGTCGTCCAACGCCGCGATCTACGGCTCGGGCGTCCCACCCGACGCGGCTGCCATGTTGAAGAGCGGCATGAGCATCGGCGATGTGGTGAACGGAAACCGTGCAGTTGAAGCACCCCAGGGCCGACGTTTCGGTCCCGAAGGTACCCGGCCGTCACCGCAGGACTCAGGTGACCGCAGCGCGGGGACAGACCCCCCGGGCAGCGCGAAGGGGAGCAGCTCGTTTCTGTCCCTGTTCCGGAACAAGAAGAAGGGCGAAGAGTACGAGTCGCCGACTAGTCCAGGTCCGAACAAGATGCATTTGTCGGGCCTACGCCACGGCGATGGGAGCGAGACTTCGCTCGACCGGCCATCGTCCAAGCGTGCCACGGGCGGGCGGGTATTTATCCTTGCAACAGCGGACTGCTGGAATTATCGCATGCTCGATGTGACGGAGGTTGGCTCAGCATCAGACTTGCGGCAGTTGGTGTGCATCAATTTGGGCTTACCGGATAACGACGGTGCCCAGATCTTTCTGACGGAGCTGGGCAAGTTTGAGCATGACGAGGAAGCGCTCGATGACACGAAGCTGCTGACAGCCAAGAGCCACATGGGCGATGCCGTCGGCTCTTTGAAGTTCTTTGTCCGGCCCGGTGTGCTACGGAACCCGAACGACCCCCTAGCGGTTCTAATCGATGAAGAGGCATACGCCAAGCTCAACGGCCGACTACGGTCCAGTTCGTCGCCGCCTAGCTCGAGACAAAACACTGCTAGCGGTAGGGAGCGGGATGAGAAGATGTTGACGGCCGAGGCGATCCAGTACAGGACGGAACAGATGCGAAAGCAGGAAGAGTATCTAGCCAAGCGAAAACAGATCCTGGATGCTAAAGAAGGCAGCAATGGCCAGGACTCCGGGGAACTCAGCCCGTCCTACGGCATCGTAGGCCGCAACGTGGATTTCGACCAACCTCGCATATCGCCCTACGAGGACCGCAAAATCGACACCCTGTTACCGCAGCGCAAGGCCCCGGCCCCTCCCGAAGACCCGTCCGCCACGCTACTCAAGGCCAACTCGCTCAGCAAGAAGCACGGCGCGCGCATGTCCCAGGGGAGCATGGACGGCAGTGGTCGTGTGAAGCGTACGTCATCCGACTTGCGTGAGGAGGCCTTGTTCAACAAGCACAAGGGGCGACCGAACGCCATGCCAACCCCTGAGGGCGGGATTCACGGCTTGCTCGTAGGTATGGCACGCGAAATGGCAGGCATTGGCCACCCGACCACAGGCGGGGCTCACGGCTTGTCTCCACACCGCGTGTCGTCGATGCCGGTGGCGAACAGCAACAGCAACGGCACCACCAACAACAACGGAGCTACTTCAGGCAGCGATCGAGGTAAGGGAGCCATGTCCACTGTTGATTTCGGTCAGCGGTCACGGTCCGGTTCTGGCGGTGGCTCTGGCAGCAGGGGCAGTGGGAGTGGTAGTCCGAGGACAGGCCCTGTTCCGGGTTCACCGGGCTCGACTACCTGGAGCTCCAAGAACGTGCCGTTTCTGGTCCCGGACTATTCCCCGACAACCTACCACGGTGAACATTTCGATGGCACACCGGGTGCTGCTGCTGCTACTGCCACTGCCGGAGTGGCCTCGAGCCCTGACTCATCCCATCTACATTTGGTGGGGACAAGCGCTAAATTTTCTCGAGCAGCACGTGCCCCATCTCCCGGAGGGATCAGTCCCAGTTCTCGCCGGCCTAGCGGTTCTTTCTCAAGTGCAGCAGTAGCAGCAGCAGCCGCCGCAGCAGAAACAGCAGTAGCCCACAAGAGGAAGTCGCACGGTCCAGATACCGACTTCCAGGGTAACGATGTTCGGTTCTCGCAGGCACCTACTTTACCGGGAGCCAACAGCAAAGCCGGTCCCCAAAACGCCGGTTATGATGACGACGACGACTCGGGAGACGACTCGGATGACGGCCTATTCGCGGTCCCAATCGCCAACCGCAATAACAACGCCGCACAGAAGCCAGCAGCACAGCCCTCGACGGGAGGTGGTGAGGTTGATGCTAACGGGAAACGGCCGAGCTTGCGGGTCAACACGAAGCGATCGAGGAAAACGCTCTCAGTTGCGTTCCAGTCACCGCAATCGAGCGGGGAGAGCAAGTTCTCAGGCGACAACGAGGATGACACAGCTAGCGGTCACTCCTCGCAACGGAGGACCCCTGGTACGCCTGGGTCAGAGGGTTGGGAGTCAGAGGACCGGGAGACGAAGCTGGGCAGGCGCAAGTCATTCATCGAGAAGGATGTGTGGGCCAACCGCCCGCCGACCGATGCGCTTATCAACAACCTCGAAGACTTCTTCCCCAACTTGGATGTCGACCAGCCAGTCCTCGAAGAGGGCGACGGCCCGTCGCCCATTGAGGAAGCGGATGAGACGCTCGTTGAGCAAGGTTCATCTTCCCAGTCGTCTTCCTCGATTCCGCCGTTACCACCACTTCCCGCTGGCCTGTCCTCCAGCCATAACAGAGTGTCGTCGATCTACAATGAGAACGACACGTTGGGGTCCGACGAGTCGACTCTTAAAGCGCTCGACTCGCGACCCGTGTCGATGCAGACGCTGGCGCATCGCAGCGTGCGGCGATCGGGTGGCCTCGGCCGCATGAAGTCGATCCGAGAAGTGGCTCGGGGGGCGCACGAAGCGAACAAGCGGTACACGCAAGGGTCGGGCCCGCTGCATTCCGGCCAGCCCGGTATCCCCGGCGCTGGGGGCATGGTGGATAAGAGCACGAACCTGATGCGCCGCAAGAGCACCAAGATGTTCAACGCGAATATTGTGCAGATTCGGCCGGAGCGTGGGTCGTTGAACGCGGCTCTCGGGCTGAGCACGATCCCGCAGGATAGCCTACCGATACAGCAGCAACAACAACAGCAGGGCGCCGGTGGCAGTGGTAGTCGTGATAGCATCCCCAAACGGCAGACCACGTTCCGGTGGTTCAAGGGCCAGCTGATCGGCAAAGGTACATTCGGACGGGTTTACCTCGGTATGAACGCCACCACTGGTGAGTTCTTGGCCGTCAAAGAAGTCGAAGTCAACCCCAAAGCCGCCCAAGGCGACCAAAAAAAGATGCAAGAGCTCGTGGCCGCCCTAGACCGCGAAATCGACACGATGCAGCACCTGGACCACGTCAACATCGTGCAATATCTCGGCTGCGAACGTAAGGAGCGCAGCATCTCCATCTTCCTCGAGTACATCTCCGGTGGTTCCATCGGTTCGTGTCTGCGCAAGCACGGCAAGTTCGAGGAAGCCGTCGTCGCCTCACTCACCCGGCAGACCCTTGCGGGCCTCGCCTACCTGCACCGCGAGGGTATCCTGCACCGCGACCTCAAGGCCGACAACATCCTTCTCGACCTTGACGGAACCTGCAAGATCAGCGATTTCGGCATCAGCAAGAAGACGGATAACATCTACGGCAACGACAAAACCAACTCGATGCAGGGGTCCGTCTTTTGGATGGCGCCCGAGGTCGTGCGTTCCCAGGGCGAAGGGTACAGTGCCAAGGTGGACATCTGGTCCACCGGCTGTGTGGTGCTGGAGATGTTTGCTGGGCGCCGGCCATGGAGTAAGGATGAGGCGGTTGGAGCGATGTATAAGATTGCAAATGGGGAAACCCCGCCGATTCCGGACGATATTCGCGAGGAGATCACCCCGATTGCGCTTGCGTTCATGTTGGATTGCTTTACTGTGTATGTCCCCTTTCCCCGTCGGAATGTCCGAGTTTGAGTTTCACTAACATTGTTCCCACAGCGACCCGACGGACCGCCCGACGGCGGATGTGCTTTTGTCGCAGCACCCGTTCTGTGAGCTCGATCCCAACTATAGCTTCTTGGATACGGAGCTCTATGCCAAAATTAGGCCCGCGCTCAAATAAGGTGGGAAGAGGGAGATCATGTGGGTGATACTATGTATGTTGGGAGAAATGGGTGAATGGTCGATTTGTGATGTGTGTCTGGGAGTCGCCAGCGTGAATCTCCACCAGTTGGTTGGGTATTCCCATTTCCTCCGGAGTTCGCTTTTTTTTGGATTTTTTTGGGGGTTTGGGGAAGGAGACTCAAATGTTTACATAGCCAGCCATTCGAATTTCAACTCGGATTTTGCTCACGATATTATTTTTTTCGACGCTGGGAGATCTTAGAAAGCAACCATCAGCCGACGACGGGGTTGGTGCGGCTATGTGCTTGAGATCCCCTCTCCTTACTCTTTGTCACCGATATGATGTGCGCGCAACAATTAGAGATGCCCCGCTCAAACCTGATCGACCTAATTAACTCCTGACGGTCCCCAGAAAAGTACGTTAGTGCGCGGATATCATTAACTACAGATACGGCTATCGTTCAATTGTAGTCTGTGGGTATTTCTCATTTTCAAGTAGAAGCCCTCCTTATCACGACCTTCACTCGATACGTTCCTCAGTTCAGGACTCCTTCAACACCCTCCTGCGACAAGCCGCAGACCAGGATCCATGTATGTTGCGTACTCCAGAGATCGGGATTCGGCACACATGCAGCCCAAAAAAGAAAAAGGCTAAAATTCCCCGAACAGGGGTCTTCTCATCCGCCTGATCACCATTTCTGGCCCCCAGTTTTCCCCTCGGTTTTCAGCGTTGACAAGGGCGCACGTCTTTTTTGATCGCCGGGTTTTGCTCCTGGTGATGTTGGAGGGTGTCTCAAGAAGCTTTGCAAGTCTTGTTCTTCTCACGCTTCCCTCTTCCTAACTCGGTCAACAGAGGAAAGGTGAGAACTAGGACCGAAGATGTAAACCATGTACGTTATGTGGAAAGGTGGCCTCAAAAACAGAAAGCAGCTCTCGCCCCTCCACATGTTTTTTGGACCCCGCACTGGAACCGCCGCACACTCTGCAGGGTAGCAATTAACCCAGCCTTTTAAAAAGACGGGAGATCATCGGCTCCTACCAATAACCCCGTTTGGGAAGGCGAGGGATAGACTTTCCCGGTTCACATTTTTTGGGTGAAAGGGTTTGGTCTGTGATGAAACTGGCAAATCTCACTCATCGCCGGAGATGAGATGAATCTACACCCGCTTTACTCCGGCACCTCTCACTCTACCGGGAGACGAATTTGAGAGGCTCTTAGGGAAACAACCGACGCCGTTTTGAGTCGTAATTCCCGTGGCGGCAAACTCGACCTCAGCAAGCTCACGCTCCTCCACTACCAAGTTGATACAGAATGCTACCTGTTGGTGCCGCTTTCCTCACAACGCCAACCTTTGTCGCCAGCGGCGCATGCCAAGAACCTCCAGACCATCCGGACGCCCCTTCCGTAGCGCCCCAACGCGGGAATGTGGAACGTGTGGAAACGGGCACATACTTCTTGGCGCGCCTCCATCAGTCCGCAACCCGCTCGCAAAAGAACCTGGGGCGTCTCTGCATCTCTGCTGCGAGGAACTGTGATCCCAGATGGCCCCGGTCGATCTAGCTTGTCTTTCTTTTTTCCTTTTCCCTTTTCCCCTTTGCCCTCTGCCTCTGTGTTGACGAGTTCCCCTCTTTGGTGCCAAGAGTCGTGGTTTTGCTGCTGGTTGTTGCTGCCACTACTTTCGTACTGTGTACATTTCATGTCCTTTGTCGCCTGTCTCTCTCGTCTGCCTTTGCTTGGTGTTGGCGGCTTGAACCTAGGACTCCGTCTTGTGTCGGCCGTCCCATTTCTCAACGACGATTCAACCGTGGTTTTGACATTCCAGGCATCTCAGTCTTAAGCTCTAGGGGGCAAATTCCGGCCATGCCAATCCTGAACTGAGGCGAGACGACCCCCCCATCTCTCGACCCCGACTCACACGAGCGCCTCTACTCACGGGCATTAGCCGCTCGTGGCCGGAGCCACTGACACCACCGACGTCATGTTTCGCTTCAGGCGGTACCGTATGCTACTCATTTGCGCTTTCGTCATTACCATGTTGCTCTACCACGTCTCCAAGAACTCTCAATGGGATCGTTCGAGTGAGTTCTGGCATGGCGGGGCCGGTCTAAACGTTGAAGAGAGACCCCGGCCTTATTCACCACCGGCTTCGGAACCGGTCCACGGACACGATCACAACAACCAAGCAGGCACCGACGTCGGCACTAACGGTGACGAGCACACGTTCGGTCCCCACGATATCGACCACCCAGAGGAACCGCAACGCGGGTCTCCACCGCCTCCGGCGCCCTCTACCTTAGACCCTGAGTCTACCATCCAAATTGCTCAGCTCAAGTCTGTCGACCAGGAAGGTGCTGGATATGGCTTACCCACCAAAGCCCCAACGGTGCCCGGCTGGAAAACGCCCAACAACCACGCCGAACCCCAAGAACAAAATAAGGTCGTCAGTACTGAGGCAGCGGCTACTACCTCTACTATCCATTGGCAAAAGCCAAAAGAATGGTTCCCGGTTCCCAAGGAGTCCATCATCCCGCTCCCAACCGGCAAGCCGCAGGCCATCCCCGCGATACAGTTCGCCTTTGCCGAAGAATCGCCCACGGACAAAGAGATACGCCTAGGGCGCCTGGCCAAGATTAAAACGGAAGCCCAGCGTGCCTGGTCTGGGTATCGGGAATATGCATGGACTCATGACGAGCTCAAACCTGTTAGCAAAAAGTCCAAAGACCCCTTCTGCGGCTGGGCGGCAACGCTTGTCGACACCCTCGACACCCTGTGGATCATGGGCATGAAGGATGAGTTCGACGAGGCCGTCGAAGCGGTCCGCGACATTGACTTCACCACAACCCCCTACCGCGACGATATCCCCGTTTTCGAGACGATTATTCGGTACCTCGGTGGCATGGTGGGTGCCTACGACATGACAGGTGGCGACCCCAAGTACCGTATTCTTCTCGACAAAGCCGTCGAGCTTGCCGAGATTCTAATGGGTGTCTTCGACACGCCCAACCGCCTACCCATCCTCTACTACAACTGGAAGCCCTCCTACAACAAAAACCCGAGACGTGCATCCAGCCACTCTGGCGTCGCCGAGATAGGATCCATGACCATGGAATTCACCCGCCTAGCCCAACTGACTGGTGAAGATAAGTACTACGACGCCATCGCACGCATTGTCGACGCCCTCGAGGAACTTCAGAACCGAGAACACGGCACAGCTATCCCAGGTCTCTTCCCCGAGCATCTCGACGCCTCAGGGTGCAACCGAAGTGCACCGCTACCGCCCGGACCACAACACAACAGCCCCGGTACTCCGGAACAGGTCGTTGTCCCTCCACCTCCTAACACCGGATTCCGCCGCGGCCCTCAGGCCCGGAGGCGGGAACCGAGGCAGAAACGGGCTGCCACCCCGAACAATGGCCCCACTACGCGTGATCCAGAGGAATTTCCCCCGGGTTGGGAGTGTGTCCCGCAAAACTTGACAGTCGGCGGCTGGGGCGGCGGCTCGTTCAGTATGGGTGGTAACCAAGACTCGACCTACGAATACTTCCCCAAACAATACCTCATGCTCGGAGGACTTGAGCCCAAGTACCGCACCATGCATGAGAAAACCGCCGATGCTGTGAAAGAGTACCTCCTTTTCCGCCCTATGGCCGAGGGCGACCCGGACATTTTATTCTCCGCGAAGGCATACAGCAGTGATGGCACCACAAAGAAGATGACGTATGAGTTCGAGGTCACTCATTTGACCTGTTTTCTAGGTGGCATGTTCGGACTCGGTGGTAAGATCTTCAACCGACCAGAGGACGTCGAGATTGGGGAGAGGCTTACCGACGGTTGTGTGTGGGCGTATGAGAGTATGCCTGCCGGGGTGATGCCCGAGCACTCCTTCGTTGTGCCTTGCAAGGACCCTACGGACTGCCACTTTGACAAAACCACGTGGTACAGGGCAATTGACCCTACCAGTCAGGAAACGCGCGATCAGCAGATGGAAGATTACAAGGCCAACATGGCTAAGTGGAAGGTCAATGTGGAAAAGGCCAAGGCAGAGAATGCATTGGCTGAGGAACGCAGGCGTCTGGCGGCAGTCGCGCCTGCGAGGGCCAACGATGAAACAGAAGTCGTGGGTTCGACGAAAACCTCGCCCGTGGAACGTAGCACTCTCGAGACCCGCGATTTCCCATCATATGAGACTGCGCCGAAGCCCGGTGGAAAGCTTCAGGATATTATGGATGCCGCTTCCAACAACGTGATCACAGTTGCGGATCAGCAACCCCTAGACGAGATGCCTCTGCCCATCGAGCCGCTCCGTCCACTCACGCACCTAGAATACGTGGAAGACCGCATCAAGAAGGATCATATACCACCGGGCTTCTCCAATCTCAGGGACAAGCGTTACATTCTCAGGTAGGACTCTTTTTCACCCATCTCCAGCTTTTACCAAAATGATCTAACCTGTTCGCGCAACAGACCCGAAGCTATCGAGTCAGTCTGGTACATGTACCGCATCACGGGCGACCGCTCCTGGCAAGAGAAAGGCTGGCGTATGTTTGAAGCCGTTATCCGCGCGACGCGCACTGATGTGGCGCACACTGCCATTCGTGACGTGACCACAAAAGAGCCGGGGAATGAGGCCGACATGGAGGACAGCATGGAGAGTTTCTGGCTGGCTGAGACCCTCAAGTACTTTTACCTGCTGTTTGAGACGCCGGACGTGGTTTCGCTCGACGAATGGGTGTTGAATACTGAGGCGCATCCATTCCGGCGACCGAAGTAAAGGATGTCTTATTTGCTGGGTGAGAATTTACTGGGGGAGGACCATGGGAACGGGGGAGAAGTGCTGGTTTGCTCAGTCCTCTCTCCGCGGATCATTTACCGATGAAACGCATTGTGGTTTCTGGGTTTTGCATTGTGAGAAAGATGGGGTCGACACATCAATCATGGCTTCAGCAGGGCGTTTTAGGAGTGTCAGGTTTTTCTAAAAACCCGTATATATCGGTAGCACTTTCACGGACATATCTCGGCCCCGACACATAGTCAAATATCAATTTCGAATTGAGAAATACGCTGGTGGCAATGAAATGGGTGGACGCGAATTAAAATACCGGCCCCAAGCCAAAACTCCAATTCCATTTATGCGTGCTTGCTTGCTGCCTTGCTTCCACAAACTATATACTGACATGATCTTCACAGACACCCACGCAAGCTTAGTTAACTGACCCGTGCTTCCCCGTCCCAAAACCAGGTATCCATCCGGTCCCATCCCGTCCAACACCAATTCTTTCCATCCCTTACATATACCCGACCCCTCTGCCTACTCCAGCGCACATTCCATCCATAGTCCTTCTTCCCCACTGATTATATGCACAAAACGTCGGAGAAGGGGGGGGAGGGGAAGACAAACCCAAATACAAGAGGTCCCAAATAACATGTGAAAAAACACAAAAAGTAGGAAAACAAACAAAGCTATCCACCCATATTCGTTGATAGACATGACCGAACTTCTGGCAGCCGCAGCAATATGGGGCCACCAACCATCCTCAACAACCCGACCTCGTGATCGCGCGCGCCATGATGCAATGTTGCCGTTGCCCGTTGCCCGTTGCCGTATCCTTTCCCGTTCCAGATTCTGTCTTCCTCATCTTTCGTCTCTCGTTCCGGTCGCTGGTCTCATCTAAACAGAAAACGAGCCCAACCAAACAAAAAAAGAGAAAAAGAAATAGGGGAAAGGAAATCATGCAAGCCCAACCCGATTGACTAGACCCATTTTTCATCTTCATCAATCCATAATATGCTCCAACACCTGCATACTCAAAATCATGACTAATAACCCAATAGTCACGATAATCAGTAGTGTAAAGCTGAACCAACCCATCACCATTGCTGATGACCCGACCCCAGACAGCACGCTGCCATTGGCCAGATCTTGCGCGATGATACTGGCTGCTACCGATGCTGTGTGTTGCCAGAGAACGGAGACGAGGACGAAGATGGACGCGATGAAGATGATCGCCAGTGCGACTTGGCTGACGGGCCGGGAGGGGAAAGGCTTGACTTCGCGCTCCGAGCCTTCGCTGTCTTCTTCTTCGTGCCATCCGGGGAAGGTGGCGAGCAGAAGGAGACAGATGAAGGCGAAGATGATGGCGATGATCCTGTGGGCGGAGGTGTTAGTGATAAAGGGCTTGGGAGAAGCAGGCAGCCGAAGGAAGCAGGGAAAGTGGAAGCTTACAGAAGGTAAGGGAAAACAATCATGTCCTTAAACTGACTAGCCAGCCAAATCAAGTTCAACGGGTCTTGATCAACCGAGACTTCGTTGGCGAGTGTGGTCGCATTGTTGCTGCAGAGCCACGAGCCGCCGTCAGGGCTCACGCAAATGCCAAAATAACCGACACGGGCTTGGAGGCGAGCGCCGCCCACAATATTAGCGATCGCGTTGTTGACGTTGTAGTCGACCTGCGCCGTATCTGGTACTGCCGTATACCGCTCGTAGTAGAGAGAGAGCAAGAAGATATCGGGGATGAGGGGTGAGGAGGACGAGCAACCCGCAAGGAGGAGGGCTACGGGTGACTGGTTAGCAAATGGTCGTTCGCTGGGTAGCGGTTGCTAAGAAAACGCAGAAAACGGCTTACACAACAATATTATCGCCACCGCGATCAGGATCATCAATACATGGTGGTAGCCCAGGAATGGTACCCATCCTATCCAGTGCGTTAGTCGAGTTCAATTTCGATTGTCCCTGGGGGGAAGGGGGAATTGGACTTACGATACCACCCCAATTGGAACCTAGCCGGCATGGTAGGCGTGTGTTCGTGGTGTACCCCGTCCCACTACTTTCTTGACCTGTGTCGCGCGCAGTGCCGCTTGTGAAGCCCGCACCGGTCCTCTGCAGGACTGGCAGCGACGGCAAAAGTCAACGGTCGTTGGGCGCCCCTTCTCGAGTTTCTCTTTTCCAATTCTCCGGGCTCGTGGTATGGAATTGATCTCCGTCTCTTGTCCTAGGTCGACTCGGCAGGACAGGGTGGGAAGTTGCGACGGTAGTAGAGCGACTAGTCGGTTTGTGTTCCTCGTCAAGCCGCTGGAGGAGGCGAAAGAGGAAGGATGAGACAGCCGGTGAGAGAGAAGTCTAATGAGAGACACTGAGAAAGAGGTCGCCGCTGTGCAAGGACGGGCGAAAGCGTCAAGCTGCTTTGTCAAACCGACAGAACGAGGGGAAAGGGAGGTAAACGGGTGGGCAATACCACAACCAAATTGCTGCTGTCAATGCGCCAGCAGGTATGCGTGTATGCGTCTGTTGCTTTGGTTGCTAGGAATTGGTGTTGTCCTGAGCTGCGCAACGTCCAAAGCGTTTGTCAGTTTAAGCGTTGACGTGACGACGGGATGCAGCAGAAGCAGTGACAGTGGGAAGATTGTGTGATGCAGGAAGGGAAAGGGAGCGCCTGACCTTTCGCAACGAATGTCAAACCTCTCTCCAGCAGTAAAAAGCCGGTGGCTGGAGTCGTCTTTCTTGCACGGGTTAGGGTAAGATGATGTTTGTGAAAGTGTGAAGGAAGAAAACTGAAAAGGTCTGGGCAAAACTATTGCAGAGAGATCTGTCGAGTTGCGTTGCCCGCCATCCGATTTTCGAGGTGTGCGCATGCGAGTGGCTGCATCCTTGACGCCGTTGTCCCCCAACCACCCGACTTTTGTTTACTTGGCCCTCGTTGGCCAGGCACTCGCTCCATCCGTTGCGCTGGCGGTGGGGCTTGGCGGGATGGCCAGGGGTCCCGCGGGCACTGTGGGCCTTCAAGCAAGGGGAATCGCCAGGCCCAGCCCAATTGCCCCACCAAAGTGACGCACTGCCCACCTTCCCAGTCAGCTGTTTGTCGACATCCATCTCCAGGGCATCCGTTGGACATCAGTGCCGGAATATATTAACACAAGATGTCAAAAGGCGGAAATCAGAAGCCTCGAGGCTCAAGAACTTGGCGAGGCCAACGACAGTTTTAACGGCCAGGCAATGGCAGTGGCAATGGGGAGGGCAAAGGAGACTAGCAAAGGCAATCGCTTGACCATCACCCTCCATAGGCCCAGCCACCTCAAATCCAGGATGGACCCCCGTCCTGGGGGGCTCCCACTAGGCGCACGGGTCCGTGCGCTTACGTAAACCTGAAATAGCTTATATAATCTACAAAATGCATCAAACGCGGCATCGACCTTGTGCCCCTGAACCCCTGAATGCCACCACCACAGCCAACATATCGCCCACACCAGAGTCATGGCTACCTTCCCAGACAACTGCCTCCCTCCCGAAGGCTTTTTCGAGTCTCGACAGGCTTTATTCGAATCAATCAACGCGTACGCAAAGCCTCGAGGCTACGCTTTTACAACCCATAGGTCAACCAAGGAGAAGACCGGCCTTTCAACTGTCATATATGCTTGCGATCGAAGTCGTCAACCACCTTCGTCCCCAGAGCGAGACCGCCGGAGAAAAACGACTACCTGTATGACGAATTGCCCCTTTTCAGTCCTTGCCAAAGAGTCTAGCGAAGGCTGGACTCTAAAGCATCGTTGTGACGAATCGTCTCAACCACACTCTGCAAGGGTTCACTGAAGGTAAGGTAGCTAGGGTTGTGATTCGGTGAAGCCAAAAGGTTCACAACAAGATAATGATCTGGTCTCAATGTTCGTAGCAACTGGTAGCGAACAAGTTGTATTGCTTACTGGAGAACTCCCAGAGTCCTCTAGAACAAGTGACTATATACTATCTAGGAGAGAGAGTGTCCTAAGTACCTTTATACCTTAATTGTGGTGATCGTTCTACGATCTATCGATCACCTATTCTTGGCGTTTTAAGTGATCCTACGATCGTTCTATTGATCTACTGATCACTCCTATATTGGTTCCTGATTGGTTGCTGCTGACTGGTCTATATGCCTAGCTAATGTATTGGCTATTAGTCTGTGATACGATGCCCCTCCTCTAAGGCTTTCGTCTTAAAAGGCTATAGGTTCTTTATTAGTATATATTCTGTTTTTCCCTCCTATATCATATATACTCTTCGTCTAAAATGGTAGGTCAGGTGTCTAAGCGAAAGTCTATCTCCTCGACCCTCTGAGCTAACTATCTCCTAGCTATAATACTATTATCTGATAGTTTGTCTATTATATAGCCTTATTCCTCCTATTCGTCGTACGGCCTTAGTTCCTATGAGGTTTCCGTTGCCGACTTCTCTCGGTATACCGAATATATCTGTCTTAAGCTTCTAAACTATAATATTCTTAGTATTTCCCCTTTATAGCTTTATACTATTATAGCTTAATATTAAAAGCTAGAAGACGAACTTATAGCTATAGAGGAGTAGGTCCTTTAATTATAAAAGTAAAAGCAAATATAGTTTAAGAAGATAATATAAGCTATATTAAAGGGTATTAACTTAGTAAAGGAGTTAAAGTATATAGAACAGGAGGAGGTAAAGGTATTAGCTATTTTAGAACCTTCTACTAGCCCCTTTACTTTAGCTATTCCTTCTTCCTTAAATGTCCTCGACCCTTCCCTTCTTAAGTAAGTATTCTATTATCTTTTTATAAATAAAATGGTTATATAGTATAGTAGTAGTATATATACTATTCGTAGTACATTTACTATCCTTTCTTATAGGACAGTAAATATAGGCCTATATAAGGTTATAAGTTTAATCCCTACTATAACCCTTGTTTTCTTTTTCTTTACTAACTACTAATCCTAGTTCCTCTATATCTTTCGCCGACAGCTTTAACTAGTCTTTTCTAGATATATAGGGTAATCAGGGTTCTAGCGGTAGAAATCCTATAACTTCTCTAGGTAGTTGACCAAATTCTCCACTAGTTACTACGAGTTATCTTCAGGGCTAAAGTCTAGCCATTTAACCAAATACTCTAATTACCCTTTTATAATTCTTAAATCAAGGATCTCCTCTATATCCTACTCTTCTTCTTCGTCCTCTACTTCTATATCCTTATCGAGTTATAAGTTTTTAGGTACCGGTTCTAATAGTACTATATAAAAAACGTTTGTTCTTAGCTTTATAGTCGATAGGAGTATAAGGGCGTAGTTGTTCTCTGAAATCTTTTTGTTAATTTTAAACGGCCTAATCTTCCTAAAATCGAGTTTCTTACTAGGTCGTTTAGTTT